GTTTTAATGAACCGGAAAATCAAGTGCAGGAACTAGCATACGAGAGAGCTGGATCTCATGGCAAATGCTTTTGGGGATACAGCACTCAAGAACCAAAAGCAGGGTGGGTCGCGTCTAATACGCACACGTCCACACACGCTCAAACACCAGGTGCTGCGGATGCTATTGGGTATGCTCACAGAACGGGCTCACACCGAGCACGCCCAACCCCCACGCAGGAAGTTGGTTCGGAGGGGGAGAGGCAGATTCTTTTGTGAATTGGCACAATAAGCTAAAGCATGTGGGGTGTACGCCATGCGCGGGCGACTTTAGCCGGTGGCGAACTTCTTCAGACTGGCAAGGTCGCCGTTCCAAGTGTCCTGATCACCTGGGTAGGTGCCGCTATCGGCGTACTGCCAGAAGGAGTAGTAGCTGAATCCCGTGGGGATCTTGGGACTCGACACACCGTAGTTGGCCACCACCAGAGGATAATCAGCAGCGAAGGCGCTTGAAGCCACGCACTGGTTCCACCACCCGGAACTGGTGTAGATCATGGGATAGCGACCCGTAGACGCCTTGTAGGTGTTACCAAAGTCCTTGATCCAACTAACCAGCGCGCTCTGACTCAGACCATAGCAGGTGGGGGAACCACTAACGCTTTCGAGGTCGATCATTCCTGGGAGGGTGCGACCATCTCCAGACCAACCGCCTCCATTGGCCAGGAAGAACTTGGCCTGGGTGGCGCCCGAGGACGAATCGGGGTGGGCAAAGTGGTACGCTCCACGGATCAAGCCAGCGTTGGTTGCACCCGTGTATTGGGATGAGAAGGAGGACGACTTGAACGTGGTGCCCTCGGTAGCCTTGATGATGACGAACTTGGCGCCGTTGGCAACGGCCGACGAGTAGTTCGGGTTGGGCTGGTACCCGCTAATGTCGAAACCGGGCGTGCCAGACACGCGCTTCTCCAAGGGTGCACCCGTGGACAGCGAGGCAAGACCTGCAAGAGTGCCGACAAGTGCAGTAGCAGAGAACTTCATCGTGGGATCTTGTAGTTGGATGAGGATGCGGAGGTGTGGATCGAGGAGGGATGGGGATGGGTACTTATACACGAGCGAGGTGCGACACGGGTATGCAGCACGAGCAGGCACCAGTGCAGCGGTGCAGCGGTGTACAGCGGCAAGATAGTGCGATCCGCTGCACCGGCCCTCCTCATGCCCCTCGACGCCGCCGCCACTCTGCTGCACTTCTCGGAACATGGCGAAGCAGCACCACCACTGTTGGTACCATCTCCCCCGCTGTGTATGCAAACGCACCGTGCGTCCACGTTTTTGCTTGCCCCCACGTCCTCCCCCCCGCCCATGACGATGGGTTGTGGTGTCGGATGTGGACTAGTCCCAACGCTGCGAGCTCGCTTGTTGTATCCCCCACGTCCTTGCCGCGGCTTGCAAGTGGGCGCCAGTCGCGGCGGCATGATCCCCGCCGGTCGGATCCAATCCAAGGTTAGAGGCAACACGCTAGCGGAAGATCAGCACCCGCTCGCTTAGGCTTCTTCTTTTCCGAGAGCGCTTGACTGCCTTCCGCACTGCAATCCCCAACCCCCTTCTGCACCGTCCTTGCCCGGCCGGATGGCTCACTGCTGCAGTCCAACACCTAGATGCAGCCATCTGAGAGTACCAACGTGACCCCAAGCATGGGCCAAGTGGACTGGGGGATGGTCGGGTAAAAATTCGACGCCGCCACGCGCTAATCAGCAGCTCTTACCCTTCCACAAGATCGGCCCCGACCGTGCGCAAGTCAACGTGCAGCGTCCAGGCTGACGCCATTCCGCCCTGGGCAACAATGCAGCCGCTGCAGCCACTCGGTGCTCGGCTGCACGCTCGCCTCCGAATCTTAGCTCGCCTCGCTTGCGCACGGCTCTTCCGACTTCCGACTCGTTCGGTTGGCCGAAATCCCGAGCATCCCACCCAACCTTGTTTGGGCGCATGCACAGCCAGTGAAAAGAGAGCGGGGCCGTCAAATTCGGCGAACCAAACGGACAAGTTGCAGAAGACGTGCAGGTGGGGTGGAAGAAGCAGAGAACCAAGACGCCGATACTGGTACAAGGGAGGACAGAAACGTGGACGCAAGACAAAGAACCGAGAAAGTATCCCGCGGAAGTGGGATCGGCACATCGGCACATCGGGGGGGGGGGGCGATGCTAGGCGGCTATCGGCGTGGCGACGGCGCTTTCGGTGCCCTTGGGATCGTACGACTGGAGCGGCACCGACTGGCCCTGGAGGCGGAAGTCGGCGCCGAGCTTGCCGCCCGGGTGGTTGAAGGCAAACATGTCGCGGCCAAGGCCCTTTGCGCGCGTGACGGAGAAGGCGAGTGCATCGCCCATGGCAAGCGCGACGGTGGTGCTGCTCGAGGGCGCGGGAACATCATCCCACGCCTCGTCGGTTGTAGGTCGTGGTGCACGCTGACTCCTGCGCACAGCGCGCTGCTTGCCGCCCGCACACGAGTCGCACTGAGCGGCTGTACTGCGCTGAATGCTCTCCGCCTCCGCATCGTCACCCGCCTCGTATTCGTCCTCGGACTCGGAGTCCGGGTCGTCCTTGCCGGTGGCGCAGTCGATCCATGCATCGGATGCCTTGACGAGTGCACTGTCGCGCTTGCCCACCAGCGCGATGATGGGACATCTGCGCATGTTGAGGTGCGGCACAAGCGCGAGGATCTCGGGCGACGATCCCGAGTGCGACAAGGCGATGACCACGTCGCGGTGCGGCGTGAGCAAGCCGAGGTCGCCGTGCAACGCCTCGGTCGGGTGGAGGAACATGGAGGGTGTACCGAGCGACAGGAAGGTGGCCGAGAGCTTCTTTGCGATGATGCCGCTCTTGCCTACGCCGGTGAGCACCACCTTGCCGCCGCGCTCGCCCGTGGTGGCGCGCAGCACGAGGCGCACCGCCTGGCGGAATCCGTCCTGCTGCGCCGAATACTTGGACAGCCTGCGCGCCGCCATGGCCAACGCACGTGCTTCGCGCTGCACGATCTGCGCCCCAAACGCCAGCGCCGAATCCAGCTCCTCCTCCACGCGACGATTCTCGGCCTCCACCGCCGCAGCTTCGCTGTCTTCGCTCGACTCGGCCTCTTCCCCCGCCCCCAGCGCGTGCGCTGGTGCAGAGTCGGTCTTGGTGGAGTGCCGCGCCGGAACGGCGGGCGAGAGCGAGAGCTTGTCCACCTCGGACGAAAGGTCGCTCACCGACGTACACGCCGAGGTGGAGGGCGAGTTGCGCTGCGACTCGAAGGCCAGCAGCGAGAGCTGCGACGTGGCCACCGAGCTGGAACCCGGGCTGAGCATCGCCGACACCGCAGGGCTGGTGCCGCCGCTCGACGCGCCGCTCGCCGAGTCCGAGCCAAAGTAGTCGCTCTTGAGGTTGGACATTGTTGTTCCGAGCCGGTGCGATATTGACAATCCGAAGCTCTTGCTGTAAGTCGATCCGGTGCGGCTATGTGTGTGTGTGTGTGTGAGCAACAACGAAATGAGCTCGAGCGGTGTATGCGTACTTTGACGGAGGAGCGGTCTTGGCGAGTCGCGGCTTTGCAGCAGTACTTTGAGCTGCCGGGTCGTACTGGGAAAGGGTGAAGGCGAGCGAATGTCCGTGTAGGGTGAGAGCAATATGTACAGACGACCGCGACTAGTGTATATGGACAGGCAAGGAGGACAGGTGGGACCGAGGGATGGGGATGGAGCTGAGTCGAGCAGCGCAATCGTTCGGGCGAAGGAGAGTTTGATATGGCCCTGGGTCAGGCCGGGGCTTAGCAACCTCCACGGACCCAGCAGGCTTGTCTGCCAAGGTGGGCTGCAGCGCAGGGCGAAATTAGAGGGCGTTTGGACGGGCAACCGTGCGGGCTTTTTTTGGCAGGCCATGTGCCGCGTGGAGTGCCTCCGATGCTGTCTGACGGCAGCGGTGCAGCCCGGTTGGAAACGGTTTGGATCGACATGCACCAGCACTCCTTGACGGCCGGCTCCCCCTCATCATCCTGATCTCAGCTCGATAAGAAAGAGCAAACAACAAAAAAGTGGAATTTTTTTTCGCGCATTTCTTCCGACGCGTCTGCCTCTTCTCAGGAGAGGGCACGGCCCCTAGATTGGTCCAGAACTGCACTGCCCGGCGTAAGCTACGCGGCCCCCCACCTTCCGCCCTTTTTTTTTCTCCACTTGGAAGCCGAATTCGCGCCGCGTTACAAAAGCAGACCGCCGCGAATAGATGCCGGACCCTGGATTCTCACCTAAGCTCCCTCCTGGGCACCCCAGCCACGGCGGCACTCCTTCCTGTCGTTCGTAGCAACAGGTTGCGGTCGCGCTCGTTTGCGTCGCTGCAGAGATGCAACGCGCGACCGCGCACGCGACACCGCTGGGTATGCCGCCGGCCTCGTTCCTGCTCTGTTGCTCTGCTCAGCTTGCGATTCCAGCGAAGGCAGCTGTGCAACGCATTACATGAGGCATTCCTGCCAATGAGCTAGTGATGAGGAGGCGCGCCCTGGGGTCTGCGCTTTCTCATTGCCGCGGAGTAAGTCTTCCGCCGCTATCCTTCACGAGCAGGCGAGCATCGTCTTGTGGCTGAGGAGCTGTTGCGAGAGTTGGAGCTGGCGCAAGGTGCATGCGAGATAGCGCCATCACGCACGTGCGTCGTACGGCTCGCTCGCTCGCAGCCTCTCTTGGCACGCGCAACGCCGCACTATCGGACACACGCTGGCACAGGTGGGGGCCCGAGGCAGTGGAGCTGCAGCGTGCAGATCGACAGCCGCCCAGCGGAGCCAGTTCCACAACGTTTTCGGAGCGTCGATCTCGGCGGCGCGCCTCCACTTGGCTGCGGATCGCACTCTGCCGCTCCTTACTCTAAGCGCGCCGCGCTCCAGCCAGCCGCGGACCCCACCTCGAGTGTATCGGGAAGTCGCCTTTTATCGGCGAGTGCATCGTCCGATTTGAAGCCCACCAAGGGTTCGTGCCGAGAGGAGCCCGGATCGGCAGCCTATGACGCAGGGTTCGTCGCAACACGCTCGAATTTCATGCACCCGCCTCATCGCGCGCAGCTGTCACACTGCGCTAACTCATCCGTCGCCGCGGCGTGCCTTTGAGCTTACTTGATGATGGCCGTGGTCTGGGTCCGAAAATCCGGTGCGGTGCCCTGCCACGCTTAGAGGCCGTCATCAGCTTGGCGTGGTGAGAGTGCTTCATCTTGCAGCGGCAATGCAACACGCCCTTTGACAGTCGCTTCTCCCGACCCTGCGCATGCACATCGACTATTTCTCCGGCGAGTCGTCGGCCAGTGAGTAAGCTCGAAGCGAAAAGAATCTTCGCATCGCCAGAGGGTCGCATGTCCCGCTGGTTCGCTCAGCTTGCCAATTCGCCGAGCAGCGCTTCTTCGTCGTCCCTGCAGGCACAGAGGCCGCTCTGACGTAGCTACTCTCTGCTGCAGGCGTACCTGACAGCCGGCCCGCAGACGCAGAATCCTGCTTCTCTCGAACCCTTTCCCGTCCTATCCTATTGAACCACCCTCGCTTTCCTTGCTTCAGCTCTACATCCATCTTCACCTTGTCAAAGCAGACTACGGAAGAGCTTGGTCGACCACATGTCGCAACCAACAAACCCACCTCGGGCGGTGGACAGCACCGAGGCAGCAGCACCTCGGGGCCGCTTCCACCAGCCCAAGCATGGCTGGATGCACGAGGTGCAGAAGCGCGTCGTGGGTCAGACGCCCAAGGGCAGTCCGCACGCTACGCCTCGGCCATCGAATGTGGGCGCTCAACGCTCTCGACCCACGTCGGAAGAGATCGACCGCGAGACGCAGGCCATCATCCACCGAACCGCGCGCTACGGAGGCGACGATCCTCGCGACCCACAAGATCACGCATATGAAGATGGTGCTGCGTCCAGCGACGCCTCGACACGCGTGCCCCCATCCCCCACCCACCCCGATGGCTCCAAGCCCAAGCACGCTTCTCAGAGGGAGGAGAGCGACGACACGTCCGAGCAAGGACGTCCACGCGGAAACCCGGACGAACAGGAGGACCCGAACCAGGTTGGTTGGGATGGCCCGGACGATCCAGAGAATCCTCAAAATTGGTCGCAAAAGCGCAAGTGGGCCCTCACCTTGCTCTGTTCCTTCCTTACTGTCAACGTGACCTTTGCTTCTTCAGCACCTTCCTCCGCCTCGCAGCAGCTCGCCGCCGAGTTCGACATCGGCACTACCACCGCCACGCTCATCACTTCCATCTTCCTGGCTGGCTACTGTCTAGGTCCCATCATTTGGTCCACCACCTCGGAGCTCGTCGGACGCAAGCTGATCTTCAGCATCTCGATGCTCATGTACACGCTCTTCATCCTCGGCCAAGCACTCGCAAAGAACCCGCAGACGCTGTTCATCACGCGCTTCATCAGTGGCGTATGCGCTGCTGCTCCCCTCACCAACGCGGGCGGCGTGATTGCCGACATGTGGGACCCCGTCGGAAGAGGCTATGCGATGAGCCTCTTCTCGTGCTCCGTCTTCATCGGTCCAGTGATGGGACCCATCGTGGGCGGCTTCGTCACGCAGTCCTACCTCGGCTGGCGATGGGTGTTCTGGATCATGCTCATCTTTGCCGGCGTATGCTGGATCGTGACGACGCTCTTCCTGCCCGAGACGTTTGCGCCCATCCTGCTGGTGCGCAAGGCAAAGCGACTGCGCAAACTCGACCCCGAGGCCAACAAGGAGCTCTATGCACCGCACGAAAAGAGCGACTGGTCCTTCAAAGGCGTCATGCATCGCACGCTACTGCGACCCTTCCAGATCTTGGCGCAGGAGCCGATCCTGGTCCTCATCACCATCTATTTGTCGGTCGTTTACGGGGTGCTTTACGGACTATTTGAAGCGATTCCTATCATCTGGTCGGAGCTCAGAGGATTCAACCTCGGCGAGGCGGGCCTCATCTTTGTGGCAGTCGGGCTAGGAACGACGATCGGTGGAGCAATCAACGTGTTGGTACAGCGACAGTACAAGACGCTGACGCCTTTCTGGCATGGCATGCCGCCGCCCGAGGAGAGGCTGATTGGGTCCATGATCGCAGGACCGATTCTGGTGGTCGGCGCCTTTTGGCTCGGATGGACGGGCAACTATCCGTCGGTGCCGTGGTACGTGCCTGCGCTGTCGCTGATTCCGATCGGAATGAGCTTCACGCTCGTATTCATCTCGCTGCTCAGCTACATTGTCGACTGCTACACGGTCTACGCCGCATCGGCATTGGCGGCCAATACCATCATCCGTTCTGCAGTCGGAGCAGCGTTCCCTCTGTTTACGAGGCAAATGTTCACCGGTCTCGGTGTCAATTGGGCTGCCTCGTTGCTCGGCTTTGTAGCGTTGGCGCTCACGCCGTTCCCGTACATCTTCTTTGTGTACGGAGCCAAGATCCGCCAGTGGAGCAAGTTTGCGCCCGCGCACGACCTTAAGATCCGAAAGCAGCTCGAGGAGGAGGGCAAGCTGCCCAAGGACAGCCTCAACTCGACCAGCATCATGGATCGCAACGGTGTCGCCGAGGCCAAGAAGGCTGCCGCCGCCAAGACCGATCCCGAAAAGACGCAGCAGTAGACTGTCAGTAAGTCGATGCGCTGGACGGCATCCCACCCATAGAAATCTGGATACGTCAGTCTCAAATATACGTCGACTCGTGATGATGGTGTGGGGCTGTGGGTGGTGAAATGAAATCCGACAAAAATGGCAGCGCGCTTTGGACGCCGATTAGTCCGGCTTTCTCCACCGACTCAGGGCTCGTGTGCCGTGCCAAGTGCAATTGTGTTTGGGTTGAACCCTGCGGTGAGGCCAATTCGTGATTTTTCTTCGAGATTTCACACAGCCTCAGCAGCGAGCAGTCATCGGGCGTCCGTGGGGCGTAGGAGGTTGCACTCGCCTGCATCTCTCTTCCCCTCCTCATTCCATCTTACCTGCTCCTGGCCTTCATCGTCCTTCATTCACTCGCGCTCGGCTCACCGACTCTGGTCACTCGCTCGCTCGCTCGCTTGCTCGTTGCCGCTGCCTCACATCACCACGCCAGTCGCACACACAGCTGGCGCGTGAGTTTGGCGACGCCGGCCGTCGCCCACCAAAGCCTGGCTGAGTTCATTTGGACTCATTCTTGGCGTCCGATCGCAATCACATCCGCCCAGCCACGAGCCTTCTCGTCTCTCTCTGCTTGTCTCTCTACCAAGAGTACCAAGGCCGTGGATCAAAGTTGGCTGCAACAATCCTTAGCTGCTCCCACGCCGCCGTGGCTTCTCGATCGGCCTCGCCCTCCCGACATAGCGGCATGCTTCTCACGCCCATCCGGGCAACAATCGACGACAACACATCACGCGCCTCGGCTCGACTCGATATGCCATCCCTTCTCTGAACGAGCTCCTTCCGCATCACATCGACCTCGACTCACATCCTCTCCCAAGTCACGCTCACGCACAGCCCTCCGCCCTTGCGCCCGAATCACGAACATTGGCGCATCTATCCCGTCTCGACACACGCAGCTCCTCCGGAACCGACGTCCATCGCCATGTCTGTCACTCCACCTCCGCACGGCGGTGCATCCACTCCGCCTACGGACGCCGACATGGCCGCACAGCCAGCTGCCAACAGATGGGGCACCGTCTCGGGCGGGCTTCGCAGCCCTCCCCCTGCGCCCTCCTCCGGAGCTGGCGTTCGGCGCAACCATACCATCCACGGCGCTCGCCACCATGGCAAACCTCGACTCGAAAAGCATTTCGAACAGCCAGAAGACTATCCAGCTTCTCCCTCCGTCGATCCAACCGCCGCCCAAGCAGCAGCAGCGCCACGCACCGACGACAACGCCGACGCCGCGCGCTCACTCGACGCCTCGGTCGATCTCCTCTCCTCTCCTTCGAGAAGCACCGACACCTCGGCCGGCTTCGCCTCATCGCTCACCCCCCTGCAAGCTTTGTACTCCAAGTCGAGCGTCTCGAGGAATCTCTCGTTACCCAGCCGCCACTCCTCCAAGCTGGCGGCCAATCTTCCTCACAGCGCCACTCAGGGTCGCACCAGCGCATTCAACAGTCTCTCGGCCATCACCGGTGGCTCCGACCTCGACGAGCACGACTGGGAAAAGATGATCCATTCCAGCAACGCCCTCGGCGATGAGCACCACCAGGATCCAAATGCTTCCCACACCGATCTCCCCTGGTCCTCTTCGCTCTTCTCGCAAGCTCAGTCCTCGCACCCAGCCTCGCCCACCGCACGCTCCGAGCTCTTTCTCGACACGCATTCGCACAACGGCAGCACTGCCACCGGCGACCTATACGACCCTACTTCAGCAACAGCAGACCCTGCCGCCGCACGCGCATCCACCGGCTTCGTGCGCCGTCACCAGTCGCTCAACCACCACTCCGGTCGCACCGCCGCCCACCGTCTCGCTACCCGCTCATCCGGCCTGAACAGCCGCTTTGCTGGCGATGCCGCCGATGTGCTCGGCCACTCCGACCCGGTCTTCAGCCCCGCACGTCCCACCGCAAGTCTGTCCGCGGCAAGCAGCCCGGTCATTCCCTCCTCCTTCTCAAAGGCACCCTGGAACCAGCCTCCCCAGGATCCCATCGGATCTCCGTCCCGCTTTGCCGCCTCCTTCCCCGCCCACAACCTCGACGGTACGCACTCCAGGATGCAGTCCGGCCTCGACGCTCCTTCCTCTTCGTCGCTCTTGGAAATCGGTGACACTCTCTCCAACCTTGACCTGACTGGCTCGTCCCCAGCGCGCGCAGGCGAGGATCTCTTCGACATTCCGCTATCCAATGCTGCCTCTGCTTCGCATCTTGCCCATGGCCATGCCATGCAGCCTAGCCTGTCCGCCTACAGCAACGACGCTGACGCTCGTCCCGCAAGCGCCAAGAGGCTGCCACAGCTCGTCACCAACCGAGATGCGCTCCAAGGCGCCCACAGAGCAGCACCCAACAACTCTTTGCCGCCTGGCCCCATGTCCGCCTCGGCATTCGTGCCACCCATCGGCCACGCACACTCGCGCAACCAGTCCAACGATCCCAACGGATCCCATGCCCCGCTCTTTGATCCCGTCTCCTCTCGACTCGGCCCCTTCACCGCCGCGCCCACAGGCACCTGGCTCGACAAGGATGCCATCGCCGGTCGCAGCGACGCTGGGCCAGGCGCAGGCCCAATGCCCGACTCGCAACCATGGCCGATGCAGGCGTCCGCAGCTCCTTTCGCATCCATGGGAATGGACCCCAACGTCATGGCGCTCAGCATGGCGCTTGCACAGGAGCAGCAGCGCAACGCCATCCTTCAGGCACAGCTCGGCGCGCGCCACGCAGCGCCGGGTACGCACGAGCCGCACCTCTTTGGCATGCAACCCATCGACCTCAATGCCAACATGCAGTCCATTGGTCAGCAGCTCCGCGGTGGGCCTTTGCCAGGTTCGCCGCCTGTGGGCAATACGACCAACCTCCCCGCGCGAGGTGGCGCATTCCAGATGCAGCCGCCGCCGCCGCCACATGCGCAGTACCGTTCGCCGCCCCTCGCACACGCAGCGCTTGGTCGTGGTGGCGCACCCCATGCGCCAGCCCAGGACGGTGAGGCCGAGGCGCCGACGCCCGTCGATCCCACCTCTCTCGCCATCGAGAAGGGCTACAACCCGGCGCCGGGCACGTTTGATCTGGCGCCGGCCAATGCGCGCTTCTTTGTGATCAAGTCGTACACGGAGGAGGACGTGCACAAGTCGCTCAAGTACGAGATCTGGGCATCCACCGACAAGGGCAACCAGCGTCTCGACAAGGCGTTCAGAGAGAGCGCAAGTAACGGGCCCATCTATCTCTTCTATTCGGTCAATGCGTCTGGACACTTTTGTGGCATGGCGCAGATGCTCACGCCGCTCGACTATGCCACCTCGAGCAACGTGTGGGCGCAGGACGGCAAGTGGAAGGGCACGTTCAAGGTGAGGTGGATCTATGTCAAGGACCTGCCGAACAACCAGCTGCGGCACATTCGGCTCACCAACACGCCCGAGTGTAAGCCGGTGACGCAGTCGCGCGACACGCAGGAGCTGACGCCCGAGGCGGGACGAGAAGTGCTGCGCATCATGGCCGACTACACGCACAAGACGAGTCTGCTTCAGGACTTCAACTTTTACGAGATGCAGGGACGTGCTGGCACTCAGCCCAGGCCAGCTATGAGTAGCCCAGCAATTGGCCTGGCGGGTTTGCCGCCGCGCAACAGTCCCAAGCCGGGCGCCTCGCCTGCGCTCGCGTTTGGTTTGCCTTTCCCCACCAGCCCCGACGCAGGGTACGCCGCACGCAGTGCCGTCTCGCCCAACGCAGTGTCTCGCCGTGCGCAGGGCCAGGCGACTCCGCAGCGCATCCAGACCGTCTCTGGGCTGGGCCTCGCGCCGGGCACGCCACGCAAGCCCAACCCGATTCCCGATACGGACCCCAAGCTCGACGCCGCCTCGCAGGTGGACGCGCAAAAGAGCGCCATCGACGCCGCGCACTCCGCCGGCCTCGCTCCCTCGGCGCTGTAGCATTCAAATCCCACAGCCAAACGCAATGTTTAATATGATCGGCACGTCATCTGCTGTGGTCCGCCCAAAACAACCGAGTGACGTGAGTCTCGACGCACAGAGTTGTGCAGAGGTTCGTTCCTGGCCCCCGGCCTTGGCGTTGGAGCACAGGATACCGCCGAGGACGCCGCGCATTCCGCCGGCCTCGCTCCCTCGGCGCTCTAGCATTCGAATCCCACAGCCAAACGCARTTTTTGGTATSATCRGCACGTCATCTGCTGKGGTCCGMMYARAACAACCGAGTGACSTGRGTCTCGACGCAYAGAGTTGTGCAGAGGTTCGTTCCTGGCCCCCGGCCTTGGCGTTGGAGCACAGGATACCGCCGAGGACGCCGCGCATTCCGCCGGCCTCGCTCCCTCGGCGCTCTAGCATTCGAATCCCACAGCCAAACGCAGTTTTTGGTATCATCAGCACGTCATCTGCTGGGGTCCGAATAGAACAACCGAGTGACCTGGGTCTCGACGCATAGAGTTGTGCAGAGGTTCGTTCCTGGCCCCCGGCCTTGGTGTTGGAGCACAGGATACCGCCGAGAACGCCGCGCATTCCGCCGGCCTCGCTCCGTCGGCGCTCTAGCATTTGATACGCACACGCAATGTTGACTATCATCAGCTTCCACGCAAAACGGCTGTGTGGCGTGAATGTTGACACAGAGAGTCGCCCGGGCGTCGGACGCCCCAGCAGAGCGCCATCGACGCTCGTTCGGCGCTCTGGCATCCAAATCGCACAGCCACGCAATGTCTGACATGAGCAGCTGTCACCCGCTGTGATCCGTTCGAAGTGCTCTGAACCGTTCGGAAAGCCGAGTGTGACGCAGAGAGCAGTGCAGCGGTTCTTTCTTGGCAAACAGCCTCAGCGTGTGGGGCAATTGTTCTAGCGTTCTAGTTCCACACTCACGCAACGCTGAATATCATCAGCTGTCGCCCTCTGTGATCCGCACAAGAAGCTTAATATCACGCTGAAAGTGTGCCGGGACTTCGTTCTTGGCACGCAGCCTCGGCGTCAGACGGACGCCCCAGCAGAGCGCCACCAACGCTTGCTCCGCACTCTGGCATTCAAAGCGCACAGCCACGCGATGTTGAACATCATCAGCTGAGGCTGGGAGGACATTGTCCGTCGCGGGCCTGGCAGACATCGGGCAACCTGGCGTATCGGCGGGTCTCTGCGTGTCATTCGACGATGTCGCAATTTTTCTTGTCTCGACTTGGCCTTAATGTCTCTTTCAAGACAGCAGCGTACGGGGGAGAGCGGTCCGAAAGTAGGCCTTGGCCTTGGTCAGCGTGTGTACACCCCTTACGCAAGCCTTCAAGCCTGTGTCAAGCTGCCTGCGAACCCGCCGAACCGACACTTTTCATGCCTCCTGACAGGCTTTCGCGGCGCACGAGCCGGGAAAAGCGATCGGGATGTGCGATCTCCCGGCTGTGGTGCGTGAATCTGCTCCCACGCTACCTGCAGATGCGAGACGTAGCAGCGCCAATTGCTCTTACCCGCACCAAAGCGCCACAGCTCGCTGTATTGGATCGATCCGAGGAGCGCAAAGGAAAAAGAGACTTGTCCGCAGACACATGACGATTTCCAACGCATGCGCATCGTCTGGCTTTACCTGCTTGACAGCTCCACGGGCGAAAGAGCAGACGTCGAGGGTCGTCTTTGCGCTCCAATATGGCTTCCACCAGAGCCGTTTCTGCTAAGTGCAAGTCTCACTGAATGCTCTCGCTGCAGTTCGTGCACGCGCACGTTTGGATGTGAGTGGGTTTCTGCCTGAAGCATTGCGAAACCAAGTGAGAAGCTACAGCGATCGAGAGGCATCTTGTGAAGTCGCTACGGCCTCGCATGCGGGCAGTGATGCAAGGTAGGCTTCGTCGGCTCTGCAGAGTCCAGCGCCGCAAAGTTGGGCGGGAGCAGCGGTGGAAATGCTGCTACGAGTAAAGACGCGGAGGTAGGTCGTGTGGCCTATTCAAGATAATCTTCCCACTATCAAAGGCAATACACGTCAGCGTTCTGACACGCGTCCGCGCTCTGAAGCTGTCGCTGCTATATGGTCTTCACTCACCTTTCCTGGAAAGTGCTGTGCTCTCCAAAGTTGCTGGATAACCATGGTGGTTAATTTCCACAACCGGTCAAAGTCGCGATCGTTTGGAGATTCCTCCCAGCACGCAAGGAAGATTACCAGCGCACTTTGCGCGAGCTGTTCAGACTCCGTCGTCGGAATCGGCCAGCTGAGCCAGTCGTAGGGTCTGAGGGGCTGGCGGTCCATGATGATACCCGGAGTGACGCTCGAGAGATGTTTTCGATGGCCTGAAGCTAGGAGATTTTGGGACGATGCTGATGAAGATGGGTGTTGGTAGGTGGTGGTGGTCGAGGAGGATGTAGGACCCCAGTCGGTGCGCATTCAAAGGAGTAGACCAGCCTGCTGAAAGTGCGGAAAGTGCCGAGGAAAGTGCGGGAAGCGGCATCACAACCAGCACACTCCGGACTGCGCACCGAAAGGGGACGGAGAAGCGCCCGACTTTGTTGAAGCAACCCCAACTTCTCCCTAGCGACTTCCTCTGCTCGGATTGAGCGAGAGTCACGTCGTCTCACTCGATCCACTCCGCTCCAATCAAGGAGTGCACCGTCAGAATTTGAGCCAGAACCGGCACGGTTCCGCTCATACGAGGAGGACGAAACGGCCAAAAGCCAAACCATAATCGAGCGGGACCAAGACTTCCGCTGTCTCGCGGTGTGCCGCTCGCCCGATCAATGTGACAATACGCGCCTGCGACAGACTTGACTCGGTGTGATTGTAGAGGATCCGTCTAATGAAGCTGTCAACTCGCACATGCGGCTGCGCAAAGTGTGCGCAGAGTGTCTGAGTCGGGTAGATCACGGGATACACTGTCAGAATGCCTGAACCTAGAGGTTCACGGCGCAGCTCGAAAATGAACAGACGGATGTGCGGATGCACGTGTGTAGCGACGTTTGTCGACCATCCCGCATCCTCTAACATGGTTGTGAGCAGAGTTCCTCGCGCTCATCCCTGCCGCACCAGTACGGCATCCATCTCGATGCCCGCCTCTGGCTCGATCAACACTACCAGACCACACAGCCTCGCAAGATTGAAGATCATCAGCTGGCATGCGCTGTCATTCGTATTGCGGCTCGCTAATACACAGGGAATCCTGGATTGGCGGCAGCGTAGGCACGCAGTCCGCCGATGAGGTCCGACACTTTGAGCTCCGCGTGTGGCTCGCGCTTCGGTTCTGCCTGTGCTCCCGAGTGCGCGGCGAGGTCGAGTGGGTGCGACGGACTTGTCTCGGCCTGCGTGTCCTTTCTCGCTCGGAGCTCATGTTGGAGCTTCAGCAAAGAGCGAACGGCAAGTTGGGAGTCATTGCCCTTCTTGCACACCACCAGCACCTCTTCTGCCTTTGCCCTGTCCTTCTCGTGTGTGATCGTGTCCCACGCGCTATGTGGATCCCTGAGCAGCTGTTGGATGGGTAGGTTGAGTGATCCGTCGAGACGCGTAATGCCAAACTCGACCGTTGGACGTACATCCACCACGAGCGCGTGTGGATTCATTCCCGACACTGCGATTCTCGGCAGCTCGTCTCCCTGTGTAGGGACTGCGTTCAGCCCGCAGAACGACGCATAGTCCTCCTGCTCGAGATCCGTGATCATCGTTTCGGCGACCTGGGCCGAATCGCCGCACGCGCGGCAAGTAGCAATGCGTCGCGGTCGAATTTTGACGCTGCGGAACGGTGTGCCCGTCATAGGCGCCATAAGCGTGAGCATTGGCGGAGTATCCTCGCCGATCCCTGCGAGTATCTTGGTCGCTTCGAGCGCCTGCATTGTGCCCACGAGCCCCGTGACGCTGCCGAGCACACCGCCGTCCTCGCAGTTGGTCACTTCGTCTGGTCGCGGCGCCTTGGGGAACAGACAGCGGTAACACGGCCCGCGCGCGTCCGTGCCTGCTGCCGCCTTGGGCCCGGCAAACTCGGCCTTGATGCGCTTGTGCAGCACGACGAGCTGGCCATCGTAGCCCTGCGCAGCGCCCGAGACGACTTGGACGCCCTCGAGCACCGCGGCGTCCGAAACGAGGTAGCGCGTCAGCGGATTGTCGGTGCAGTCGAGCACGAGATCCTGGCCGCGCATGAGCTCGCGTGCATTCGCCGCGGTCAGGGCATATTCGAGCGGAAGCGCAGTGATGTGCGGGTTGATCCGCTGCGCCGCCTGGGCAGCCGAGACAGCTTTGGCCATGCCGACGGTGTGCACGCTGTGCAGGATCTGGCGCGCAAGGTTCGACGGCTCCACAACGTCGTGGTCGAGGATCGAGATGCGACCGACGCCCGCGGCTGCCAGGTACTGGATGGCTGGGCAGCCAAGACCGCCCGCGCCGACTACGAGCACCTTGGCGCGCCGCAGACGCAGCTGGCCCGCCAGTCCGAAGTCCGGCAGGATCATCTGCCGCCCGTACCGCGCGTACTCGCCCAGGGCCATCGGCAGCGCCGTGTTCTGAGGTGCGGCGATTTGTGGGCCGCTGACGTCGTGGGACGCGGCTGGTGGCTGTGCGTCCATCTGCACCGGCTCCGATACGTCGGCGGCGGGTACTGCTTTGGGCGCACCTTGATCGGCAGTTTGAGGCTGCGAGGCAGGCCGCTTCGAGGCGACGACAACCGGCAGCGTAGCGGGGTCGAATTCAGCCGCGGTGCCGCCGAGGACATCGCGAATGTGCTTGAGCGCGGTGAAGCTCATGAGTGTGTTGATGTCGATCTGCTCCAGCTCATCCGGTCGAGGGGCGGCGGACCGATCGAGCCAGCTCTGCTCAAGCACCTGGATGCACACGGACAGCGCCGAGCCGATCGCCCTGTTGGCAGCAGTGAGCTTGGCCAGTGGATCCGAGGCCTCTTCGGCTGCGTCTTTGGACCGCATCGATACAGACGGCGAAGCTCGCATGGCGCTTGCCGGGACTGGCTCAGCCTGCTCTGGAGCCTCCATGACGGACAGCCCCGGGCGAGACTTTTTCTCGGAAGCTGCATGGCCGACGGTGGCAGCTGAGCCTGTAGTGCGCAATGCAGCTTGGCTCGAGAACGCCTGATCGAACCCGGACGGGAAACCGGACGTCTCTGGCTTGTTGTTGCGGTATGCTCCTGCCACGCCCGCTGCCGCCGCGGCGGCGACGCTTCTGGAGACGTTGACGAGCGCGCTGTTGAGCGACTGCGGAAGCTCGGCACGCTCGTACCAGCCCTTGGCAAAGTCGCTGATGCCCTCGGGCACGTAGGCTGCTGGATTGATGCCGAAAGCGCGAGTGCCGTTGGCGTCGACGCTGCCGCTAGACTGTGGCAAGGCGCCCAGCGGATCACCAGCCGCAGCCGGTGGCTGCCAGCGTCTAGCATCTGGACTGGCGTGGTGCGCTGTTGAACCGCCTCGCGGGCTCTGGTCCTGCTCGAGGCGGGACCAAGGCGATACGCGATTCGCCGGTCCCGAGGCAGCTCGACCGACTGTCGCGAACTTTGGGCCGCCGAGTCTTTGCGCTCGGGCTGGGCTCGAGTTGGATGGGACGGCCTCATCGGGCGTAGGCATCGATTGCACCGGGATGCCGAGCAAATCGCGGTTCTGCATGACGACGGCGACGCCGGTGCCGGGTCGATCGCCGCTCTTCTGCATGAATATGGCCTGCTGGATGAGGAGCGACGGCTGTGCTTGTGCCTCTGGCGGGTAGCGGAGGAGGCTTTGCAATGCGGAGGTATGGTCGCCGGCGAGCAGCTGGTTGCGGATGCGGAGGAGCATGGCGATGCACACGTAGTCGATGAGTGCGAGCGAGCGATCGGACGCAAACATGCCGTCCCAGATGGCGATGGCATCGTCCAGGCCGAACTCGCGCGTAAAGATCATACGGATCCAGCGGAGGCAAAAGATCTGCGGCTCGATGCCGAGGCTCTCGAGGTGCTGTGCGAGTGCCGGGTCGAGGCGACGTAGCAGGTCGAGGATGTGCTCACACTTGACCACGATTGGCAAGGGTCGACGTGCGGTCTCAGGAGACTGGCGCGCGTTCGCTGGTGCTAGCGGATTGGCGGATGGCGATGTTAGAGGCGAAGACCCTGAGCTTTCGCGCCAAGCGTACCAGCTCTTGGCGCTTTGCATGAGAGCACCAAAGAGGGCATAGACGTCGTGCTCGATAAAGACATCGGCGAGGGCGTGGTCGAAGGGGGCATCGTCGGAGGCCTGCGTGGAGAGCCTCGAGGCCTGCGCTGCGGCAGCCCGGCGGCTGTCAACGGCGCCATCGCTGCGTACTTTCCAGAGCACGGCTGCGAGCTCGTGCATGCCTTGACGGTAGCCGACGTCTTCGTTTTGGAGGGCCCAGAGGAAGAGGATGTTGGTGAGGGATTGCTGGACACGGACTTGACGGAAGACGGGCAAATCTGGGAAGGTGCGTTCGACGTCTTGTAGGATGACCCTTCTGGTCTCGAGCGTGGTGTAGTACGTCTTCCAGGGATTCGAGTCGTCAAGGCTGAGCGGATTGTTGACTGAAAGATCGTGCGTTACAGCGGGTGTGTGTGTCTTCTGCGAGGAGGCTGATCCTGTGAGGGCGGATTCTAGAGTAGTATGGCGTCCGTCGAAGCCCACTTCCGGAGGATAGTTGCCGTCCGGAGCACGGAGGAGACGCGAGCGGAGCTCGTTGTATGCATCGCGGTCTCGCTGCAAGACGGCATGCCAGGAGGAAGGGATGCTGGAGATGTGTTCCGTAAGGAAGAGTTTCCACTGGATCCAGCGAAGCGAGGCGTCATCTTGCGACGCGATCTTGCCCGCTATGCAACGTTGCCTTAGCAACTCGATAGCAGGAGTCACGCCTCGTCCGACGAGCGAAGCCCATCGTGTGCTGTTTTCAGCGACAGAAAGGCGCAGAAATGAGTCAGTGTCCTTACAGCAGATCCAGCTAAGCGGGCCACAGCTAGGGCTTACCTGATGGCGTCGTTGGTGGTGGTGCTTTGGGCTGTCGTTGAGACGGACTGGCTCGGGCTCGGGCGCGGGCGAAGCGGCGACGAAGACGCAGCCAATGGGTCGGTCATACCGCCTGCCCTCGGCCAGTCTTACGGATGAGCCGAGCAGCGAGCAGTATGGTGGTGGCGATGACGGTCGCGAAGAGTGCGTCGGCTGCCGTGATGGTGAGGCTAGGAGAGTGAGAAGAGAGCGCCTCGGCAAGGCGAGGTGCACTCAGTCAGGGGATCTCTAAAAGTGGAGTTAGGCACTTCACCCCAGACCGGGCGCGTCGGGACGCTTCTCAAAAAACCCACAGACCAACACGTCGGCAACATCCGAAGCCAAAGGGTCAACTTTACTCGAAGTCTGCCGAGGATCCGCCGGACAGCTGCTTCTTCACGACGGAGCAGCCGACTCTCGCGGTCGACTTCCCACCTCCATCTCATCCGACAATCATGCCACACTGAAGAGCTCACTCGCCATGTCGGATCACCCGAACGTCCCTGGAGCAGGCGCCGGACGCCAATCGATGGACGACGGCGGCCAGAGGATCCGCACCTGCTCCATCCCGCTCTCGTCCGGCTCATCGCGGATTGGCAACCTGGAATGGTCCGATCTCGGGCAGGCACTCGTGGTCACAGAGGATAGCCTCGTCATTCTCTCTCCTCTCAGCCCCCTGAACCCAGCTCTCGTGCCTCAGAGCCGCGCACACGACGTCGAATGCCACCCTCGCTGGCAGGGTCGCTTCCCTCACTCGCTCGTCCAGATCAACGTCCAGACGTTCCTCGAAAACGAACACAGCCTTCGCAGCAGGATCATCCTCGAAGCAGACCATTCCGCCGTCGACCCTCGCTTTCTCAACCTCCAATGGACCTCCGCCACCTGGTCCAAGCCCGGCATGGGCCCGCATGGAAGCTGCCTCATCCTCGCCACCACCTCGGAACTCGATCTGTTCGTGCTCGGCGCTCCTCGCAATGCCTGGACTGGTGAATGGCGCTTGCTGCATGCCGTCGACCTCCAGCCAGTGGCGGGTCTTGCCCAAGTCGGTCTGCCCAAGTCGAGTCCTGCCTCGTCCCACGCTGCCGGCGACCGGGACATCTTCACCCGTTCACGAGCACTATTGCGAAAGAAGCAGATGGCAACCGAGGTGCTCTGTGCCGCTTTCATTGATTTGCCCTCACGAGCACCTTTGCTGGCCCCATCCACCTACATCATTGCCGGCACTCGATCCGGTCACCTCGCCGTCTGGGAGTGCCATGCTTCCACTGGCCACTGCACCTTCCTCACCGCCACCGCCGTCAGCAACACAGCCATCGAACAAATCAGCTTGAGCGTGCAAGCTGCCGCCCTCGAAGCTGATGCTCAAGCCAGAATCGCCTTTCAAGACGCCGGCGGCATCAGGCTGTGCGATTTCTACGCCCTCGAGGATCACGCCGTCCTTCAGCTCATCGAATCGCCGTCCGTCCGTACAGGCCACTGCATGGTGACAGCCTGGCATTGGTCTGATCACCGCCTCCTCTATGCTACGATAGGTGCCATTCACATCTACGACGTCCATTCCGCCGAGGCCGCTGTCTTTGCGCTGGTTACCGACGCGGCAAGTGACGACGACCCTTATTTGCCTGTCGTAGCCATCGAAGCATCCCCGGACCCCGCGTTCCTTGCAGTGGCAATTCTGCAAGACCTGCGCAAGTATCACATTCCGCCGCCCACGGTCTCACCGACGGAAACGCAGCCCACCCCGCTGCTACCAGTCCACGCATCCACTTTGCTTGGATATCCTCCACTCACCGAGAGCCTTCAGCGCAAGCACGACTTCCACCAAGCTTTCCTCGCCTATCGGTCCGAGTCGGGCTCGAGCCTCGCCTCGGCTTCGCTCATCGGTGCCATTCGTACAGACGAACGCGTCGCCTTTCTCGGATATAACGTTTCAGACACACTCCGATACCAGCTCGAACTGGTCCACAACAGTGCCGCGACGCCTGAACGAGCGATCGATGAGGCACTCGGCGCCTGCATTCAACCGCAATCGCGCCCGTCTCCGCCATACCTCTTCGCGCGTACAATTCTGGCCCTGCTCGCAACCTCGTCGGACGCAGACGCATATCGGAGCAGCCTCCATGCTGCCATTCAGCAGCGATGGCAAAGCTTACTGCAAACATCAAATGACGGCACCGATCCAGAGCCGAGACTTGCAGAGGGTCGGCACAGGCAGGGGTGCCTGCTCTTCATCCTGGCCTGCCGCTTGAGCGAGCAATGCGCACATCCACCGCCCGCACTCGATGCTCTGCGCAAGAAGCATAAAGGCAGAGTTCTGTATGACTGGCTTCAAAGACAACTGAGCGACCTCACTCCGCGACTGTCTTCCTCGCCGCAACCTACCGAAGAGGACCGCAAGCTGCTCACACGATTCTCCGTGGCCGCCCGCATGCTACCTGCAGCCTCATTCGAAGCGCAAGAAGAGCAGCAGGTCGTGGTGACAGAAGAGACTTGTGCCGCCTGCCAGGCACAGCTCACGATGCGCTGGGACGAGCATCAGAACGACTTTGGCTGGGCCAAGTGCCAAAACGGTCACGTATGGCGTAAGTACTGTCTCGACTTTATCGTGAGAAGCCAAGCCAAAACGCCAGCTGAGAACTGACCATGACCTTTTGCACGCTTTGATCGACTCGCCGCGCCAACAGCAAGGTGCTCGGTGAGCCTCGCCACCATCTCGGATCGAGAGGTGCGCGTCTGCACCGCCTGTTGGGCAAAGTCTCTCGTCCCAGGCCGACCGGGCCAGAGCGCTTGGCAGACCCGTGTATTGGACGCAGTCAAGACCTGCCTATTCTGCGGCAGCTGTTGGATCCTACGGTGATCTGCAGCCGATTCCCACCATACCTCGTATATACCCCGGGAATGTTAGCCCTTTGCATGATTGCAGGTGTTGGATCGGCAAATAGAGCGGAGATTTTGCCTCGGCTCAACTCGGGCATGCTCACGTCGCGCCGAGTCGAGGGAAGAAGTCGAGAGAAAAAGGCGCAGCTGACCGGCAATTAACACTTTTTTGTGCAAGGCCTGCATGTGACTCAAAGCGGCTCCTGCATTGACCGGCGCCGACCGATAAGCGCTCTCCCTTTCCAACCTCCACGTACCTCCCCCTTCCATCGAACACTCGCCATCACGGTAGACCTTTTCGATCGTCAACATCATGAGCCAGCAGCACCAGGAAAAGAAGAAGAAGGTGGTGTCGATCGCACTGCTCGTGGCTGATACGCCTCCGCCGCCCGTGGTGGCGGTTCGCGGCGACTACACCAAGATCTACCCGCGCTTTCTGCAGGAGTCGCTCAACACGATCAAGCGCCATCCGTGGCAGCCACACGTCGAGCTGCACATCCGCTGCTACGACGTGGTCAAGAAGATGGAGTATCCGGACGAGGGTCAGTTGAGCGATGGACTTTGGGACGCCGTCATGATCACCGGCAGCGCCTCGTCGGCGTATCTCGATCTGGAGTGGACCAAGAAGCTGGCAGCGTTCCTGCGCGCAACGGCGGAGAACCATCCACTCGTGCGACTGATCGGTATCTGCTATGGTCACCAGATCCTGTCTCGCGCGTTTGATGGTGTCGTTGAATCAAACCCTAAGGGATGGGAATTGGGAACCACCTCTTGCACGCTTACCGAGCAGGGACGATACCTTCTCGGGTACGACGAGCCATCGGAAGGAGACCAGATGGCCATCCAACAGGTGCACAAGGATCACGTCATCGATCTTCCGCCCGACTTTGGTGGCGAGAGCTTCGAGAATCTGGCTTCCACCGACATCTCGCCCATCCAATCGCTTATCCTGCGCTACCCCACCGAAGCACCGCCGCTTGCATCCACGGCGCAGACCTCCGCATACATGGCATTCGATATCGAAGACTCGGAAACCGCATCATCGGGTCCACACCCGTTGCGAAACATGCACGTGCTCACCTTCCAAGGCCACCCCGAATTCGACCGCGAGATCGTGGAAAACATCATCGAGGTTCGCACCGAAATGGGCATCGTCACGGGCGAACTGCGCGAGCGCTCGCTCGTCAACGCAAAGAAACCCCACGACGGCCTCAAACTAGGCCGCGCCATCCTCGCCATGCTCGGCATCGAAGAGGCCCGCACCGACTCTGGCGACAGCATGATCAACGTCTAGTCACGCACAACCCCCTCCAAGCATTTTCTAATCTCGTCTTAATCTTATCAAGCGCAGTGAATCAGTGTTCATCTATATTGAGGTGCCGTATCGGTCCAAAGAAAGCCTTTGGATTGTGAACAGGCGTTGGAGTCAGGGGAAACATGTGAAGGATGGCGCCTGTAAGGACGCATGCCAGGTATCGGGGGAATGCATGGTATGAGGACTTGTCGAAGCGGCAGGAGCGGCGCCGACGCGAGACTGTCGAGCGGTCCAAGTATTACTTGGACGAAGAGGCTGCGGCAGCAGCGGCGCCAGTCGGGGTGGTGGTACCGCTGGCCTTCTTGTCCTTCTTGCCCTTCTTCTTGTTCTTGCCAGCCGCCTCGGCGACCAGACGCTCGAGTTCTCTACGCTCGTCGTCGCCCTCGTCCGGCTGCACCGCCTTGTAGATCATGCCGAGGAACATGATGGCCTGTGCACGGTTGAAGAGCACCTTGTCGCTCACGCCCTTCTCGTTGAGCACCTTGTCGCACACCTGGCGCAGGATGCCCGAGATCTCGAAGCGCGTGCCCCTCCAGGTGGCCAGCAGCATCTTGCCGCTCATGTCCTGTTCGAGCGCGCGCAGCTCGTCCTCGGGGATCTCGCCCTTCTCCTGGCGGCGCGCGAGCTCGTCCATGGATGCCTTGACGTTGAGCGCCGAGCCGAGCATGCCCCACGTCTCCTTGACCACCGCGCCGCGCTCCTTCATGCGGCTCATGAAGCCGCCAAAGCCGAGGAAGCTGTGCTTCTTGGTCTTGATCCACGTGGTTGCCTTCATCACGTAGATGTTGCCGATGGCGTGCAGGAGCTCGACACCGAATGACTCCAGCTTGAGGTCTTCGGCCTCCTCCTTCATCTTGCGCTCAAAGATCTGCGTCTCCGAGTCGTCCTTGTCGCCCGGGTTGCGTGCCTCGACAAAGGGTCGGATGCGGTCCTTGAGCTTCTGGACCAGCTCCTCGACACGCTTGCGCTCGTTCTCCTCCTTCTCCTTTTCGAGCTCCTCGAGCTTGGCCTTCTGCTCTGGGGTGAGCTTCTGCTTCTGCTTGGCATCCTCCTTCCTCTTGGCCTCGGCGATCTCCTCGTGCGAGGCACCGGCCTCGGCAGCCTTTTGCGCCGCAGCCTCTCCCGCCGTAGTCGCCTCGGCGGGCAGGTCGGTCTTTTGGGCATCGACGGCAGCGGGCGTTTCCGAGGCGTTGGCCTTCTTGTGCTCGGCCTTCATCTGGGCTTCGAGCTCCTCCTTCTCCTCCTCGGTCATCATGATCTCGGATGCCTTGCCAAAGTCTTTGATCAGGCTAATCTCGCCGATGAGGTCGACGAAGCGCTCGCCGCCGAAGAGGCTGCCAAACATGTCGGTGGCCTCCTTGAGACCGACTTCATCGGTCGGCTTCTTTTTTCCGTATTTGTCGTAGTCGGCGCGCAGGTGGTTGTCGCTGAGAACGCGGTAGGCCTCGCCGATCATCTTGAATGTCTCTTCGTCGCCGCCCTTGTCTGGGTGGTTCTTGATGGCGGCTTTTCGGTACGCCTTTTTGAGCTCGAGATCCGAGGCGTCGCCGCGGACGCCGAGGAGGTCGTAGTACTCCATGTCGGCGATCTTGGCACCGTCGCGGGAGATGTCGCGTGCGGTGGTGGGCTCGCTTGGCGCAGCCGGTCCGGGCGCCGGGGCCGCCGCTGGCGCAGACGTTGTTGCTGTTGCGTCCGCCATGGTTGTAGTAGATCACTGGTGTGGGCGCGCGATATCGGATGGACAGCAGGGCTGGGTGCGGTCCGTTTGATGCGTGTGGTTCGGAGGGAAGGAAGAGTGGAGCTCGACGAGGCCGAAGATATGATGCGGTGCGGCTTCCGAGCGGGTTTGACGCATACTCGGCACGCATGTTGCTTGGCGCGTTGCCCTGCCCAAAAAAAAGTCTCGCAGCAGGAGGGCTGTGCAAGCTGACGGTCGGGCTGGGCAGTCAGGCTCCGCCGACGCTCGGAAGCGCTGTACGATGAAATCACACTCCCACCACACTTCGGGAGCCGGGTGCCGTTCTAATTTTCACCGTCCGCGGCCCTCCAAACTCGAAATTCAGATCTCGCTACTCGTCTGTGCTCGAAGAGACGTGCGCAGCAGCCGCCTGCAACAGTGGACCCGCGACCGACTTGTGCGCTGCGCAGGCCCGTTCGTCGACCAGCCCTGGACTATATAGTCAACGCACCTACGCGCACTCCCCGGTCGAATCCCCACTCTTCTGGCCTATTGTACGTACCCCTCCCCAATACTCCGTCCTGCCATGCCTCTGCGACCGCCGTGTCTGACCGCCTTCTTGCCTTGCTCGCCATATCGTCTTGCAACCATACAGGGCTTAGATCATGTGTAGTATCTGTTCTAAATAGATTGACATCTATTTCTCCTCGCTCCGGCGAGGATTATATTGTCATACACTTTTTCCTTGCGGGAGGTCACCGTTCAGGTGCTTGCACCTCGGGACCTCGAGGATGTCCTTGGCCCTACACTTCCGCCTCGAGACGTCCGCCGTCTTCTCTTTTTTGCAGTCCTTCGCTTATGTAATCCGTGGTCATCCGCGCGCTTTGATTTGCGGTATTCTAGAAAATGCGTGTCAGAAATGCTTGAACTCGAGTGAAGCCCGCACTGCCGTCTGCTGTTGCTTTCAACTCTAGCCAGTCTCGAAAAAGGGGGACGCAAAAATGCGGGTCGAAAACGCGGACCCGTCCTCGATCGGGGCTTCACCCAGCACATATGAAAGGCGGCGCAACGCCCCCACCCCCGCAAACAGGTAGGGATAGGGGCACACAACGACACGAGGGCATCGACCACAACAGATCTGAAGCAGCTGCTCCGAAGGAGAACGGACGGCAAGCATGCTCTTGGCCTCGGACAGCACATGGACATGCGATGCATCGGGGCAGAACCGGATCGGGCTCCACACACCCAAAACAACACCACAGAGACGCGCTGTGTTGCAAAATGTCGCGTCAAGCTACCCAGTCGCGGGTGACAATTTGAAGCCGCTTCTCGCGCAGCTCGGCCATGCCCTGCAAGAGCACACCCGCACCTGCGGCCCACGACTCAGCACCACACCACCAACTTCCTATATCCACTCAAGCGTCACCAACACCATTGACCAGTGCAGTCTAGCTGTGCCCTCCGCAAGACACTCGGTCATGTACGCCAAGGGCTCCGCCTCGAACAACGCGGGCGAGCGGCCTCAGGTGCGCTCCGCACTGGGCTCACTCAAACGAACATGGTCAGGCAACCAGCATGACCTCGGATCGACGGCGCAGACCTCCCAAACCCGCACTGGATTCAAGTCGGGCGCGCCTCCGTCCAGCCAGGAGATCTTCTACGAGTGGTCGCCCTCTCCTTCGCCGCCGCCAACTGCATCCAGGTCGGCCGTGCGCAACTCCGACTCCGACAAAGAGAATGGGTTCGGCGCAACGGCAGCGAAACGCACGAAAGTAGCTACAGCGTCGTCGGACAAGTCGTCAGCCTTCGGACAGAGACCGATTCATAACGGGTTCGTGGCAGCATCGACCATCCACCGAAGCGCGAGCCACGGCAGCGCAGTCGCATCGTCATCAGCATCCAACTCGGCATACGGACGCTCTGGTGCGGGCGCATCATATCAGTCCCAACCCAACCGCTCGGACAGCCGCTCATCGAGCATCACCCCGACAGCGCAGCAGAGCACCGCATCCGCACGCAATCTTCCCTGGACGAAGAGCGCCTCGCAACTCAAAAGCGAAAAGCGCAATGATCCCGAAGCCTATCGTGCCAGCTCGCTTGTCTCTTCCGTCGGAGGCCCAAGCGGTAGCCGAGCATCCACGCCCTCCACGGTAGCCTCGGGCCCGGACGGCAAGAAGAGCGTGAACAAGATCTTCCTGTCGCAGGAGCAGCGCAAGGTGCTCAGCATGGTGGTGGACGAGGGCAAGAACGTCTTCTTCACCGGCTCGGCAGGTACGGGTAAATCCGTCTTGCTTCGCGAGATCATCCGAGAGCTACGACGCAAGCATAGCAAGAGCCCCGATGCAGTGGCGGTGACCGCATCCACCGGCATCGCCGCGTGCAACATCGGCGGCGTCACCATCCACAGCTTCGCAGGCATCGGTCTGGGCAAAGAGCCGGTTGCACAGCTCGTAAGCAAGATCCGCAAGAATCGCAAGGCGACCGGCAGGTGGTCGCGCACGCAGGTGCTCATCATCGACGAGATCTCCATGGTGGACCCGGCGCTGCTGGACAAGCTCGAGGAGATTGCGCGCGTGCTTCGCAAGAAACCCAAGCCGTTCGGCGGCATCCAGATCGTGATCACCGGAGACTTCTTCCAGCTGCCACCCGTCAACCCTGGCGGCAGCGTCACGTTCGCCTTTGATGCGCAGTGCTGGGAGCACGTGGTGCAGCACAAGGTCAACCTCACGCAAGTCTTCCGTCAGAAGGACTCGTCGTTCGTCACGATGCTCAACGAGATGCGCTTCGGCAAACTGTCGCAAAAGACGATCGAGGCCTTCAAGAAGCTCGAGCGCGTGCCGCAGTACGACGGCGACATTGTTCCGACCGAGCTGTTCCCCATGCGCAACGAGGTGGACGCCGCCAACGCGCAGCGACTCAATGCACTCCAGGCCGAGTCGCAGACGTACCGAGCCCAGGACGGCGGCTCGCTCCAGGCCGAGGCGCGCGAGAGAGTGCTGCAGAACTCGATTGCTCTGCCCGTCTTGCACGTCAAGAAGGGCGCACAGGTGATGCTCATCAAGAACATCGACGAGACGCTGGTCAACGGCTCGATCGGCAAGGTGGTCGACTTTGTCGACGAGATGGAGCACGCCAGGCTGGCCGGCGACCTCGAATCCCATGACCAGATGAACGCCGAGCGAGAAAAGATGACGCGCATGCCAGGACGCAAGTGGCCGCTGGTGCGCTTCCACGTGCCCGGTGGCGGCACGCGCGACTACCTTGCCATGCCAGAGACATGGAAGACCGAGTTGCCAGACGGCGAAATCCAGGCGTCGAGATCGCAGGTGCCGCTCATCCTGGCGTGGGCCATGTCGATCCACAAATCCCAGGGCCAGACGCTACCGTGCTGCAAGATCAACCTCAACCGCGTCTTCGAAAAGGGTCAGGCGTACGTAGCTCTGTCGCGTGCCACCTCGATCGAAGGACTGCAAGTGCTCGGATTCCAAGCAAGCAAGGTCATGGCGCATCCTCGGGTGATCGAGTGGAGCAAGTCGCTCATCGCTCTCGGCGAGTAGCCCTCCTTGCCAATCTGTGCCAATTCACGTCGTCCAAGCTGCCCTCGCAGCATATCGCAGCTGTCGAGCAGAAATGCATTCTGACCAGCTGCATGCCCGTCATCGACTGCCCTATGAGATCCCAATGCGCGAGGCGATACGATAAGGATAATCCAGCATGATTCTTGGCGCAGCTGAACAGCACGCTCAAATTCGCCGGTCTGAATGCCGGGTTCCACCTTGAAATTGAGCGCCCGCTCGATCTAATCACTGTCCACAGCTCGACACACTGTCTTCTCAGCAAAGCTGACAGGGAGAATGAGCCTATCGGACAGCACTGCCGGTGGCGCTCGAGCGGGGTGGTCATCGCGTGCGCTTGCTTGCTGTCAAATGAAGCTGGGAGGGACGAAGCGGATCGATAGCAAAGCTTGAAAACAAGCTCTGCATGAAAGTGGAACGCGACTGCCGAGGTGGGACCCGCGAAGAAAAAATGACTCGGTGGGTGCTTGGTGGGGCGCAGTGGCGTGCGAGATTGCACCGATGGATAGCCGCCGAGCCGGTTCGCGGAATTGCCCGAACGCACAGCGCCTTTGCCTATATTTACTGCTTCGAGCCGCTACCGTCCCTTCTGCAACCTTGTCCACACACCTCTATCAAGACTGCGCGCTCATCATGCTATCCAACGGACTCAACAGCGAGCTGCCCAAGCCTGGAATGGCGACCGCGGCGCTGCACGCCGACCACCCGGACGCTGCGGTCGATGGCAACTATGCCGTAGCGCCGTCGATCAGCCTCTCGACGACGTTCCGATCGCCGCACCCGAGCTCCGCACACGCCAAGCAGCTCGAAGAGGCAGTCAAGGGCGAGGCGGAGTTCGACATGCAGGATCCTGGATTCCACATCTACTCGCGCTACTCGCAGTCGACCAACATCCGTGCCGAAAAGGTGCTCTCGCAGATCATGAAGGCGCACGCGCTCACCTACAGCTCCGGCCTCTCGGCAGCCCATGCAGCCGTGACGCACTATGCTCCGACGGTGATCGCGATCAAGCGCGGATACCACGGCGTGCACGTGTCGATCCAGCTCTACGCGCGCGGTCGCAACGTCAAGATCATCGATCTCGACGACGATTACCAGGCCGCAATGGCTTCGTCCAACATCAGCGCAGAGGATGGCAAGGACGCGGCTGTGCAGCGCGGTGGGCTGCTCGTTTGGGTCGAGACGCCACTCAACCCAACGGGTGAAGCAAGGGATCTGGCCAAGTACGTCACCAAGGCGAGGGCGGTGGCAGGAGCGCACGTGGTGGTCGACTCGACGTTCGCGCCGCCCCCGCTGCAGGATCCGTTCGCACAGGGCGTGGACATGGTGATGCATTCGGGCACCAAGTACTTTGGTGGACACTCGGACCTGCTGTGCGGCGTGCTGGCGGTCAAGGACAAGAAGGAGTGGGACAGCCTCTGGTCGGACCGCACCTACTTTGGTGCGAACCTGGGCAGCATGGAGGCGTACCTGTTGCTGCGATCGCTGCGCACGCTCACCGTGCGTGTGCAGAAGCAGTCGCAGACAGCCACCAAACTCGCTGCATGGCTCCACTCGCTCGCCACCTCGACCCAAGTATCGCCCGAGGACGAGGCGTTTGCAGGCGCCAAGCTCGTTGCGCGCACCTACCACTCTTCGCTCCAGCCCCGTTCGGACCCCGACGATGTAGTCACCAAAGGCGCCTCTCCCGAAGACCCCACTTTTGACCCGTCGACACAGATGCCTGGTGGTCACACCCCCACCTTCGCCTTCCGAACCACCAAACCCATCTACGCCACCTACATCCCGCACCTCACCACATACTTCACTCCCGCCACCTCGCTCGGCGGCGTAGAGAGCCTGCTCGAACACCGCGTCAAGTCGGACCCCACCGAGGACCCGCGCATCATCCGCGTCTCGGTCGGCCTCGAAGAGTTTGAGGATCTGCAGGCCGACCTGCGCGCTGCCTTCGCAGAGGTCCTCCAGAGGGAGAGCCAGGGTCAGCTCGAGTGAAGCCTCCGCACACAAGCATCACGCCCACGTCGGGCCACTGGTAATACAAGTTTATAAAAGCCGACGAAATACATAGCTGAGGGAGCGATTCTGATAAGCATATGAGAGAACAACGCGGACAAAGGTTTGGACGGAAAAGTCGAGGCGTCCGACACGCGGCGGCGCAGAGCACGCTGAGTGGCGTCGGCGAGATTATAGAGTCGAGCTAGGTGACTGGGAGCGCAGACGAGACGTGTATATCGAGACGAGGGGATAAAGATCAGGCGCTGCCGCGGTGAGCGGACAGGTAGGCGCCAAAGTTCGAGTAGGCGTTGCCGGCGTGAGACGCCGACGAATAAGGCAGCCTGGTGTCGGCCGGATACTGAAGCGGAGGCGCGTGGGTGCCGAGCGAGGCCGAAGACTGGGTGGAAGCAGCAGCGGTCGAATCGACGGGGGCGCCATTCAGGTAGGAAGGCTGATCGGCCGTCGGGGTTGCCGAGACAGACGACATGCTGTAGCGGCTCAAGTGTGCCATGGGTGCCGGCAGCTGTGCAGAGCCATACACGGCCGAACCGCCGTGCTGACCGCCGAATCCGCTCAGCGCAGGAGGCGGGGCGATGGGAAGTGCCGACGCCGCACCGGACGAGCCGCCCAGCAGCTCAGACTGGCCCGCCGACATGTCTGCGTAGGCCGAGCCGCTGAAGCTCGAACGGAGTGCCTGATCGCCCAAGCTGAGCTGACGCGACTGGCGGCGCTGCTCCTCCTCCTTCTTCTGCTTGCGCCACGCCTTGCGCATGTCCTTGAACTCGCTCGGCGAGCGCTTGGGCCCGTGCTTCTGCATGGCGACGTGCGCGTTGAGGTGGTTGAGCGTGCCGTAGCTCTTGGTGCATCCGGCCCAGCTGCACGGATACAGACGCTCGATCTCGTCGTAGCGTCGGCGCGGTCGCTTCTTGCTCGCGCCCGAGTAGCCACCGCCGCCGCCAAAGTAGTGTCCGCCGTAGCCGTGCGAGGGCATGCCGACGTGCGAGCCGGACGACATCATGCTGCCTTCGTTGGTGGGCGCCATGTACGAAAACACCTTGCCCGTCCCCGCTGCGCCTCCGCTGCTCGGATCGGGCATCGACATGCGTCGGTCCTGGTAGTAGTTGTCCAGGTGCGCCGAATCGCCGCCTGGCGTGTAGGGACGCGACTGGGCACCCGCCATGCTGGGCATGGCCGAGCCGTCGGTCGAGCTTTCGTGCGAAGGCGCACTCATGCTCACCGCGCCAAATTGGCCAAACATGCCGTCGGCGGTGTGCGGCCTTGCCGAGCCCGACGCGTTCTCCCAGGCCGCCAGGCCGTGCAAGCGCGGAGGCGCCGGTGCCGGCGTCTCCTCGTAGCGCTCTGCCTGGGAGGCTGAGGCCATGAGCGGACCCGATATCGACGCACGGTGGAAGTACTGCGACATGGCCGGGTGCATACCGTGGCCTTGGTAGTCGTGGTCTTCGTACTGGTTCTGGCCCGCGCCGTATGGCTGGTGAGTGCCAGTCGCACCGGCGGCGTCCTTGTGCCAAGCTTGGTTGTGTTGCGAAGGCGAGGTCTTGACGCTGCTGGCATCCGCGTTACCAACGCTGCCGATGCTCGGAGAGGAGGTTGAGAAGGACGCCCCAAGCGCCGAGATCTGGTGCAGCGAGGGCGTCTCAAAGTGGTAGTTGCTGCTTGCGCTCATCGCCGGCGAAGAGTCACAGGCCGAGCCGGAGGCGGTGGAGGAGAAGATCAAAGAGCCGCTGGCCGTGGTGGCGGTGGGAGGGCTGGAAGGTTGGGCGACGCCGTTGCCAAGCGACTGAGGGTTGAGCTCGAGGAGCAGGTCGGCTCCGAATCGCTCAGGGATGTGATCTAGCAAGCGCTCGGATACGGTCTTGGGGGTGGCACCAGCTTTGAGGTCCGACTCGGTGACAGCGTTGAGGTGGGACGAGAGATTGTTTGCGTCCCAGAAGAAAGAGTGTCGTGCGTCGTGGTGATCGTTGGATGCCGAAGGCCAGAAGATGTTGGCGGCTGGAGACTCGGCCTTGGGCAGGAGTTGTGCTGGCGCGGATTCTTGCTTGGAGGCAAGCATTCGGGCTGACGTGGGGGACGCCTGGCAAGTTTGTTTGCTTCAGGGGTCTCGGATGCCAGTGCGAGGCGATGCAAGGGTGGCCGTAGGTTTCGGCGGGCGATCAAGTTACGCTGGTCGGGAGCACGAGGAGCGCTGTGCGGTGGCGGCTATTGCGCGATGGGCACGGGATGCAGGCTCCTTGATTGGGATGCAAGCAGGGCGATGTGCTGCACGCAGGTCGAGCGAACCGTGCGACCGAGGTGCGCCGAGACAAACAAAGCGGGGCAGAGGGGCGTCAGGAGCCAGGCTGCACAGCCGATGTGATTGCAGAAGCGGTCCGAGCGGCGCCTACTGTGGAAGCCCAATGGTTGCCTGGACAGGCAGGACTTTGGCAGGGTGGGAAGATGCGAAGATGTGGCGGGATGGTCGGGAGCAGGTGTATGTGACGAGGTCGGAAGATGGTCCTAGGGGTCAGGATGGAAGCTGCGAACGGACACGAACGTTGGTCGAGCACAGATGGGAGGAAGGGTGTTCAAGGGGGGCCATAGGGTCGGCTTGGAAGAAGGCTCCGACTATATCAAGGGCAAGGGCATGTTCGGAAGACACAGGAGGGTGGACGCGCGGGCTAGGCGGCGAGTGATGGGGCGGATGAGGAGTGAGGCCAAGCTCTCTGGTGGACAGGCGCATCAAGCATGAGAGTGGCACTCGGAAACGTCACTTGGCTGTCTGTGTCCGTCGGCGGAGGCATGCAGTGCGGCGGAGTGGCTGCTAAGCGAGATTGCACAATCACAGGATGCGCCTGAGCCGACCCAAGGGAAGGGAGGGAAGGGGGGGGGGGGCGACGAGTGCAGAAGGGTGTCTACGCACGGCGGCATGGCAGCGGCCAAGGCGAAAGCGATGAGGGTTCGGCGAGATAGGGTTGCGCATGAAGCGCGGTGGCCGGCATAGAGAGACAGGCTGAGCGGCCGTTCGATTGGGCTTGGCAGGCGTGCGGCGACCAGGCGGCCAGCCAGCCGGCGAAGGAGCGAGGCGGCGGCGGCTGTTGTATTGAGCGGAACGCGCGCCGTCGCAGGGCCGTCGCAGGGCCCTCGACTGGTTCTGCAAGCATGGGGCCGACGACGGGTGAAAGAAGCCGAGTGAGACCTTGGAGCCAGACCTCCTCTCAGACCTCTCCGGAGGCCAAGCGAGAAGGGCGTAGGAGTAGAGTAAGAGAGCAGAGACAGAGAGACTTGCCGAGGTAGCGGGCGCATACAAGAGCGGTGGGAGGCGAGTACCAGTATGCAGTCAAACAGCGCACATGCATTAGTCGAATGCGACTCTCCGACCGAATGCCATCCATCGCCTGTTGAACGCAACGTTCCCAGCCGCAGGCGAAAAAAAGAGAGTCGAAATAAATAAAAAATTCAATTAATCGGTTTCTGCAGAGGAGGAGTTCCGCTGCTTCGGCTGAATTAGGAAGGACCGTCCATCGTCGTTTTGAGGCGCCCGAGGTGGAGTTGAAGCCGCTGCTGTCGAGTGGATGCAGCTGCAGGCTGGTGCGTGAGAGCGGCTGCATCTCGACTGCACCGAGTTGTGGTACAGTCAATGGTGCATTTGCAGTGCAGCCAGGCATCAGCAGAGTCTGGCAGCAGTTGCGCTCGTTCGACTTTGCTGGTGGCAGCCGCCGCGTCGTGAATAGCGTCGGTCAAAACGAAGAGAAAGGCGGTTCAGCCGGCTCTTCGAACGAGCACGCAACCGGCGCGTTGCCCTCGCACCAAGCGACACAATGGGTCCGCCAGTGTGGCGAAACCGATCCACATGCGCCTTGTAGATACCCTATGCCCATGGATGATGGTGAGAGCCGCTCGTGGTCTCCAGGGCAGCCAATCTGGTGCGCTCGCACGATACAACGATTGTATGAAAGGAGCCGGCTGTCTCAGCCTTCTTCGAGGCGACGATCACAGGCGGATGTGCCGCGCCGAACTGGCTTCACCCGCGACTGCGCGTACAGGCGACCCGCAGCGTCACGTTGGTCGGCCCAACCGACCTGGGAAATGCGAGACGAGGCCAAGGCGAGGCGAGTCGGGTCGAGGCGAAGCGGCTGATGCCCAGCTGAGTGGCGGCCTCTCTCGAGCTCAGCCGACGGAAAGCGTTGCGGCTTGCGTGACACTGCTCCGGTGCCGTATTTTGGGCGTTGGTGGGCAAAAGAGCTGCTCGGATGCCGGCAGCTTTCAATTTTGGCTCTCACACTCTCTCACGCTGTCTGATTTTTATTTTGCATTTTTTTTTTTCATGGGGTGCAAGCAACCTTGCTTGACGGCAGTTGACTTTGGCGACGGAAATGCATCGAAGTGGAGCAGGTTCTAGAAAGCAGAGCGGCTCAAGTCAAGTCGAGGTCAGCGAGTCCGCAACCCTGGGCCCCTCTTTGCAGTTGCAGCCGTGATCGTCGGCGCGGCCAATCCGAGACTCAGACAAGCTGACCCACAACGAGCCAGAGTCGGTGACGTGCTTGTTGATTGTCCCCTTGCCGCCACTCACCGTATGGCGACTCTCGTGCACTGCACCGGGTGCATGTAGCCCAAGGAACGCTCCAAACACTTGCGATCCTGCTCGACCCCATTTGACCACACCAACTACAATCGCTGCTGCAAGTCTGGCTGCTATGCGGCATGGTTGGCGTCGTCAATCGCAATGCTGCCGGCCAAAGCGCAGAGAAGGAATTGTCCGAGCACGGTATGGGGTCGAGGAAGCCATGGCGGTGCGGCGGCAGTGCAGGTACAGTAGCCCGAGTGACTGCACAGCTGGGGCGCAAGCAAAGCAGGGTGACACAGCTTTGGTACGCATGAAATTGATCCGACTCAGCTGCAGCTGTGCAGCCTCGGGTGGGGCCCAAGCGAGCCTCTGAGCCCTCCTCGGCCAACTGCACAAGAGTCTCGACCTCCCAAACTTGATTCTTGCCTTTTTCTCCTCAGCCCCCGATCGGCGTCTGGCCGTTGCATCCCAGTTCCTCGCCCGCCGCTTCTTTCGGAGCGGCTTCTAATTCGGGCCTCCTCCTCCTCCTCCTCCTCCTCCTCCTCCTCCTTCTGGCTCCGAACATCCGTCAGTTCGTGAACATGACCCCATCTTCGACCGCGGTTCGCTTCGTGCGCGCAAAGGAGGCAAGATGCGGCGTGAGCACAGAGAGCCAGCGTGTGACAGCAAAAGGATCGGCTTGATATCCGCGTGATGCGCTTCTGCGGCTGCCGACTCCAGTCGTGGAAGCCCGGCCTGGTCAGCCGTCATTGCAGGCACGTTGTCGTCGGCTTGGCACTCGCCGACAGCGTTCCCAGGCTCGATCGTCGGTGCGTACAAGGGGACCAAGGCTCTGGGATCTCCGGCGTCACCGCGCGACGGCGTGCCCATTCTGCGCGACGGCCTCGTTCCCACAACCAACGTCCCTTTCAATCAACCGGCTTGACCCAACGAGGGCGGCTGCGCATCTGCAGTCGAGTCTCTCCGCTTCTTTGCATGAGGTGTGGCGGCCGCGCTTCCACTCGAAAAAAATCTGCAATTTCCCTCGAGCTGACTGATGCATGGAAGCCCCCACTGCAGGAGGCGCACGGCCAACTGCATGTGTCCGTCGCTGCTTTGCTTCCTCCTCCAGCAAATGAGCTTTTTGCAACAGCTGCCAAGCTCCAAGCTCCGAGCTTCGACGGTCGGAACGAGAATCCAGCGAGCATCTCGAGTCTGAGCCCCGTGATTGGCCTGGCGCGAGCGCGTTTATCAGATCTTGGCCCTCTCTGCACCCGGGCATCTCTCACGCATCGTACCTCCGGCGGGCAACCCACCGATTCGCCGAGATGAGATGATGCCATCCTCCGCCAACGGTTGCCCCGACTTGCGCAGTGCCAGCGCATCGCCGCCAGGATCCGACAGCTCCGCCAGCGATTCGCGCGGCTCGGTCTCGAACCGGTCTCTCCATTGTTCTGCCAAAGGTTCGAGGGCAACGTTGTCGAAAGTTGCGACTAGGATTGCTGGACGGTCTTATCCAAAGTGCGCAAGTGCGATTAGGCAGTGGTTCTGCCGGCTTTCAACACTCTCTTCTACGGACTCCGGGTCAGGTCGAGGGAAGAGACGGCGCTGAGCAAACTGCCCTTTTTTACCCGAGATCTCCTTGGCCTCGCGTCTGCGGAAATCCAGACTCGCGCTGTACACCTATGTCGGTGGCGGTCTCGGCGTCCGCGGTCTCGAGCGCCTGTTGGCGTACAGCATCGCGCCTTGACAGCCGCACAATCTTGGTATTCGTGCACCGCACCAGTCGCCTTGGATGCGGGGAAGCGATCCAACTTGCCGCATCGTCCAATCGGATTCGCTCTGCCATCGACGAATCAGCATTCGCATTCGCATTCGCATTCGCATTCGCATTCGCATTCGCATTGGCCTTGGCCGACACTACCGGTGACATCTCGTCTGCTGTCACCTGCCCTAGCATGCTTGAGATTGGGCTAGCGGTGTTGGACCTGCATCCTGCGTGAGCGGCTCTCGCCTGCAGCATGTGTTTGTCTAACTCAGAGTCCTCTTTGTCTCGGCTTGCTCGCTAGCGTCCGCCACCCAAGCAGTGCCACTCGAGGGACCCAGCTGGAGTTGGAGTCAAATCTGGCGTCGTCTAGTCCGAAAGCGCTATCTAGTCTCTGTTCCTGCTGATCTCGCAATGCTCCCTCTCTCTCGGATTAGCCGGAACTCACGAGATAAATCGCTCCACCGCGTCGGCGCCACAGCCGCTCTGCATCACCGTAAAGCGCCGATACGCCGACAATCGAAAGGCTCCGAGCTCTTGCCCTTGCTCCCCCCCGTCATCAGCCGCCGGTTCGAGCCGGTGCTTCCGGTAGCTATCGTTAGCTGCACTCCAACCCGGAGCCCACAATACTGAATCCGCCAACGTGTCGTCGTGCGTGGCCCACGTTGGCGAAGCCGGAGGCACGCTTCGCCCGCTAGCCTAACCCACTTGGCTCCCCCTTTGTTCCCGCAAGTTGCATGGCACAGCGCAGCTTGCGTCTCAATGCAATCCTTCCGCACGACTTCAACCGATCGGGTGACAAAGATCGCGATTGCAAAGATTCGTGCCGCCAGGCACGGATCGGGGTGGCAAAAGGGTATAGAAGCCAAAGGACAGCAGCGAGTAGACCAGACCGCCTAGGTGTTTCTTTCTCAGCAGTCGTATGCTCGGCCCCCAACGAGGATTTTCACATGAGTACGCGGCATGGCCGCCGTCTGTCGCACAAGGTCAGTACGAATCACCACATTCTGCGTCGACTCACCGTGGTTGGAGGTGCTTGATGATCGTGCAGATAGCCTTGGAGGCTAGAGTGAAGATGGTGTCGAGTGCGAGGTAGCGTGACGAGGTGTCATGACCAGAGATCTCGCCGAGCGATGCAGAGAGCAAATCATAGTGGTTGGCATGAAGGCCAGTGAGTCCGGACAACCGAGACGACCGTGGCGACGAGGAAGGAGCAAAGACGACAGGCCTCTTGGTGAAGGAGGGTACGGCCCGCGTCAATGGCGGCGATAGAGTGGGAAAGGGATGCCGATGATGGTGATGCGCAAAGCAAGATTCTGACGAGCGCTGAGCGCGCTTCACATCACCTTGGCGCGTTTGCTCTCAGCCTCGTGATCGCCCTCCTCGTACTGAGCCTCGTCTTCGTTCTCGTCGTCTTCGTCGGCGTGCAGCCGCTTGAGTTGCGGATGAGACTGCGCCGCCGTCGATGCTCCCAATGCCGACGCATCATCCTGCTGGTACTCGTCGTCGTCCTGCTCTTCAGTGTACTCGAGGATCTGCTCCTCGTCCGTCGCTGTACAGCAAAAGGGTTCACCCGGGAAAGTCAGCCTTGACGCTCGCTGTGCGCTCCATGGCATCCGAGGGTCAAACTCACCTTGCCAAATGTGTGGCTCGTGGCCGTTGGCTTCCCCATTCGTTGAAACGGCACCCACCGCGGCGCCACCTTCGGCGGCTGCGTCTTCCCCAGCCGAGTGTTGCGGCGCTTCATCCAGTTCGTCCTCCTCTCCGTCGGAAGCGTCGTCATAGGTCGTGTAGAAAGTTTGCTCCGCTTCCGGGTCGAAGCCGCCCGCCTCGGTTTCGTAGGCTTCCTCTCCCTCTTCCTCCTCGTACCACTCCTGCTCTTCACCCTCGTACGCAGCCTCTTCATCCTCTTCCTCTTCGTACGCCTCCTCTCCGTACGCAAGCGCTTCCTCTGCCTCGTCCCCGCCGCCCTCCTCTCCAATGCCCACCGCCTCCCCGGTGCCCTCTTGCCCTTCGTCGTCGCCATCTTCTGGCTCTTCTTCGAAGTGGGCAGTGCGAGGTTCTGCCTCTCCTTCGCCTTCCTCCTGCACTTCCTCTTCGCCTCCGCCTCCACCTTGCTCTTGCTCTGCATCTCCTGCTCCGTCTTGATGCTCCTCTGCATGACCCTGGGCTACCTCGCCTACGTGCGACGATTCGTCGAGCTCATCCTGCTCGTCGAGCGCCTCTGACGAAGCCATGTCCAAAACGACAGGATGCGGCTGATTGGTGCCGCTGGCATCAGCAATGAAGTCTACGGCGTCGCCACGAGCAATTGAAGCGGCTTGATCGGGGTCATCGGCGCCGTGACCACTCTTGTTTTGGTGTCGAGGAGGTTCAACGGGCGCCTGCGAGGCATCTTGCTCGCTCTCGGCTGCTGCAGGGGTACCGTTTGCATGAGATTGCTGCGTTTCCGGATCATTACTCGCAGCTCCGGCCGGGCCGCTTTCTCCTGTTGACAAACCAGGAGTTACGACTGGAAACGCTTCGTCTTTGGCGATTGCCGCGTTGTGCGGCTCAGCAGTGTCCGCCTCGGCTTCGGAATCATCGCTTTCGTGCTGCAGCTGATGACCAAGGAGCCCGGCAACCTGCTGCGCAAGATCGTTGTACTTTGTGATGAACCTCGGACGTTCTGAGACTTCGATGTGCAGACTGGTTGCAAGTCCGAGTCCACTGTGCAGCTGCCCAAGATCGTCCAGGGTGATCTCGCGACAGTAAAAGTTGTCCTCCGAGATTTCGAGGTCCAAGTCGGGAAAGGCCAGATGAAGCTCTTGCGACTCGTCGAGAAAGTCTCCGAGCGCGCTCTTCTCCCTCAGACCTGCAAAGAAGCTGTCCAGCGGCTGCCAGAGCACGTCTTGCTTCATTTCGAGCGCAGGCGCCTCGATCTGCAGCAGCTCTTCTTCCGCGTGCTCCCCTTGGTCGCCGCCTTGCGCAGCGTCTGGCGCAGCAAGGTACGCAGCAATCTCGGTGGCGGGCCATACCACAAAGTCCTGCCCGTTGAAGTTGACTCGCACGGCTCCGACGCTCTGGTACTCCATCTGCTCGTAGCCTTGTTGGGCGTCGTTCTGACCACCGAGGTCGCCGTCTTCCGCCACGTTGACCGATTGCGCTCCCTCTTCAGCGCCTTCAAGCTGATCGAGCTCCTCCTCTTCCCTCTCCTCTGGGTCATTTGCTGGTGTTGAGGAGACACCAACGTTGAGCTGCTCTTGTGCCAAGGGCGCACCAATGCCGTGATCTTCCAGGCTTTCGTGCCGATGTTCTTGCGAGCCGTCTGGTATCTTGGAGCTCTGCTCGTGGCCGCTTATCAAAGGGCTGGCTGGTCGGACGGATGCGGAGACAAAGGATGGATACACGCCTGTCGCTTCGCTCGAAGGTGGCGAGAAGATGGTGGATCCGACAAGCGATGCAGCTTGTTCAGCCGCTCCGGCTTTTTGCGAGAAAGCTTGCGGGAAAGCAGAGATCGAAGCGGTGACAGGTGCATCTTCCATGTACGAAGAGGAGGACTGTGTAGGCAACGCTAGCTCAGCCTGCGTCGTAATTGCTTCGCTCTGCTGGTGCAGGTCGGCGGTGTCATGAAAGTCGATGTCGAGACTCGCCTTGTCTTCCGACCCATGCTGGCCGGAAGCGATCGATCCGATTACGACGTCGCTTCCGGCATCCTCCATGACCTCTTCATGGCTGGATTGCGGGAGGGCATCCGCACCGTGAGGCTCCATCTCGTAGTCGAAATCAGGGTCTTCGTCCATCTTGAACGGTGTGACGCGCGCGCGCTGGCAATGGCTCAAAGACGCTGAAACCGACGCTCTTGTTGACTTGATGATGTGGAGCAGCGATGTGTGCAAGCAGCAGATCCTGGATTGCCAGAAGATGTGGATGAATGGTAGAATGAGCGAAGGCAACTCAGCAACGCGTGCTGAAGTGTGATTTCGCCTCACGCGTGTCCGTGGAGGAAATCCGTGCGCGCTGCGCCACTTCATTCCGCTCTTCGCAGCCCAACCTAATCTCAAAGAAACGCAGCTGCGCAACCCAGCTCGCCTCGCATTGGCCTCGCATAGCGCAACTGCAGACTCTTCCTGCTCAGGCCAACGACGCAACGACTTAGAACAGGGACGATGCAAAAGGGTCTTTCCACCTTTGCAGAGCCGAATCGGACAACGATCTAGATTACAGGTGGGGAGGGAGAGGGGGGCAGTTTGATATTTCCGAGGCCGTCCATTGCTCGATCAGGCCGAGACAATGAGCGAGGCACAACCCATGCCCGTGCCGACGCACATCGAGGTGACGATGAGCTTCTTGCCGCCCTGGCGCTTGGCCTCGGCAAGACCGGTGGCGATCTGGCGGGCACCGGTGGCACCGAGAGGGTGGCCCATGGCAATGGCACCACCGACCGGGTTGACCTTCTTCTTGTCGATGCCGAGGTGCTCGACCGAGAAGAGAGCCTGCGAGGCGAAGGCCTCGTTGATCTCGAAAATGTCAATGTCGTCCTTGGTGAGGCCGGTGAGCTCGAACAGACGCGGGATGGCGTAGGCGGGGCCGACACCCATGATGTTGGGGGGCACACCAACCACGGCACACGTGACAAACTTGCCGATGATGGGCAGGCCGTGCTTCTTGGCGGCGCTGCGGCGAGCGAGCAGGACCGAGGCGGCACCGTCGCTGACCTGCGAGGCGTTACCGGCGTGCGTGAATCCGTCCTTGGCAAAGGCGGGCTTGAGCTTGCCGAGCGACTCGACAGTGACGCCCTCGCGGATGCCGTCGTCAGCATCGACGGTGCGCTCGTTGCCATCGTCGTCGGTGTACTTGACGGTGACGATCTCGCTCTTGAACTTGCCCGCCTTCTGTGCGGCGGCGGCGCGAGAGAACGACTCGGCGGCAAAGGTGTCCTGCTTCTGGCGGTTGATGTTGTACTTCTTGGCCACGTTCTCCGAGGTGATACCCATGGGCATCATGCAGTCGGCTGCCTCCTCGTTCTCCATGACGGCGTCCGACATTTTGGCGGGCATCACACCGGCACCGTAGTTGAGCGTCATCGACTCAACACCAGAGCCTGTGAGTCCAAAGGATTGTCAGGAAGCGCGAATGAGATGGTTCGGGTCAGTACGCTCGAGTCTATCAACGGCCCACTTCCTGGGGAGTGCACTTACCAATGCCGATGTCGATCTGGCCAAGCGCGATCTGGTTAGCAATCTGGTTGACGGCAGCCAGACCGGACGAGCACTGTCGGTTCAAGCTGTTGCAGCCGGCAGTGTTGGGGATGCCAGCCCAGAGCGAGCCCATGCGCGCCTGGGTGGAGCCACCACCGGGGGCGAGCACGGTGCCGACGGCAACGTCCTCAATCAGCTTGGGGTCGATCTTGGACTCGGCAATGACACCCTTGAGGGTCCAGCCGAGCATCTCCTCGGGAGCGCACTGCGCGAGACCGCCCTTCTTGGCCTTGGTGATGGCGGTACGCAGGGCCGAGACAATGACGACTGCGGTTACAAAGTAGTTCCAGGAGGTATCGAAGCAGATCCAGGAGAGATGGGGAAAAGGGGAGTTTGAATGCCAAGAAGCAGAACAAGCAAGATGTGAGCGACTGCCCACGTCGTTTCTACTCGCATCGGAGGCGGCCGTTCGTGCAGACGAAGGCTGGCTGTGGCATTCTACTCACCATCGTCGTCGTGCTCGGCGAGGATGTTCTTCTTTCCGTGGCGTTGCTGGGCGGCAGACATTTTGAAGGTGAGAGAGATGCACAAGAAGGTGTGTACCGGGATTCAACGGGTATGAAGGTGGCGTAAGGGCGAAGTGGGATCACGAGCGAAATACAGGTGAGCGTGGTCGGTGGACAAGTGGCTCGACGACGAGATCCGACCTTAAGAAGGACGCGGGCCGGTCAGCTTGCGGGGCAGCTGGCCAGGGGAAGCCGGCAGGCTGGCCCGACTCTTTGCTGGGTTGAGGAGGACCGGCAGCGTTTTGGCCCTGCAGCGTCCGGTCCAGAGGCATCTCGATCCGGCAAGCCTTCGCGGGCCTTGGGCGGCGGAGGCGTGTATGCGCAGCACCAGCAGCAGAGAGAGGGGGCCGAGCGCGCGCCTGTACTGCGCTTCGGGCGGAGCGCGCATGCGGAGTTGCTGGCCTGGCGCAGTCACTCAGCCACATTGGTGGCTCAGCCTGGAGTGCAGACTCCACCACCTTCGATCGTGACACTGGGATTGTGCGCCTGCGTGTGAAAGCCCGGCTAAGTCTCACTCTTCCGGCCCGATCCGTGCGGGGCTACAACCGAAGGCCAGGTCCAAAATCGGCAATATCTCCAATCTGACAACCAATTTTCCCCCGATTCCGATTGACCACTCACCAAATGCATTGATTGGCGACTTCACTCACTCTAACATCAACGGATTTTTTTCCGCGACGCGTTGGTGCGCCGTCTGGCGCGCCGCAGTCCAACACCTGATCGTCTGCGCCACCTTCGGTCAGCTGAGTCCGTATGTCCAGACCTGTGCTGAGCGTGGCGACGGAAGCTTGATGGCACAAGGTTGCAATGGCAAGCTGCCTGGTGGAGCAAAGAGGTCAACATCTTACGACTGTATGATGCATCTTGGATAAAAAAAAAAGGGGGTTCGAGCACACACGACAAGCAGCGGGCGGATATGGTTAACCGGATAGGTTTCGACTATAGGAACCATAGTCAGAGCTAGAAGTACAGGGACAAAAGAGAAAAAAAGGCCACGACAAAAAAGCGGAGGGGGGACCAAAGGCTAGCTACCAGCAACATGAGAGCGTATATCGGCGATCAAAAGGGAGGATGAGGAGGAGAGGACGAGAGCCACACCTGCTTAGGTGCGCTCGCCGCGGAGTCGGCGGGCAAGGGCAATGTCCTTGGGCTGGATGGTGACACGCTTGGCGTGGATGGCAGCCAGGTTGGTGTCCTCGAAGAGCGAGACGAGGTAGGCCTCGGCCGACTCCTGGAGAGCCATGACGGCGCTCGACTGGAAGCGGAGGTCGGTCTTGAAGTCCTGGGCGATCTCGCGGACGAGGCGCTGGAAGGGGAGCTTGCGGATGAGCAGCTCAGTCGACTTCTGGTAGCGACGGATCTCACGGAGAGCGACGGTACCGGGGCGGTAACGGTGGGGCTTCTTGACACCACCGGCCGAGGGGGCCGACTTGCGGGCGGCCTTGGTGGCGAGCTGCTTACGCGGGGCCTATTGTGCGTTGCAAGGGATAGCAGAGGGTCAGCGACTGCGATATGGCGTAGAGGGGTGCGGACTGGACTAGACTAACCTTGCCACCGGTGGACTTGCGGGCGGTCTGCTTGGTACGAGCCATTGTGAAGGATGAAGTTGTGCTGGTACTGGTGTACGAGGCGAAGAGAGATGTGGAGATGATGGAAACGAGGTCTGGATGGCCGGGCAAGGAGGATGCTTATATTTGAATCGGATCAAGGCGCCCACGACCGGCGGAGTGTAGCAGTGCGGGCCAGCAGGCGGGACTCGACTGCGCTCTGACTTGGGCTGCGACTGCGACTGCGCCTGCAGCTGGCCAAGCGAGCCGACACATGCGCGCACCCTGACAACTCTGCTGCCTTGAGGCGCCAGGCGGAATCTCTGGGCCTGCCTTCAGCTTGTTGAGCCGAGTGGAGCCATTGTAGCCACGGAAGAAACCACGGGGCGGAGGCCTCGGTGCCAACTGTGACGCAGCACTGGAGCTGCCCTCGTCCCAATCACGCCGACGTGCATGACGAAATGTGCTGGTGGTCGCGCCTGCAAATTCGTGCTGCCACGGGCGGTGGGGCGAGATCAACCTCGTTTCTGCGCCGCGAAAAGGCCAACCCTCGCATTCCTGACCGGAATTGTGCACTTGGACCCTGACGAATCGGCCTGCCCTGCCCGAGTTCATGCGCCAATTTCCAAAAAAGCTAACAATTCCAGACGCGTTGCCCAAACTGCGGGGTGGAGGCTGGGCGAAAGTCGAGCCGTGATCTGCCTGCCACGTTGCCACGCGACACGGAAACACCGTGTCCGGATCATCATTATTAACGCCAGTTCGCGTCGCCTGAGCCCCACGAGGCAAAATGCAGGGCCATCAACCGGCCTCGTCTTCTCTATTGCTGGCTAGCGAGTTGCTTTTCCGCACCAAGCCTGGGCCCAGGCTACGCTTCTCCCCTCTTGCGAAGGATATGAGAATCCACAAGGCTCTTTCTCGAGTATGAGGAGCTCCAATTCTCTCAGGGCGAACAGCATCAAAGATCATCATTCGAATGTCTCTACTTGCATGGCCCTTTGCTGAGCTTGTGTAGCGCCATGATGGGCGTTTGACTCTGATCGTAGATGGCGTGCACCGAGCAAGAAAGAGCACGGAGTTTTTGGCGTTCATGGGCAGGCAAAGGCGATCAAGGGCACGGAGTTTTCTTGGTGCCCTTCCCGTATCGCAGCGTGCTCGATCCAAAATTGATCCGAGCCCGGGTTATTTTCTCCGCCTGGCTTCTTGTCAGCCAGGCCCTCAATCTCACTTCCGCGATTGAGCGGCCCGCCAGCCTGCTTGCCGATTCCAACCGCAATTCCAGTTCTTGATTTTGGTGCGCGGGTGATTCGCGGGCCAGGCGGTTGAATTCTTCAGGCAGCGGCAGTGCGGCCACGAAAGCGGCAGGAGCGCCCGTCAATGTCAAAAGCTCCAATTTGGGCGCGCATGTCTCGAGCTGACACGCGTCGGGCTGCCTCCACAAGGGCATCAGGCCCGAGAAAAAAAATTCAGGGCCGCCCGGCATTCAAGCGAGGCAGAGGATTCTGCGGCGGCGGCGGAAAGAAAATTGTTAGACTCGTCATGCAGGTCGAAGCCGGTCCTCGGACCCACAACACGGGGCCGGGTCTGAGCTCAGATGCGCCCTGGATTTTCCGTGCAGAGGGCTCAGCTGGCCAGCTCGCCAAATCGGCGCGCCGCTCGCGGACTGCCTTGATTGATTGGGCCTCGCGTGCCACACCCGTCGAAATCGTGCAAATCAGGTGGCAGGGTGGAGCGAGAGAACGGCGTAAGCCCAATCCTGGTTCCCGTCTGGTGGCCGCCCGTGGGCTCAACCCCGTCATTTTTTCGAGCCCGGCTTCGGCTGCGCAGCAGCATCAGCTGCACGCCCCGCCTTGTCTGATTCTCTGCCCTTCTGCCCGTGTGGGCCGGGCCGCAGCTTGGTGTGGCAGCACCCGAGTCTCGAGTCAAACGCCCGTTGATGCGGCGTGTCCGCTCGTGCGATGGCGCAGTCACAGAGTCTGTGGACCTGGCCCCTGCCGCTGTAGCCCTTCGCCTGACGTGGGTGTGTCCGCGCAGCTTGCCCCTCCGCCGCCGCTTGAGGCCGCCCAGGAGCCGACCGCCCTTTGCCGATCCCAGCAGGCCCAATCCGACTTTTCATACAAATACAGACCACCGAGCCGGCGTAATTCCCCTTTCCAATCATCATCCATCTCATCTCTTCAAGAGTCCGCTCAACAGCTCAACAACACCTCTCCCCTCCCACCACCAACCACACTACACTTTTATCAATATGTCCGGACGAGGAAAGGGCGGCAAGGGTCTCGGCAAGGGTGGTGCCAAGCGTCACCGCAAGGTAAGTCTTCACACGGCATTGGCGCATCTCTTATCGTCTCGACCATCGCGCTGACTTTGGCCCGCATCTGTTGCACCTGTTCCCTTCTAGATCTTGCGAGACAACATCCAGGGTATTACCAAGCCCGCTATCCGCCGTCTCGCGCGTCGTGGTGGTGTCAAGCGTATCTCGGGTCTGATCTACGACGAGACCCGCGGTGTTCTCAAGCTCTTCCTCGAGTCGGTCATCCGCGACTCGGTCACCTACACTGAGCACGCCAAGCGCAAGACCGTCACCTCGCTCGACGTTGTCTACGCTCTCAAGCGCCAGGGCCGCACCCTCTACGGTTTCGGTGCCTAAACAGGCATTGCGCCTTCCACTCTCTACTCTGTTGTCGTTTCGTTCCTGGCGTTGCCCTCTGTACTTCTAGCATTTCCGATATGCCCGCCCGTTGCGGCAGTCTTTTCTCTCTGACGCCCAGCCCATGGTAATTTCGACATTTTACTCCCTGTACATCTCTGCTTATATGGTGTGCGTTTGTGCTTTGATGAATGCTCGGCTTTGCGCTGCCCCTCGCACGCGATGGTCCAGTGTCGGTTGGCAGTGCCAGCTCAGCTACACCCTTTCGTCGTGATCAGGGGGATGAGGTCATCCTCGGGCCTATGTTTTGGATGGCTTGCTCCGATGTGAGATCGGATATCGGAGCAGGCGACTTGCTATTGGGTAGCGGCAGGCAAGGCTCAGTTGGAGAAGTGCTGTAGAGGCCTCGCACGATCGAGGACACGATTCGTCCCTGCTTCTCTGTGCTTCGATGGTGACAGTCTGGCGAGGCGATCGACTCACGGACTCTGTCGCTCATGTGGATTCGGGCTCAGTCAATGGGGTTCTGGCCAACTGCGCATCAAACGGTAGCTTTTCTTGAGAATGAGAGGACCAGTACGCCAAGTAAGGTGGCCGCCAGCTATCTCGACCCGCAAGATGCTATCGCCATTTGGCAGTCACAACCGGAAGTCGTGAGAGCACGGCAGAGGTGTGTGTATCGGGCGGTCCTGCATTGCGCTGACCGTGGATCGGAGGCGGACACACACCGAGGGCTCCGATCCGTGCCGCCGGGCTGTGGAAACAGTGGCGAGCAGCGAGGGAACGTTTGGGCACCGGCACCACTAGCCTGGACTCCGCCTCTGCAAAGATGGATGCGCCCCAAGAATCCGCGACCAGGATGAAGCCAGCGTCACGATGATGCTGACGAACAAGGACCTGCGGCATCTTCAACGTCCATCCTCCGTGTCGAGAGCGAAGTCGGGTCAGCTTCTAGGCGGGTCGAAGAACCGTCCGGCAGGCCATATCAGCGCGTGTTTTGATCCTGTCATTGAAGCTGGGCCGGTTCTGTGCTGCCGACGGACTTCGAGCGGCCAAGGCAGCAGCTGCTCGCTCCGACTAGCTACTGTAGCGTTGCCATTCTCGCGTCCTACGCTGCTCACTCGATCGTGATCATCTCGAATCGTTCGTGATCGCAAGGCTGTCCGCTCAGAAGTGCGTTCCAATTTACTTTGACCGGGCGCAGGAGCAGCTCAGCGTCCACAGGTGGCGGTGCTGAGGACTCCTGCGCGCGTCTTGGCATAGGCAGACAACTGAGCCCAAAGGTCCCCAACCCATAAACTCAGCCTGCTACGTTGCATCACCTATAGGGGCGGATGATTGGGATTGTTTCGGGCCCGTCCCGACATCTGCACGGCCATCGGATCGTAGCTAGGCGTAGGGTCGCTTTCCCCCGCAATCAAGGACTGGCAGGGCGATGGTTGCAGCTCAGCCTTTGTTGGCAGTGGCTGGTGCCTTCGGTCATGCTCTCCGCCTTCTGGGCGCGGGCTGCAGGACCCTGAGCCAAAGTCCAAAGCGACGGAAATTGGAAATTTGTTTTTTCGGCGCCGCCCAAGCCAAGACCGGCCACTACGTAGTCGCGCGCCGTTGCAGCTCCCCAGCGGCAGCAGCTCAGCAGCGGCGTTTGGCTCTGGACGACTCTGCGCGCTCTTCAGCGCTGCACCGCCGCAATCGAGCGGTTTGTGGAGCAGCCTCAGCAGCGATCGTCTGGCACCGCACAACACTCACACACTTGGATTCTACTGCATTGCCGAGCCACTGTCCCTCTCTCAGGTGGCCGTGTCGCCAAGACCCTGCTTTCCACGAGGCTAGGGCTTGGCGCCGCCGCAACGGCACCCTCTTGAAGCTCATCGAGGTGGTGTTTGCTTGGTCTCTACGCATCCATTGCAGCACGCCCTGCCCTGACCGGCCCGCCCACCTTCCGATCCTAACACCGCCACCTCCTTCGCCATTCACCTTGCCCAGTCGGCGTAGCCTGTCGGATTCTGGCTTCCGGCTCAACCATCCGCCAAGCACCGCAGACGGCCTTTCAGAACCTGCGAACCATCTCTTCCCCGCCCTCAAACTATCCTCGCTGACGTAAAAGATTCCAACGCCGACCGCACTCCTTGCCATCCCCACCCGACTCGGAAGCAAACAAAGACCTAGAAGAGAGGACCCCATCGTCGCGGATCGCTGCCTATCCACCTCCTCCCATCATACACCAAAGGACCCTTCTACCATCGAACGAGGCCCTGCAACGCCACCGCCACCGCAGGCCCCACTTCATACTATGCGTCTGTCTTCAGCGCACCGCTGGCTAGCAGCCTTGCTGCTGGCGCTCGTCCTCGCAGCAACGCCCATCACAGGTAAGTGCAGGCGACACCATTGCCCCAGACACGAGCTCCGACATTGACCATCACGTTCGCTTTCTCCTCCCAAAAACAGCTCGAAGTCGTCAGAGCGGGCCGCTCCAACGCATCGCGCGGACCAGCAACGTCCAGCTCGAGCAAATCCCTCCCTCGTTCACATCGGCCACTCGTTTACAGTCCCGAACATCGTCCGCGAATCAACATCCTCTTCGCCTCAGCTTCCGCGCCTTCCAGCAGGACTTCCATCTTCACCTGCAGCCGAACAACGAACTCCTGCATCCCGATGGAACGCTCGTCAAGTACTACGCCCACAACGAGACCACCGGCGAAAGCTACGTCCGCTCCACTCAGACACTCTATCCCGGCGACGTGGCCGCATACCACGGCGTCGTCGTCCATGCATCCCATTCCCGCCGACGCCTAGAAGAGGACCGCGCCGGCTTCGCTCGTGACATTTACCGCGACCGCGACTTTGGCGTAGTCGGCCGAGCCTCCATCCTGCTCCACGACGACGGCTCCGTGTCGGGCGAGCCCATCTTCGAAGGAAGCTTCGATTGGTTCGGCAACGTCCACCACGTCGACACGCCCCGAAGCTACCTGGCCAAGCGACAGGCCGACGATCCCGCGCTTGAACCTCGCTCGCAGAACACCGCTTCCATGGTCGTGCATCGAGACTCGGACATCTCCCTCGAGCCCAGAGACGAAGCGACGAGCGCCACGACCTTCAGCAACTTTACCCAGTCCATGGGCTGCTCCTCCGACGCGCTCTCGTTCAACAGCCACAACCGCCTCGTCCTGAGCGATGACACCAACGATGCCACCAGCCGTTCCGTCTACTCGTTTTTCAAGATGCCTGCTCCACCTCGTCTCGCTCGTCGAGACCTCTTTTCCGGCTGGAACGATCTCTTCACCAGGTCACTACAGGACGACCTCATCGAGTCGCCCCAGGCGTCTCCCGACGACTTTGTGTACCACGAGGACCTCGACGACTACCTTGAACCCACCTTCCGCAAGAGGCAGGCGACGGGTAACGACATCGGCAACGGCTCCAACCAGACCAACAGCTACGAAAACGTCATTGGCTCCACTGCTGGCTGTCCCAACAGCGCCCGCGTCGTCTACGCCGGCATCGCTTCCGACTGTGCCTATACGCAGCGAAGGGGTGACCAGGACGCCGCTCGTACCGAGATCCTCAACAACATGAACTCGGTCTCCAACCTGTACCGATCCACCTTCAACATCTCGATCGGCGTCGTCGAACTCGACGTCCGCTCCGGCAACTGTCCCGCCACCGCCACGCAGGATGCGCCATGGAACATCGGTTGCGGCACCATCTCGATCGACGAGCGCCTCAGCGACTTTTCGCAATGGAGGACGCAGCAGCCTGGCAACGGCATCGGTCTCTGGCATCTCATGACCGCCTGCAACTCGGGCAGCGAGATCGGCGTCGCCTGGCTCGGCACCGTATGCATGACCACCGGCTCGAGCAGCAGCGGTCAGACGGTCAGCGGCACCGGCGTCAGCTCCATCACACAGCAGCAGTGGCAGGTCATGGCGCACGAGATGGGCCACAACTTTGGCGCTATTCACGATTGCACCAACGGCTGCACCAGCAACTCCAACTACGCCACCCAGTCGGGCGGTGCGCCTTGCTGCCCGCTCTCGGCATCGAGCTGCAACGCCAACGCGCAGTACATCATGAACCCATCGTCACGAGCCAACATCCAGAGCTTCAGCCAGTGCTCGATCGGAAACGTTTGCTCGCTGCTGGGACGGGGTCTCGACACCTCGTGCGTCCAGACGCCCGGCGCACGCAGCACTCTGAGCACACAGCAGTGCGGCAACGGCATCCTGGAGCCCGGCGAGGAGTGCGACGCCGGACCCAACGGCTCGCGATGCTGCACGTCGGAATGCAAGCTCGCCTCTAATGCCCAGTGTGACCCTGCCTCGAGCCCCTGTTGCTCGGATTCGTGCAGCTTCGCACCTTCGTCGCAGATGTGCCGTCCCTCGGTGGACAGTCGATGCGACACGGCCGAGTACTGCACTGGATCTTCCGCCGAGTGTCCGGCCGACCAGACCAACGAAGATGGCAGCTCGTGCGGCAACGGTCTCACGTGCGCCAACGGCTTCTGCACTTCGCGCGATCTGCAGTGCCAGCAGGCATCCACCGGCTCCATCTCGTTCCGATCCGCATGCGCGGCGTCCAACGCCAACTCTTGCCAGCTGACGTGCCAGAGCCCCACCTCTCGCAACCAGTGCCTCATCCTCCAGCAGCCCTTCATCGACGGCACCAGCTGCGGCTACGGAGGACGATGCGAAAACGGCGAGTGCAAGTCGGGCTCGTGGCAGACCACCTTCCGCAACCTGTACAAGGACAACCTCCGGATCTCGATTCCCGTCACCATCATCGTGGGCATCATTGTGCTGCTCATCCTCTGGGCCATTGTGCGCCGATGCTGCTGCTCTTCGAGGCGACAGCGAGGCGCAGGCGCTGCCAAGGCCTCGAGAGCGTCCCGAGGGCCAAACATGGGCTACGCCCCTGGCTCTGCCTACAATCCCGTCGCCACACCGCAAAGCACCGCAAGTGGCTCGCACGCACCCAACGGCTTTGCGCCGCCTCCCGGACCTCCACCGCCCGCACGAGAGTCGTATCGTCCTTCCCGTCACTCGGCATGGGTCGATCCCGCAGCCTTCAACGGCCCGCCCCACCCTCCACAGCGCTAGACACTAGGATCCACCCCGGAGCCTGTCGCCTGCTCCATCTCTCTCGGACACTTATTTCGCTCGTAGCTCCTCCATTGTATTTTCCGCATTCATCGTAAGGATCGTCTTCAGCACTCCATCACCAGGAGCTGCGAAACCCTATCATTTGTGAGATCTCGGTTTGCTTTGCCAGTCAAGGGGCGAAAATTGAGCCCGTGCGGATTTCACCGAGGCGGAAAATATCGAGTGACGCAGCGGCCACCTCGCCACCGCCGCGGCCGCCAAGCGAAGGAGGGTCAATTTCCAAAATGTGGTGTGCACGCACGTTCTGTTCGTGCAGCTTCAGCACGGACACCTGGGCCTCCAACCCACCGGCGCCAGCCCAGTGTCTCACGTGCTGAGCCGCTCACCGAAGCTCGACGGGAAATCGAAAAAACATGCAAAGCACTCGAGCAAAGCACTCGAGCGCAGGCTTTGCAGCGCTTTGCAACGCTCTGCTCGCTCGGGTCACTTTGACTTCTGTTCGATAATCCCAAATCCCACCGGAGACTGTCGCGCTTGCGCAGCCGGCACGTCGTACTCCCGCACCACCACCACTACCATCAGCTACGCTGCCACCGATAGCTTGCCGGCTCAACGTCGGATCGTGCTCTTCTGGCGGCTACGAAGACACGCTCGGACGCGGCTTGGTCGAAACGCTCACAATCGTGGCAACCTCGATGTGCGACGAGTGAGCGACGCAAGCTTGCGCGACTCGGTCCCACTTCCCATCCCGGCGCATCCCGCTGGCTGTCTTGTCCTCGATCCCAGCAACCCAAGAACCATGCTTTCCACAAGCCCCGATCACACTTCCGCCGCCTCACCACCTGGAGCCCCCTCTCCACAGTCGTCCTCTGTAGGCTCCTGCTACACATCCTCGTCCTCGCAAGCCTCTGTTCGAGCACGCCACACGCTCTCCGACCCCTCTTCCAGCTCCACCAGCCCAGCCAGCGCCTTTGATCGATCCTCGGACTACCACACCGCACCTGCACCTGCCAAGCGTCCTTCCAACGGCGGCGCGAGTGCGGCACACACCCACCAGTCCTTCAGCGCGCTTGCCGCACAGCAGACCGGCTTGGCTTCCTCCGCAGCCTGCACAACTATGAATCCGCACTCGACCGCTTACGAGGCCATGGACCCTCGAGCCTACCTGCGTGCCGGTCCCTCGAGCAGAGCGCATCCGGACGCTGCGACGCCATCTCCAAACGAGCCGCGATATTCTCAGGGCGGAAGTCCGGACAACAGTCGCGCACCGGCGGCAAAGACTCGACGCACCAGCCCAGGAGGATCGCGCGCATCTGGCAACCTCGCACCCTCTCACTATGACCGGACCGAAAGCCCGCACCCGGAATACACTGCCATCGCCCACGCAGCTCGAAGCTCACAGCTTGACACGAGCGCCAACTCATCGGCTTTCACGTCGTCCAATGCATCGACACTGCATCCGTCGTCCTCGTTTGCGCCCATGGACTGGAGTTCGGAGGCGGCCACACATGCCTCTTCACACCGTGCAGCGAGTCCTGGCGATCCTCGGCCTGCTGCCAGCCACATGCCGACGAGCAATGCGACCGTGGCATCCACCTCGTCCACAGCTGCCTCTCCTCGCACACACTCCGATGGGCAGTCACATCCGGCGCATCAATGCGCACCCTCATCGTCTGGCGCACAAGCTCCCGCATCCATATCAGCCCGAGCCTCTGCAAGCTCGTCGGCGGATCGGGCCGAGACCAAGTCGCATGCGCAGTCCATGCCCAAGATGGACCTGGCCACCTTTCCGCCGCAGGAGCTGCTCAAGATCCTCGCAACTCTTCTGCAGGAGATCGCGTCAGCCAACGACGATTTCCAGCCAGACGGAAGCAAGGACGAGTCGCGCAGCCGAAGAGGCGCCCGCACGCGAGATCGCTCGACTCCAGCAACGCCCGCAGAGGCCTCCGACTCAGCAGACACCTCGGCGGCGCGGGATTACGCCGCTCCGCCAGGCTCGCATCTGTCGTTCAGCGATTCGCGCCGACCGTCGGTGACGACGGCGGCGCTAGGCGCGCTGGCGACGCCATCCAGCACGCTCTGCTTCCACGCACGAAACGTGCCGAGCATCAGCATCGAGTCGTACCTGCTGCGCATCCTCAAGTACTGTCCCACGACCAACGAGGTCTTCTTGAGTCTGCTCGTCTACTTTGACCGCATGAGCAGGATGGGCACGGGCGCCAAGCCAGGTGCCAACGGCGGCGGTGAGGCAGCAGGCGAGGCGGCGGGACTACCTCGCGCCCTTGAGCGGGCGACGGGCCAGGGCGAGGCTGCGTCGCAGCCTTCCGCAACGCGCGGTTCGGACGGAGAGGCGTCGTCGTTGGACCCCAAGCCAGAGCACGCCGCCGCGCACCCTGGCATCCGCGGGTTTGCTATCGACAGCTACAACGTGCATCGACTGGTGATTGCAGGCGTGACGGTGGCAAGCAAGTTCTTCAGCGATGTCTTCTATACCAACAGTCGCTATGCCAAAGTGGGAGGCCTGCCGCCGCACGAGCTCAACCAGCTCGAGCTGCAGTTTTTGCTGCTCAACGATTTCCGGCTGACGATTCCACTCGAAGAGATGCAGCGCTATGCGGACCAGCTGCTCATGTACGGTAGCGGCAGAGCCGAGCTGGCCAGGTCGACCAAGCAGGCCAACCCAGCCTCAAGCTTGGATGCAAGCCGGCCGAATGCGGCGACCGGCGAGCCAGTTGCCGGACGGCCGTCGACCAGCGCGGCTGGAGGTGCGGAGCATGACTCGGCTGGAACGACGTTGCAGATGGCAGGTCAGGCGAGACCAACAGACGAAGCAGGTGTTGACACGCAGGGAGACGTCCACATGTCGGATGTCAAGACAAGCTGAGCGCGTGGCTCTCTGTCGAGCTTTGTTTGCGGCTCACGCTGGGCATGTCGGGTGAATGTCGCGTGACAAGGGGCGCACGCCAATTGTTTGGCTCGGATCCAGCCAGAGTGTTGGGATGGTGGCCCAGGACGGGATCGCCGTGCACTAGACTGCGCGATCCCCGTCTGACAATGACGCACGTGCGCGTCGTTGGCAGCATCTTGAATGGTTTGGACGGGTCTAGTATCTTATTCGAAGCTGCACGCACACAATAGCAACTTGACGCAATGTGACGCATGGTGCTGTGCGAGTCGCCAAAGGAGAGAGCGGCCGGCTGGACCGACTGGGCAACGGCTCTGGCACGGTTCACTGACAGCATGATGCACGGACGTTTCGCGACCTGTATGGCGACAGCGGGAGCCAAGACACATGTCGTGGCTAGATTGGTTTGCACGTAGCGGGCATCGGAAACGAATAGGCCGGGGCGCAACGAGCAAGGCGGAAATGCAAGCCGCTAGCTACGAGCGATGCGGATATGCGGACAGACTGCGGACAGACTGCCTCTGGGAACACGTCCATCCTCGGACTCGAGGGTCGAAGGGAGAACAATGGACATGCAACAATGCCATTGGGCGACCACGCTGTTTTGTGGCTGAATGCGCAAAGCTCAGCCGCAGATGCAGACTGCAACAATGCCAGGTGTCAGGCAGACAGAGGCAGGGTCACCCTGAACCCTGGCACTGCAGTTCGAACTAAGTTAGACTCCAATCATCCGACGAGATCCATGCAAGATCGCAGCATGCCCACCGGCGACCGTCTTACTCGTCCCGATTGGATGGGCTTTCCGACGCGACCTCGGTCTGACCACTTCTGCGTGCTTGGCGGGCCGGTCGGAGCCATGAAAGGCTTCGGGCCGCTCGAGTCGGGCTGGCGGAATGCCAAGTGGTGCTGTATCGATGTCTCAATCTCTGGACTGCAACGCGAATTCGGGACCTTTTGTTTGTCGGCGGTGGCGTTTTCCGTCGGGGGTGGCTGGGAGCTGCAGCTGATCCCATGGCTTGGCTCGCCCGCCGCGCGTTCGGATCTCGAGTTCGACCGAAAGATCTCGGAAAAGGAAAATCGGCCGCACGAGCGCTACTCTAATTCCACGCAATTTTTCACGCCCCAAAGGCCCCTGAGGTGAGCGCTCGCAGCCGCTGCATGGACGCGCACATTTGCGCCCGAAAAAGGAGCGCGCTCCGACTAGTGCCTCGGCATCGTTACACCCGATTCTGCAGCGGGCCTCACCGACAGCCCCGACAACGCCGGAATGCGCTGCGGCCGCACATCGGCTGCGGCTCATCAGCTGTGAGGCCTTCTCGACGCTACGCAGGCGTGGTGTCTCACTTTCCCGGCTTCTGCACTTACCGGAAGCCACGTCCAGCATTGCAATCGGACACCATGAGGCCTCTAGCCCCGTCTCCCCGTCATCTCGGCGGATCCATAGCTAGACCGTGTCTCGCCTCCATCCGCAACACCTTGAACTGCACGTGCAAATCTGCTCGACTCTGGTGACCGGAACCGCAGTCTAGGACCGGAAGCAACATGCGCAGCTACCGACTCAGACAGACGGAAGCATCCGAGAAATGACCGCTGAGCGCCAAATTCACATTTTGTCTTGTTGAGCAAACTTCACGCCTTCCGAGCTCGATTTCAAAATCGGGACTCTGCCTGCAGCAAGGAGAAGCGACCACATGCTATTGTTATCCTTCATTGTCCTCGCTAGCGTACTGTAGCCGCTCGGCGCGCTCAGCAACGGTGGCAAGTCCCTTTGTTCGCCGCGCTCGGAGCGAGCATCGTAGCGCCTCGTTGCAACCACGCACACATGTTATGCCTGCAGCTGCAGCCCTTTCCCCGCGCACGCCTCTCTCGTGGCCGACCAACGTGCAGCAGCTTCGGCTCCCAAGTCCCTTTGTTCGCATCGACAACCGGGTGCCTGCCTGAAAGCATTGATCCACACACCGGCGAGTCGATTCTTTCATTGTCCTCGTCTGTGCAGCCTAGTTCATTGTTGCCCTCCCGCTGCTCCTCGTCCGTCGCGCCCGGAATGGAGCGGAACTTGCAAACAATGCCACCTTTGCTACGCCCCGCTCTCTCCCTTCTTCCACCACTTCCCGGGAGCGTTTTGGCACTAATCGACTCCATGCTCGCAGCATGCGTGCGTGTACACAATCAAAAGCTCCTCGGCCATTGTGTCTCACAGCACTGGCTCAACCGATGCAACGTGCTTAACGCAGGGCGCCAGGGTGCAAAAACAGGAGCACACACACACACACACACACACACACACACGCTGCGGTTGAGCTTCTTCGCTTGCGCTTGAGCCAGAGTCAGAGCGAGAGCGCTCGAGCCAGAAAGGCGACCCTGGAGCCTTCCGAGATTGACCTGCAAACGCGTGCATCTCTTGCGCGTCTGCGGCCCCACCATTGTCTGGCCCCACCATTTGGATGCGCACAGCACACTTTCCGTCGATGAAGCCGCTTGGTCCGCCTCCCATTGAGCGTAAGCTCCGAGCGTGATGCGCCGCGTCGAGCTGAGAGGCCGCGAGATAAGCTTCACTGTGCCTCTGCATTCCTTTGTACTTATTAGTGCTTCACTCTCGAGCAACGAGTCCACCATACCCCCCTCATTTCTCCAACAAAGCTCAGCCTGGCCGTGTTCGTTCATTCTCTCCATCGCTCGACTCATCCTATCCCTTCGTTCTCACCATCAAAGGGGAGTCGCAAGATGCGATCAGCAGCGACGCGCAGTTCAATGCGAAAGACGCGTCTCGAAGGCCTTGACAGGTCTCCCGAACGCGGTCACGAACTCGTCACCGTCGACTTGTTCCAGGGCTGGACTCCATCGGCAGACACCAGTGACGATGCCGAGATCCAAAGTGATCAGATCGATCCCGCACTGTCTCACGACGATCCTTCCAGCCTCGCCACGTCCGCCGATGCGCCGAGCTTCAAATCAATCGGTTTTCCCACAAGCAGTCTCCCAACATCTCTTTCGACCGAAGGCAGAGTAGCCCAACATGACGCCGGCGATAAAGCTGAGCTCAAGAAGATTGCGCCATCCAAACGTCCGGGCGTTTCGCACGCCAAAAAGACGGCTCCCGATCACATCAAGCGCCCACGCAATGCGTACATCATCTTTCGATCGCATATTGTCTCGCAAAAGCTCATCCCAAAAGAGGTAGAGCATGACCACCGCAACATCAGCCGAATCATTGCGCATATGTGGAAGAGCCTCGCCCAAGAGGATCGCGCCCACTACGAGAAGATCGCCTTCGAGGAGAAGGAGAGGCACAAGCAGCTTTTCCCCAACTACCGCTACCAGCCCACCACTCGCCGCACCAACGTCAACAAGCGCAACGTCAAGAAGCTCGAGAACGGCGACGAAGAGTGCCAAGAGATTGCGGACATCATCCTCAAAGCGCAAGGCAAGAGCGGCGTCGCCGCCAATCCCGAGCCGCGCAAACCTACAAAAAGGACACGCGAGGCGACGCGTCCGCAACAGGAGAACGACACCGAATCCGCAGCCGAGCCTTCGCCGCGCAAACGCGCCAAGCCCAGCAAGATGCCTTCCAAGGTGACCAAGGTGGCCAAGACGCCCAAGACGCACAACGTGGCCAAGGGCACCCACGGGAATGGAGACGCAAACGAGTCGGAACAGACGCTCGAGACCGTCTTCCTGTACCATTCGTCGTCACCATCGCCGTCCGTTTCGTCGTGCTCGAGTGCTGCCATTGCGTCTGTTGCCGTGACATCGCCCGAGCCCTTGCGACTCTCGCCCGAAACGCCTCCTGCCGCCCGGCAAGATACACACGGAGACGAGCAAGGGGCCGGCGCTTCCATCTTTGGCCGCAGGGCATCCTCGGTCCCGCTCGTTCCGTTCTACTCTCTTCCGCCTCCGCCAGCGATTGCACTTTCGGATCACGAAGGCTACCAAGCGTCGGTTCATCCCCAATCGTTCGGCGTCCCCATCGAGCGCGAACAGCTGCAGTCCATCCAAGGCCAGCTCGACGTCGTTCAAATCGACCAAGGCAGGGACGACGGTCGCGACATGCCTGCTCCTGCTTGGAAGGGGCGACGATCGCAGCCGCCTCCCATCCCCAACACCTGGCAAAACTGCTCGTTCGACGAGCCGTCTCTGCCCTCGCCGCGCACGATGGGTTTCTGTGGAGCATCATCGAAGCACGGCATGGGTCGACCTCGCACGGCCATGCCGTCCACCCCAAGCTCGGCTTCCTTCCGCGGCTTCTTCCATCCCTGGGCGTTCGACCACAGCGACGAGTCGACGCTCATCTCGCCGATGAACGTTTCGTTCCAGGACGGGAGGAGGCGCAGCTCCACCATCCGTCACGGCTCGCTCACCGGACGTCGGTACGGCTCTTTCGGCCTCGAACCGCCCAGCAGCTTCAGTAGCCGCGCAGAGCCGGCCGACCTCGGTTGCGGTGCGCGCACGGATGCGTATCCCTCCGACCTCGACTTTTTCGAACACGCCGCAAATGCTGCATCAGTCAGTCTCCGAGAGCAGGGTCTCTCAAGCGGCGCGGATGAGGCGGTTCCATTCGCTTTTGATCCCGCCTTGGAGGGGGAGGGATGTGCGCCGATGCCGGGCCATCCTCTCACCAGTCCTCGCCCTTCGTTCTCCGAGAGCACGTTGGCAGCTGCCGCCCGCGACTGGACGAGCATCAAAGACGGCAAGGGTAGGCACTCCCACAGTGCCGCACACCAGCCTCAGCCTCAGAGCGAGCCCGCACCGGAATCTCAGTTCCCGGCGCAGGCGCAAGATGCAGGAAATCTTACGCTTGAAGAGTCGGTGGAACGAGCAGTTCTGCTGGCGCTGGGCAAGCACTTTGGCCAGGATGTCGACTGCGCCGAACGCAGCTCCAAGATTGTTCAGCAGATCCTGTCGTCGTTCACTTCCCAGTCGTCGAACCATCCGCAAGCATCGCAATCGGTCGACGCCGACCAAGGCACCATCCTCGAGCGTCACAACGGAGCTCACACCGCCGCGCCTGCCCTGGACTCGAGCCGTAGAGCGTCCCTCCGCGGATCCTGTACTCCGGCGGGCTCCTTTCGTTCCTCCCCAGGCCTCAATAGCGTCAAAGCCGTCGATGGCCGCAGAAGCTCCAAAGCCCTTCCCTCGCCTTTGCATCTCGCACGTTCCAACCATCAATTGGCCGCAGACTCGCATGCCCATCCATACCCAACTTCCCAACATTGCATCTGAATGTAGTCAGCATCTCGTATCTCCTCACCTCATAGTAGAGTCTTGTTTAATTTGACAGTACGGCGTTGCACCACCTTTTCGTTTCCGGCGGCTGTAATCTGTGTCTGCCACTTGTGAGGGCAAGTCCGCCAGAACTTCGACGCTCGGTTTGTGGAAGGGCGACGGGGCGATTTTTGTTGTTTTTGTGAGATCGCAAATTCTGTATCCAGTTCGAGCGGCGAGAAAAAAACCACACTGACAAAATTTAAAATTGTTAGACCTTTGGGCATGTGCGAAGGAGAAGGTCACGTGCAAGTCGGATCAAAACTGTAAATTTTGTAGCTGCTGCTGGAGCCGGGCAGAGAGCCGTGGCAAGCGGTGGGCCAGCCTTGTCTCGCGAGTGTCGGACGGATCGAATTCGTGCGCCTGCTGCCAGTCTGCAGGCTGGGGCCCGACCTGCGCTGGGACTGGCCAAGCAAGCAACGCCAACCACGCAGCCCAGACTCGGCTTGATCTTCGAGTGAGAGTGTGTCCCAGTCCAAGTGCTCCCCTCCTCGCGATCCTTGATACCGACATCCATCAAGACCTCATAGCACATTCTTCAAGAGTAAGTATTGAATCGACATGGCATGACCATCAAGCACAGCACGGCATCGCACACGACAACTTCGCAGCACAGCACACCAGATCAGCATTCTATCCGACTCCGCGACCTCACGCCAATGACGATCATCCGCACTTGCCGAGCACATTCGGCTTGTTCTCAATCGACACCCACGACACACAACGATGCTTCTTCTCGCGATGCCGTTGCTGTAGCAGCGTCACCGACATGCTTCTGCCAACCAGCTCTGCGTCCATTGCGATCGAGACATGAAACTCACCACTTCTGCACATCTGCTTGATTCGATTGGAATGACTTTCCTGCCACCGCCAACCTTCGACGCACGCACTTGCTTTGCCATCTCACAGTGGTTCGAGGACCGAAGCACCACCTTAAGCGCCTGAACGCTCCCTCCTCGTGGATGCTGGACAAGCTGTCCGGCACCTACGCCCCCCGCCCCTCGAACGGCCCCCACAAGCTGCGTGAGGCTCTGCCCCTGGTCGTAAGTATTGACAGCACACATCAGATTCAGCAGCACCCAGCGTATCCCTTCGCCATGCGCGACGCACCCATCGACAACTGGACATCAGATGGAAAGTGGCAAAGCAGCAAAGCACAGAATCGATGGAAGAGACGCAGACAAGGAGGAATCGGTCACGGCATCTCGCGATTAGCAAAGGCTCCGCCGCATTCAGTCGTTGGAATTGACGAGCGAAGTGCAGATAGACCCGCCGGAGCGAAGATGGCATGGATCGAAGGCGGCATGGACCAAGTGCTCGCTTGTAGCAGACGAAACTCGCTTTGTGGGGTCTACCATCCTCGTTGCCGAATCGCGCTGGGGCATGGCACAATTGCGATTCTTTCGCAGGTCATCGAACCCGAGTCGGCAAAGACAGGGACATGTTGTGTTTTGCCTGGGCCAAAGCAGGGAATGTCCTGGGTGCTGCTATCTCAACTCGCTCCTGGCGGGATTCTTGACCATGGGTTGATCTCCATGTTGAACCGCTCACTGACGTCTCCACTCTTTTTCCACCCCTCAGATCCTCCTCCGCAACCGCTTGAAGTACGCCCTCACCGGTCGCGAGGTCAACGCCATCACTGCCCAGCGCCTCATCAAGGTCGACGGCAAGGTCCGCACTGACCCCACCTACCCCACCGGTTTCCAGGACGTCGTCTCGATCGAGAAGTCGGGCGAGCACTTCCGCATCCTCTACGATGCAAAGGGCCGCTTCATCGTCCACCGCATCACCGCCGAGGAGGCCACCTACAAGCTCCTCAAGGTGAAGAAGGTGCAGCTCGGCGCTCGCGGCGTCCCCCACGTCGTCACCCACGACGGCCGCACCATCCGATACCCCGACCCGGCCATCAAGGTCAACGACACTGTCCGATTCGACATCGAGTCGCAGAAGATCCTTGACTTTGTCACCTTCGACACTGGCGCCACCGTCATGGTCACTGGCGGCCGCAACATGGGCCGTGCCGGTGTCATCACCGGCAAGGAGCGTCACCTCGGTGGCTTCGACATCGTCCACATCCGCGATGTCCTCGGCCGTGACTTCTCCACCCGTCTCTCCAACGTCTTTGTCATCGGCACCGACGGCAAGCCCATGATCTCCATGCCCCGCGGCGGTGGTGTCAAGCTCACCATCACCGAGGAGCGTGACCAGCGCCGCCGACAGAAGGAGGCCCGTGGCCAGTAATTGCAAGGCCAAGCCTTGCTCTGCTGATTCCACTGGCTCCCTTTCCGTCGTCTTCCCTTCATCCCACCAAAAAAGTGCCCTCGGGCTCGCATTCACATCACTGAGGGCCTCGAGGGCGGGGCCAGCCGTTGGATCGGATGGCTCTCCCACTTCGCCCTGCATCCCAAGCCCATCATGCTCTCACTCGCCTTGGGCGGGCGTACTCCCGCATCTCAATGCCAAAAAACCTGTATTCTTTCCGTCTCGTTCGCTGTGCCGTGTGCCGTCCGATGCCTCCAGCCCTGATTAGCGTGAATCCACAACCTCGAGGCCGACTAATTTGGTAAGATGACTGGAAAGGACCGAGGCGTTTCTTCAACCTCACCATTCGCTCTATCAATTATCTCCAGTAAGCGTGAGAGCATATCAAGGCGATCCACCAGCGCATCAGGGCCGTGCTGCTAGAGCGAGACGAGATCGTGATCGCTTCGTCCAGCTCGTGCGCCGCGAAGTTCTTGCCTACCTTTCGGTTTTCGCCCTTGACGAAGCAAGCGGCGCACTTGTCTCGGCCAGTCTTGCACTCCGACTCACGCTTCGTCTCAACACCCTCTCTCACGCACCAACGGACCACTGGACAGCAGGACTGGAGGAGGCTCTCGGAGCCCCTCCCGCCGCAAGGGCCTAGGCAGCGGCGGTGCCGCAAGGGAGGCCGCGTGTCCATCCCACGGGCCAGAGGCACATAGCAACGCTTCAAGTGCCAGTCTCATAGCCCGCTCGACAACAAACGTCGAGTCTGGCACAGATCAAATAACGTCAAGTCAAGAGAGGTTGCACGTGAATTTTCAAAGAGGTTCAACAGGACTCGCGCTTGGCGGGAACGACCTTGGATAGTGTGGAGACGATATCTGTGACTCGCATAGATCGATCTGCCACATGCGAGGATGGTTCCGCTTCAGGTAAGGCCCCGGTCCTCCATGCTAACGGGTTTTGTGTAGTGCGGATGCCCGGGTACTACCGACGCGTTTCCGATTGAGAATTTTAGTATGATGTCAGTACTTTCGTGTGATGGCGACGGCGACAGTCTGTGATCGTGACAAGCCCAAACTGAGATTGCGTGATGGCGCAATGCTACAGTACACGTGATGAGGAACGGATGCTACAGACGAACGCAAGATGATGTGGCGGCGGGTACCTTGTCCCAGAAGATACCGGAATATGAGTCGTCGTCGTTGATGGTGTCGAATGACACGATGGCGTCAAGGACGTCTGTGGGCAAACTCGAGAGTCCGCCACGGACCTTTGTGGCTGGGTGGGTGAAGTACTCGAGTGTGAGATGAACCGCTAAGTGCTTGCGCACTCCAACACTTTCTTCGTCGACCTCCTGATGCGCTCCTGCTGTGCGTGGAGAATCGTATTCTCGGCCTGAAGCACCGAGATGGTGGCGTGAGGCGCTTCAAACGCTTGAAGAAGCGCCCTTTTTAGCTCTCGCGCATCTCTTTTGTCGTTGAGATGGCGGTAGTCGTCGATCGCATAGTCGACGGCGGCGTTTGACTGCGGCACCAGCACCGGCTGTAAGGCCCGTCGTTCCTGCGTGCCTGATCGACGAGCTGCATCGGAAGCGCCGGGAAGCCGGGCCAAGATCCGGTCCGGACTCGGGTCGAGCGTGATACCGGAGTCCGTGAAGGCCTTCCGTGCAGCGAACTGCGTCATAACCTACTCATGTACCTCCGCATACAGTGTTGCAAAGCGTGCCCTGTCAATATCTCCGTCCATGTGCGGGGCGATCTCGTTCAAACGCCGTTTGTATGCCGCAGTCAACGGCCCGAAGATTGAGACGTCGAGCGGCAACAAAACCCGTCACCGCCCCCGCCGTCACCGCCGCCGATCGTCTCTCGGCCTTCGACCCCCGCACCTTTCCGCACAGGGAGGCAACAGCTCCCGCTTTCGCTTCCGCACTCTCACCCTCGTGCACAGCGAAAGGCAAGTAGCAAGTGCGGAAGGGCATCGTGTATGTATACCGGGCTACTGACATGTCTTCGTCTTTCTCCACCACCCCACTCTCCTTCTTCATCTTTCTCCCTACCCTTTCCAGCATACCCTCCCGATACGAACAACACCATCATCATCGCTCACCAAGTCGTCGCTGCTGTGAGTGGACTTAGGCCCTTGGACTTTGGCGCGTATGCTTGTCGTGGTTCGTCGTCGCGCGAGACGTACACTGATCTCTTGCTCCTTCACAGCCGCTGAGCCTCTAGCCTCCCACCGTCCGCGCGTCGGCCGCCATCATCATGGCGTCGCAAGGATCCCCTCCCCCCTCGCCTTCGCCCACTCGTGGATTCGATGTGTTGGGGCTTGCGATGCTTTTGGTTCCTGAGGATCTGCGGCAGCAGCTGGCTGGCTGCCGCGCTGCATACCGGACGATGACGGATGTTGCCTTCGACTTGTCGAAATATCCACTCAGCGACGACGATTTATCGGTCTTTATTTCGGCCTGGGCCGTCAAGAACGCACCCCGTCTCCTGCAACAGGACACGGGTTCCCAGCCCTACTCGTCCACGGCTGCTCCAGCAGCGGAAGCCGTCGCAACGCAGCCACGACCCTGCACACCGGTGCCGACTTCGCCAACGATCTCGGCGCATCCAAGCCCGCAGCTCCTGCCCGGCGAGCCATCGACTCTGGAGCCGACGATCATCGACCTGACCCGCAGCCCCAGCCCTCCTTCCGCTGCGCCTGCCGCTGTCAGCAATGAGAGCGCGGACAACCATCGCGACGGCGCAGCCAGCAAGAAGACTCGCACTCCCGCCGCCGACGCTGCTTCGGAATCGCGCCCGCGCAAGAAGAATCGTTGCCTGCCCAAGTCGTGGGCGGCTGCTTGCGATGCACCTCCCAAGCATGCGGCTCCTCGCGCGAATCCGGCTGCTTCCAGCTCCAAGGCCCCCCATCCTAATCCAGACTTTCTTGGCGCCGCCAAAGGGAGCCACCTCGCAGTATCAAGGCGTCCACCTGAAGAGCGAAAAGGAAGGGCGCTACTGGTATTCCAAAGCGGTGATCAGAGTGCAGGAAGTGCCGAGCGAGGGGGGCTTCTCGGTCGACAAGACAGGGTCGGAGGTGCGCGCCGCAATTCAGTACGATCTGTGGCGACTCAAACTTCTCGACAGGCACATGACGGTCAACTTTGAAAAAATGCGACGCGTCTACATCCACCTGCTCGTCCACTGCACGGAATACGAGGCTGTCGAAATGGCGTACGAGTGCCTCGGTGGCGACGGGTTCGCCCGCTCTGAAGCTGCTCGGATTGCTCAAGAGGCCGACCCTCAGCCTGCGGCTTCTGGTTCGTCGTCGAACCCCATCTCAGTCGACTCGCCTTCCCCTCCACCTGAGGCGGGGCCATCCTCGCGTGCGGCAGAAGGACCTGTGCGCGGCACAAAGCCCGAGCTCACGCTATCCAAATTCGTCCCTGCCAAGCGCGAGTCCCCCTGACCCCTCTTGTTGCGACTAGCACGTTGTTCAATTGCGATGAGATTTCTCATTGATGCATTGTGACGTCTCCTGCGAGTGTCATGAGGGCTGGTTCAGTGTAGCAGAAGATAGTGAAGTGGATGTCCGTCCGCCTGTGCAACAAAGGGCCCTTGAGTACTCTCTCAAAGTGGATCCCAAACACATGCGATGCAAAAGTGAAAAAGGGGCGCATTGATTCGAGTAGACTAAAAAGACGACATCTTGAGGACCGGTCGAGATCGTATCTGCAGATCGGGAATGTCGGCGATGAGCACGGCCTTTCTGGATGGGCGCCTTCTCTCCATTGCCTGATGCCACCCGAGGACATCCTTCCATGTGGCGGAGCCGCCCTGAAGACCGAAAATCCCGTTCCGTATCCGTTTTCTGCCGCCATAAGGCAACGTGAACTCCCAACTCACACTAGAGGGGAAGAGGCGGCGGCTTACTATGCCTGTTCCCCGGGTCGGACGTGAGTCCGCCCAGAGGGGCTGCCTTCGCCTTCCCTCTTCCCGAAGGCAGCGGCAAGACCAACAATTCCTTGTTATGGATGAGCTGCGTCTTTTCCAACGACTTGCTGCACTGCAGGTTCTTGAGCATCGCCACTGCACCTCTCATGAGCTGCGACTCTTCGCCATAGATGTGGCACAGGTCGGAGTCCTTGTAGGCTTTGAGAAGAGTTCTTTGGCCATCGCCAACATCCACAATCAACTTGCGGAACGACGTCTTACCCGTATTCTTCGTGCCCTTGTTCTTGATGATCTGGACCACAAGGTTCAGCGGGATTGGCTCATCCAACGAACCCGCCGTGCTATGCAGGTGGCTTGGACAGGTAAAGTCGTCGCTGGATAGCCCAGGTCCACGAAGGATAATGGGCTGCAGCCCGTCGTCATGGGGCCCGGTGACGGTAGGGGCGTGCGCTGCTCCGTTTCGTCCAGCTCGAGCATCTCCAGATAGCGCGAGATCATGTCAGGGCGGTTGACGAGCGCACCAGGACCGTGCTGGTAGAACGAAACGAGATCGTAGATCTCGATCGCCTCGTCCAGCTCGTGCGCCGCGAAGTTCCTTCCCACCGTTCGGTTTTCGCCCTTGACAAAGCAAGCGGCGCGGTAGGTCTTATTGGCCAACAGATACACGCCGATATAGCCGCTTTCGTTCCGTCTCGGCAGCCTAGCGTTCTGTTTGTTCGAAGAGGCGTCGACGACTCGCAGATTCTTCCTTCGGTGGTCATACACGTTGCCGGAGATGTGGTCGACAACTTGCGTCCTGAGGTCTGCGCGGAGCAACCAGCGCGAGAGAGAAACTCGATGCCGCCGCCGAGGGGTCGGATCTGGATGCGCTCTTGCCGTCTTAGCACCAGGTCAAACGCCTGCACCTTGACGGAATTCCAGTCCTCGTCGTCAAAGAGGACCTGCACCTTCTTTCCCGCCTTGGTTGTGCGCTCGAAGAACGCGACCCCCTCGGCATTGCGCTGGACCTTCAGCTTGGCGCGCTGCTTCGCCCACTCCTATTCTCTTTGCTTCTTTCCGTCTTCCCAGGCGGGCGACGAGGCGGCTTGCCGAGTCGACGGGTTCCTTGCGCGTTTAGTGACAGTTCTTGACGTGTCCCTCGTATGTGACGACGTAGATCTGGTCGACACGGTAAACGCCGATGCCGTCTGCCTGTTCGACGATCTTTTCGACCCGAGAGTGCTCGTTCGGATTCTTGTTGAGCTTATCCGGCACCTTGAGTAGCATGTCGCCGTAGCTCAGGCGACAGACCAGATTGTAGACGAGCGCATCGGTCTCGCCATCGCTGAAGCGCCCCTGTTCGAAGCTACGATGCGTCACGACGTACTTCTTGAAGCGCTTGACTACGCCGTGGAACCCGCTTGCAGGGTTGCTTTGTCGACGTTGAAAGCATTGAACTGCGCAGTCACCCAATCGATGTTCTTGTGGCGATCGTCGGTCGGATCGCGATTGGCGTGGGCGACGTGAGTGCTGGTGAGTTTTAGGCTCTCTTTGCCCAGACCTTGCAGCCGGAGCCGCCACACATGTACTCCCATGTACGGCGTACGACCCACTCAATCAAGCACGGATCACGCATGGCGATGATGCGAACCACACGAGCAACTTGGCACGCTCCGAGGCAGGACTTTAAATTCGAAAGAGTCACGCTGGGTGTACTTCACCGTTGAGTGGAAGGTGCGAGAACGACAATGCGTGAGATTGCGAGTGACAGACTGACTTAGTGCATGGTGGATTTTAAGACGGTGCAGTTCAACTGATGGATGGAGACTTGGCCAAGGCGAGGAAAGCAAAGGAGAGGACGTAGCCGAGGGTGGGGATGAGGAAACACGTCGAAGGGAGAGCGGTCTCGATGGTGAGGCTGTAGACGATGCTGATGAGGATGGGGCTGATGCCGTTGACGATGTTGTCCGAGATGGAGAGGGCAGCGAGCCAATCGTCTGTGGGTGAAGGATGCAAGCTGGGATGCAGAGACGGATGACCGGCACGTTTCATGTCCTGAATGATGGCGATGGCGGCGGAGGCCACAGCAGGTCCTGCCCCCGCACCAAAGGAGAGGAAGAGCGTGCCAAAGATCATGACCGCTGCATTGGAGAAGCTCGCAGAGACAAACACGACCAGATAGCCCACCACGTCAGCAAAGTAGGAGATCTTGGCGATCACCAAATCGATGGCTGTGCGCCACAGCACCACGGCGCGTATTGTTTCGTTGGGTGCATCAGCCGGAGTCTCGTCGAGTGGATCTTGCCGAAGAGGCTGTGCTGGTTGCGCCAGTCCGTCGTTCTCAAGCTCTTCCGCCAGGCGACCTGCTGGCTGGGTGAGGTCGGGATCCTTGAGTCCTGCTTTTGCGAGCACTTCCAGTTCCTGCGGCGACAAGGAAGCGATGCGGCTGGGCTTGCGCACTGTGCGCTCCAACAGCAGCACGAGCAGCGGAATTGCGACGATCAACCACACCGCGCGTGTGGCGCCAATGAGGCCGAGCAGCAGGCCTATGGCGTCGGGCGTAAAGTCGAACTTGTAGCCGGCAAAGATGGCGACATACTGGAGGGCGTTTGTGCCGATGTTGGCAAACATGCCGGCGAAGGCGAGCCAGGTGAGGCGGTAGTCTTTGCGGCCGTCGTGAGTCACCTGCGGCAGATAGATGGAGAGCGGGCCGAGTACTCTCCGTGCTCGGATGCGAGAGGGTGAAAGCGAGCCATGTGTCGAAGCGCCATCGTCCTCGGCGCTTCGGGCCGCATTTGCACGAGAGGGCGTGAATTCTGCCGTGGAGTGCGATGCGGATGCTTGCGCTGTGGTGGGTCTTGTCTCTGGTACGATGAGAACGGTCCAGGCGATGGCGAGGAGGAAGACCCAGCAACAAGCCACGAGTGCGGCGGGGTTTCCGTGCTTGGACGGGGACTGCGGGGCTCCTGGGATGGGCGGCGGCGTCATGGGGTCCGAGGGAAGCTCTGAGCGAATGGTGGGAGCGCCAACGAGCTGAACAAGCATGGCGTGGGTGCGATGCTTGACATTAGTATCGAGTGCCCAGGCTGCGAGGAGCGGGCCGAAGAAAGCGCCGCAGAGGGTTGCGCTGATGAGCCAGTTCAGGTTGACGGTGCGGCGGGTGGGAGGTGCGACGTCGACGATCATGACGCGCATGACGCAGAGGAAGAGGCCGGCGAAGCCCGTGAGGCCGGTGAGGAAGCTGCAGAGGAGAAGGATGAGCATGGCGGCTGCCGGACTGATTGCGAGCTGGGAGGGAATGTCTCCAAAGGGATAGCCCAAGGGAAGCAGCGCAAATGGGAGATAGTTGATGATGTTGGAAGCGAGCGAGATGACGAGCATGGGCTTGCGTCCCCAACGCGCGAGGCGTGGGCCGTAGAAGAGCATGCTGATGCTAGAGATGACGAAGCTGAGCATGGTAGCTGCCGCGACGACGATGCCGACTCTGCTTTCTACGCCCGACACGGCGCATGGGCGGTCGCGGTCGCGTGGCAGCGGAGGATGCGGATGGGTAGGCAAGAGTTCGGGATGCTTCGAGTAGTGGTAGGCGCATGTGTATGCGCGAAGGCCGTCCAGGTAGGAGGGAGCTGCGCCATAGTTGCCCATACCCCATAGCAGGGCCACTGCCAGGAGGCGCAGCACTGGCCAGTGGTGCTTGAGGTGATGCGCCGCGCGGGCAAAGGAGCGCGTCGACTTGGGCCGATTGGAGGAGGCATTCGAGGCAGCGCGTTGTCGAGTCGCGCGCTCATCGGCGAGAAGAGGCTGCCTCTCTTCGTGGGAAGTACGAGGCATGCTGCTTCGAGTCCGAGAGAGCAGCGCAATGCAGCGCCGATGCGTGCTAGACGGCGAGTGATGTGCAGAAACGAGCCATCGGAAGGGGCCGCCAACCAGCCCGAGCGTGAGATTCGTCGAGTGATTCCAGTGCAGAAGCGAGGTGACTTTACAGACTATCGGAGAGCCCGAATCATCGGTCGTGCCGACCGAAAGACCGAGTCGAGGCTGAAAGCGATGTGAAGGCTGGAAGGCAGATGCAGAGCAAAGCGACCTTGATGAGCGGCTCCTTGGATGTATCTCCAGCTGCGGGATCCGCGCCCCTGCACACGCGCTCGCCTCGTCCGCACTGACAGCACAGATGCTCACTCACTCTCAGGGTCCTGGCTGCACGGGGCCGCGGCAAAATTAGCCTAATTCTCCAGGTTGTTAGAGCCAATCATGCATGGACCCGATTTGGTGTGATCGCAAACAATCCACACTGGAAGTGCCCAGTCTAACATTTTCGTGATTGGCGCAGACGACGTGTGGCTCGGGCGCGGTATCGGGGCAGCGGTTGCGGATCGCCTCGTCTGGCTGACGCGGATTCGAAACCGCGATTGTGGCAGCTTGCCGAGCGAAAGGCGGAGGAGCGCTCGACCCCTTTCGGCCGCCCCGCGACATCTGCTCGAGGCGCATCCGCTCACCGTCGTCGACGCGCAGCTCGCAAACGCCAGAGGGCCGGTTCCGAGCCCAGCCAGCTGCATCCACTCACCTTCCTTCTCCCTCCTCCCATCATCACCCCCTGCTCCCTCACCACCGCCACAACGACACGCGTCTCGCTTTGCTGCGCATCGCTCCGCATCTGCCATTCCCTGCGTCGGCCTTCTTCATCCGACCGCGGCCTGGAACGCGCAACGCTCCTGCATCCCTTCCGGGCTCATGCGCTAGTCCGCACGACTCCCACTCCTATCTGCGCGCAACACTCGCCGCTCCCTCATATCCTCTTTCGCGCCCATCTTCCACCTCTCGTGCGCGCCCCGCGCAAAGGCGCTGATCACACGCCGCCATGGTACGTGCCACCCATCGCAACCGCAGCCGCAACCTCCTCGCCTTCATCTCCAAGCTGACCTCTTCTCTCCCGCTCTTGCTCTGCCAACTTGCAATGTTTCTGGAATCAGGCGACACTCAACGTTAAAGATGCGCTCTCCTACCTGGACCAGGTCAAGGTACAGTTTGCAGAGCATCCTGACGTCTACAATCGCTTCCTCGACATCATGAAGGACGTAAGTATCGCTCCCGCCATCCACTCATCCGCTTCAAGCCACTCATTCTCACCTGTCTCTTTCCCCATTCTACCTGCACTTCCACCTCAACAGTTCAAGAGCCAGTCCATAGATACCCCTGGCGTCATCGAAAGAGTCTCGACCCTCTTTCGCGGGCATCCAAGCCTCATCCAGGGCTTTAACACCTTCCTCCCTCCCGGATACCGCATCGAGTGCAGCCTCGACCCCAGCGAGAGCAACCTCATCACTGTCACCACCCCAACCGGCACAACCACACAGACTCCTGGCGGCGTCGGCATCGCAGGCGCCATCAACCGCATGAGTGGAACCGGCTCCGGCCCCCCGCCTCCGGGTCCTTCCACTCAGTCCTCCGGTCCACGAGGTCCCGGTGGCATGGGCATGATGCACGGCTCGGCTCCTCGCCACGCCGACCAGCCTCCATCCCACATGCATCCTCCTCCCCACGCGCACGATGGCCCTCCCGGCTCCATGCCGTACATGAGTGGCCCACCCGGCCATCCCATGAACCACGGCCCGGCCGGCGCCAACTACTCGGGCGCTTCTGGCCAACCCATGGGGCCAGGCGGCCCACAGCATCCCAGCCACGGTCCCGGCCCAGGTCCCATGGGTCCCGTCCCCCCTCACCACGCTCGGCCCCAGTCGCCCATGCCCATGGCTCCCGGCATCGCACCCCCCGCCCCTCCCGGCTCCGGCATGCACGGCGGCCAGGCCGGCCCCATGACACCAGTCCAGGAACCCAAGCGGCCCCCGGTCGAATTCAACCACGCCATCAACTACGTCAACAAGATCAAACAGCGCTTCTCCCAGGACCCCGACACCTACAAACAGTTCCTCGAAATTCTGCAAACCTACCAAAAGGAGCAACGTCCCATCCACGACGTCTATGCCCAGGTCACCGTCCTCTTTGAGAATGCAAAGGACCTGCTCGACGAGTTCAAACAGTTCTTACCCGACACCACCGCTGGCTCGCAGCCCAGCGGCGGCCTCTTCAACATGCTCGGCCAGGTCACCTCGGGCCTTGGCGGAAGCGTCAGCACTGGCACAGCTCCAGGAGCAATGCAGGGCCAGCCAGGCTACAGAGGCGCACCGGGCGAAGGCCCCGATGCCGGTCGCAAGGGCGGCGCAGGTGCCGTCTCGGGCGCGCCCGGCGCCCCCTCATCGGCCTCGCGCAAGAAGCGCAGCGGCGCCAACGAATCCGGCAAGCCAAGCTCAGGCAAGACCAAGAAGTCCAAACACGGTCACAAGGCCGAGCAGCGTACGCCTCCGCTTCGCCAAGAACCGCTCCCGCCATCGCCTACCTTTGCCCATCCGGGCCAGATGCACCACGTCTACGGCATCGACGGCATGGTCGCAGCCGAAGCCACCGGCCTCGTCCCTCAGGGCACCGTCGTCAACGGTCTCGCACTCGGCCAGCCTCAAGCTCCGCTTGCTACGCTCGACGAGGTTGCCTTCTTCGACCGCGTCAAGAAGCACATTGACGACCGTGCCACCTACCTCGACTTCCTCAAGCTTCTCAACCTGTACACGCAGGACATCATCGATGTCAAGACTCTCGTCGACCGCGCCGCTCTCTTCATTGGCACCAACCGCGAGCTCTTTGTCACTTTCAAGGGCCTCTGCGGCTACGACATGGGCCGCCACGGCTGGCTCGACAACGAAGATCCCATTGTCGAAAACGTCCCGGCTCCTCTCCGCGAGCGCGTCGATCTCAGCACCTGCAAGGTCTATGGCGCTTCCTACCGCAAGCTGCCCAAGTCCGAAGTCAACCTCGCCTGCTCGGGCCGAGACCCCATGTGCTGGGAGGTTCTCAACGACAGCTGGGTCAGTCATCCCACGTGGGCATCCGAAGGTGAGGGCTTCAACCCGCACAAGAAGAACCCCTACGAGGATGCGCTCTACCGATCCGAGGAGGAGAGGCACGAGTACGACTACCACATCGAGGCCAACCTCAGAACCATCGCTCTCCTCGAGCCCATCGCCGCTCGCATCTCCACCATGGACAACGAAGAGAAAGCGGCGTTCCGTCTCAAGCCCGGTCTTGGAGGTCAGAGCAAGAGCATCTACCAGCGTGTCATCAAGAAGGTCTATGGTCGCGAACAGGGCCTCGAGGTCATCAACGCACTCCACGACACGCCTTGCGTATCTGTGCCCATCGTGCTGCACCGTCTCAAGCAGAAGGATGAGGAGTGGAAGCGTGCCCAGCGCGAGTGGAACAAGGTCTGGCGCGAGGTTGATGCCAGGAACTACTACAAGAGCCTCGACCACCAGGGTGTCAACTTTAAGACTTCCGACAAGAAGGCCATCACCGCCAAGGCCTTCATCGCCGAGATCGAGGCGCGCAAGCTCCAGCAGCAGCAGCGAAGGCTCAGTCTGGATCCCACCCTCCCGCGGCCAAAGCCGAGGCACCAGCTTGTCTACGTCATGGACGACACGCACGTGCTCGCCGACGTGCTCAAGCTCGCCTTCAGCTACCTCGACCGCGCCACGGGAAGCTACAGCTCCAACGACCGCGAGCGCATCGAAAATTTCCTCCGGTCCTTTGTTCCTAAACTCCTCGCGCTCGACGTCCACGAGTTTGAAGAGCTGCTCAATGGCGATGTCGACATGGACGACGAAGAGGCCAAGAGCAACCCCGACGACGACGCTAGGAGCGTAGACACGCTCGCGGATGACGATACGGACGCCTCCTCCAACGCCTCTGGCTCGGCAAGTAGACGCGGCAAGAAGCAGGCCGCCGACTTGCGCAAGAAAATCCTCAAGAGCCAAGCCGAGACCTCCAAGCAGACCGAGGATGGCGGCGAGGAGTCCGTGGACGCCACCGGCGCTGCTGCCTCGGCCAATGCCAGAGCCGCCAGCCCCACGATCGTTGCAGACGTGGACTCGGTGGCTGAGGCGCTGGCCAATCAGACTTCCAACACGGTCGCGCCCGCCGTTGCAAGCGCCGAGGACGTCGACATGGAAGATGCTTCAAAAACCGCGGAAGAGGCATCGGTCCTGCCAACGGTCAACGATCAAGAGGAGGTGCCAGCGTCGACGACCAACGGCGATGCGGCGGACGCCGGTCCCGCAGCCGAGGCTCCGAATGAGATCGAGGCCGAGGCAGCAACCGAGGCGGCCGACCAAGCATCCACGCAGGATGCTGCGACATGGATCAACACCGATCTCAACGCGACCTTTGATTCACAGAAGGGCCAAACTGTCAACGTGCGCGGCGCAGTCGAAGACGAAGACGGATCGGACTCGTCGTCCAGCCCTGTCAACTTCTTCTGCAACAGCCAGTACTTTGTCTTCATCCGCCTTCTGCAGCTGCTGTACTCGCGCCTGCATAAGGTCAAGGACCTCGGGGTCCAGATGGCCAACAAGCATCCGCTGCGCAGCAAGATCAATCCCCTCGCCATCGAACTCGGCCTGCAGGATGGTGGCAGCGGTCCAGCAGCCGTGGTTGGCGCCACTGCCAATGCCTCGAGCCTTGGACCTGTGGCGCCTACGAACGAGGAGGCCGGTCTCACCCTCCATCCCTCGCGCTACTACGATACGCTGCTCGACATGTGCGAGAAGCTGTTCGATGGCGACGTGGACCAAGCCACTTATGAGGAGTCGGTCAGGTACATGTACGGCATCGAGGGCTACATTGTCTTCACCCTGGACAAGGTGATTGGCGCGCTCATCAAAGTGGTCCAGTTCCTGACCACGGACAACAAGTGCCAGGAGATGCAGTCTATCATGGAGGCCAACCGAGCCAACGTGCAGAGCACGCTGACCAGCTACCGCCAGCAGATCGCCGACCGCATGGCCGCCGAGGACCTGATCGGTAAGGACGAGAGCCTCTTCCGCCTGGAATGGGTGCCTTCATCCTGCACCCTGCTCATCCAGATGCTTTCCAAAGACGACCTCACGCTCGACGATGCTAGGACGGCCGAGCGAAACTGGCTTCATTATGTGTCGAGCTTCAGCCTTTGGACGCCTACCGAAGGCCTCGTGGAGGAAGCACAGGCGCCCTTCATCAAGAAGTCGCTCTCGGCGAGCGGGACCAGCGAGAACGAGGCCAGCGAGACGCGCTACGTCACGCGCAGCGGACTCGAGATCCGAGTCTGCCTCCGCACCTTCAAGCTCTTCTTCGCACACGGCACCGAGGACGTCTTTGTACGCGTCCGTCCCGACGACGAGAGGGACGAGCTCGACCGCAAGGCTGCCGTTGTCAGCAACCGGCGCAAGCAGCGCTGGGACGAGTGGCTCTCGGCTCGCCGACAGGCAATCGACAACCCACACGGCCCTGCTGAGCCTTCGCAAGAAGGTGCCGCCGATGTTGCAATCGAGGCCGCGGCGCCCAACGGAGACGTCGAGCCCGCTCAAGCGTCCGAGTCCGTGGCCGAAGCTTGAGTGTCGTTTTGTATCTCAGCTGCTGATCGCCAGGCCGCGATCGACCGAGCTTGCTCATTGTCGCCTTCCCTGTATTCTATGTGACCACTTTCCCCATTTTCTTGACTCTGTACGAATCGATGATTTTCTCGATCTCGTTTGCAATGTGGCCAGTGCGTGGTGCGCTCAGCAGCGGATGTTCACAGTCCACATGAGGCGAACGATGCTCAACAGGGACAGAACCAGACTGACGAAGCAATTGAGGCTCTGAGAGTGTTTTCATTTTTGGTGAGGTGTGGTAGCGCAAGATGCACGACTACCGGGTGTGCGATGTACAAAAAGTCGCTTTGAGCGACTTTTGCCTACAGATCTACCCGACCCGAGAGTCAGAGAAGGGCAGCATCGAAGGATTTTCGGTGAAGCTGTGTTGCGGGCCAAGAAGGATTCGATTCACTTCTGGTAGTTCCAGACGTTGCGGAGGACTGTTGCAGCGAGAGGAGTTGCAAAGTAGCAAAGACCAGGTCAGCATGCGGAACGAATTGCGGAACGAGCGATCTATCTGAGACCCGCGCCATTCCTGAACCATCGCCATTGCCGCTTGCCATAAGGATGCCTTTTCCATATGTCCTCCTATCCCAATTCCCTCCACCAATTGTAGCAAACACGTCGCAGGGATGGAATGTAGCAAAGGTCTGACTCTCTAGGGCCCACTGAAGGCACGCCGCCGCAAGCGGGGCAGCCGGGCATTGAGATCTTAATCCGATGCTGTAGTCTTTGATCTTCGCTCCTTTGAAAATGTTTGGAATCCTGCGAGAGGCGTATGAGCCGCCTGATGCAGACTGTCAAGGGCGGGCTGCGTGCTGTGATCCGAAATCTCCGCTTCAAATTCCTATCGACCGAAACTCCTACTCCTGCTGCTGGTCCATGATCCTCCCTGCATGCATCCGTGAAATTGGCTCCGACAAGGGCGATTGGCATGTCGATGGCGATGGCGGACTGTAGTAGCGCTGCGCTCGATGCGCGTGGGTCGGAGTGCAACTGATCAAGATACTTACGACCCTCCTTCTGGGCAAGGCGGTTGAGCGAGTCGTCGCTCTCACCGAGCTGGCGGACGAAGCCCGACAGGGGGAAGACGGTGGACTGGCCGGGGATCATGCGACCGTTGGCATCGACGTCGGCGACGGCGATCTGGACGGAAGCGTGGTCCTTGGCCTCGATGATGCGGCCAGTGGCGGCGCACTTGCGGGGGACGTAAAGGTCAACAAGGTCTCCCTGTTGAGCGTGGATGTGTGCAGTGCGGATCGGGTCGAATGGTCGAATATGTCAGTAACCATGGTGGGAAAACGAACAGCAGGGCAAGCGGCAAGCATCGATCGAAGTCACGGAGGTGTGCCGGTGTGCCGAGGTTGGTGATTATGTGTTGTGTCGATGTGGGTGGGCTCTGCGAAATGTGGATCAACAGGTGCTACTGAAGGCTGTGATGCAGTCGAATGACGAATCATGAGCACATCTGGGTGCAGGTCGAGCTTCGTGGGCAGGTGGCTATCGAATCCGCGAGCTTGGCTCGTGTCCCATATCGAATTGCCCCTTCGCCTGCAACATCATATACCGAAGCAGCGTGTATGTCGTTTGGCGTCTTCCCAATTGAGCTTGCCTAGCGTCTTTGATCTTTTTGGGGCGGTGTGATAATGCAGACGGGCCTGTGGATGCTGCGATGGTCGAAGCATTGCTGTACGTGTCGCATCTGCTTATTTGCAGACTGCCTGCTGGGATGGCGGATGGGTGGCCATCCTGTGGACCTCCGTGCTGTCGAATGCGATGCTGCCGGTGATTGGAGACTGAGAGCGGCAGCTACTTACGCGGTCGTTCTCCATTTTGACGATATGTGTGATGTGATGGTAGTAACGTTGCGATCGTGACCAGCTACCTGGACCTGCGTAGCTTCACACTCTCGCTCCCTCTACAGTGAGGCGAGGCTCCGCTGCCGCACGTTGGGACCAAATTCGCGACTCCAGCCTTCGCTGGATTGAAGGGGGTCCCTGAGACCCGCACGCTCGCTTCCTTTGGTTGCCAGGGCGATGCGCCCCTGGGGGCTCTGCAGAGTGAGCCGCCGCGTGACCTCGGCCGAGCTTTTTGCAGCCATTCCGCATTTCGTGTTGACAAAATTGTGAATCGCGTCGCCCTCACATCTAACATTCTTCCAAAATTGAGTTCTTGACCGGTCACTTCGGTAAGCACTCCACCTGTGAGGTACCGTCAATTGGTCGACCTGGGCACCTCTGCATCCAACGCCAACGCCACGTTGCGCCAGGAGCAAGGAGGCTGGTGTCGTCAGCAGAGACATGCTAATCAGTCAGGACCTGGCAAGATCCGAAGCTCAGTTCGAATGCGTTCGCTTCTCTCCGTCTCCGGATAACAAAGATCAAGCTTGGCGCCGACATGGCTCAGAATCAGGTGCAGTGTAGGCAGATTGCTATCGTTATGGATAAGTGAATGCCAAGATGCATCCCCTTGATCAGCCAGCCTACTAGGAACGAGGTTTTGAGGACTACGCGATGTCCACATGGCAACGCTGGCGCTGGCACTTGGGGTTCGCCGAAGTGACAAGGTTGTCCAGATCGAAGCGGAGTTGGCAGTCGGGAAGACCCTTTTATTCTTGCACCTCAAATGCAATCCCGAGAAAGACAATCCCGTATCGTCCGTGGCAGTTGGCCAGAGATTGGGTCGGTGCTATGCTTTCGGTGTCCGGTTAAGCCGAGTTGAGCTTGAGTGGGGGCAGCGGATTCGGACAGCACCAATCGCTCCGACAGTCGATCTGCCAGTCTGGCCAGTCTGGCTGGTTTTGAGAGCGGCGAGCGGTCAATTTCTGGCACATCCATGCGTGCGGATAGCTCCGTGTTTCTATCTCCGATGCTTTTGTGGGAGACCCAGCATGTGGGAGGAGAGTCTCAGAGGCGAGCGACGCGAGAAAGGACACCGTTTTCATTTTTGACGTGGGTCGCTCCGCATGCACAATTGCCCCGCACTCATGTTCCCCGCTGTAGCAGCTGCCTCGGCCAATGCTGTGTTGGCAGTTGCTCCAGCGTCCCTTGTTTGAGCTCCCGGGGTAGCGTACGCTCTAGCCTGGCTCGCTGGTCGAGACTCATGCACGATCAACGTGGCACGAAAGGTCAGCAGCGTTCGTGCGGGGCTGGCGCAGTCTTCGGACCCCGCAGCTGCCATGCACCTGCAATCGATACAGTAAGTCTCGCGCCGGGAGGCAAAGAAGTCCCCCCGCGCAGGCGCCACGGTTGGCACTCGGCCTGTCCTCGGCTAATCCGAGATGAGCTCAACAACGCGGACCTGGGCCAATCCTGCGCAACCCCACCTTCCCCACACATGTGCTTCATCCTCGAAGCGAGGTCGCCGGGCTCCAACCCAGGGACGCCAATTGGTCGCCCACGGCCATCGCTCGATTGGTTCAAATAGAGCGCCCTCAACGTGCATCCCCGGCCGTCTCCCCCAACCTTCTCTCCCCCTCCAATTCTCCGTGCCATGTCGTACTCCACCAACGTGTCTCCGCACGAACTCAAGGGCGACAAGGACATTGGCGCTCCCATCGTCGAGACGTCCACTCGCAGCGATGGAAAGAGCCCCGACGAGCGCGGCTCGCTCCATGACGGCTTCCCCGCCGACGTCGATGAGAAGAAGCTGATGCGCAAGGTCGATTTCCGACTCATTCCGTGGCTATGTGTCTTGTACCTCCTCAGCTTCCTCGACAGAAGTGCCATCGGCAACGCTCGTCTCTACGGCCTCGAGAAGGAACTCAAGCTCACCAGTCAACAGTACAACATGGCTCTCACCGTCTTCTTCTTCCCCTATGCACTCTTCGAGGTGCCTAGCAACGTGCTCTTGAAGCGCCTTCGCCCGTCCATCTGGTTCCCCGTCATCACCATCCTCGTCGGCATCTGCATGCTCTCGCAAGGCCTTGTACACAACTACACCGGCATCCTCGTCGCGCGTTTCTTCTTGGGCGTCACCGAAGCCGGCCTTTTCCCTGGATGCAACTACCTCATCAGCGGTTGGTACAAGCGCAACGAGTTCGGTCTGCGAGCCAGTGTCTTCTTCAGCGCTGCCACCGCGTCGGGCGCCTTCGGCGGCCTCCTCTCCTTTGCCATCAACAAGATGGGTGGCGTTGGCGATTACAGCGGATGGCGTTGGATTCTAAGTAAGCCTACCACCTCCTTTGGCCCTCCCCTGAAGGCCCGGGCGTTGTCGTCGTCTGCACGGGGAATCCTATTTCTAACCATTAAACTCTTGGATTTTAGTTCTCATCGGATTGGCCACCGTGATCTCGGGCGTCCTCAGCTTCTGGTTCTGCGTCGACTTCCCGGAGACGGCCACCTTCTTGTCCGAGTCGGAGCGCAAGGCGATCATCTACCGTCTGCAGAGCGATCAGCAGTTTTCGGCCGCCGGCGAACGCTTCCGTTGGGACAATGTCTACAAGGTCATGTTTGACTGGAAGGTCTGGGCCGGTATGGGCGCATACATCGGTTGCGTCTGTCCTTTATACGCATTTTCGCTGTTTACGCCAACCATCGTCCGCTCGCTAGGAAAGTATACTAGCAACCAGGCCAACTTGATCTCGGTGCCGGTCTACATCGTGGCCTGTCTGGTCACGGTGGTGGTTGGCTTTTGTGCCGACCGAACCTCGCGCAGGACGCTCTACTCGATCTGCCTTACGGCCGTCGGCGCAATCGGCTACATCATTCTCATTGCCAACGACCCCAAGCGCAGGCCTGGGCTCAGCTACTTCAGCGTCTACCTCGCAGCATGCGGTAAGTACGGGCGCCAGGAGGCGGACTCGCGAAAGGCCGGCCCACTGATCAACTCGATGCTTTCTTTGCTCTGTAAACAGGTATCTATCCGATGATCCCAAACACGATCGCCATCGTGGCAGGCAACAGCGAGGGAGCCTACGTGCGATCCGTCGTGACTGCCGTCGTCATCTCGTTTGGTAATATCAACGGAGCTGTCTCGTCCAACATCTATCCGAGCAGGACGGCGCCTCGTTTCTTCCTCGGTCACGCGGTGGTGCTCGCCTACCTTGTGATTGGCATGCTCAGCAACGTCGTGCTCTACTTTGGATTGCAGCGCGAGAATCTCAAGCGCGACGAGGGCAAGTGCAACGAGACCATCCTCGCCGACGACCCCGCCCGCATCGCGTCGGGCACCGACCTGCAGGCCGAGGCCGCTCGCATCCGTGCGCAAGAGGCTCAAAATGCCGGTGCCTTCGGCGGCCTCATGCGCCGTCTGCACATCGGAGGAGGCGGAACGTATGCCACGGTGGAAGAAGCCCGCAGCCTCAAGGGTGACCAGTGGTCGGGCTTCAGGTACCGCTGGTGAACGCCCGGCTCAAATAAATTTAGATCCACCGTCTGTCCGCCATGCATCAATATGAAGTGCAAACTTTGACAGCTCTTGAAAGTTCGGAGCGGGTGAGAAAATGTGCGTTTGTTAGAGCGTAGTGACGCGTGTGTCTCTGACCGCGGGACGCGGACCTCGCCAAAAATCCGATCTGCAGATGACGAAATGTGACAGCCCGGCCACTTGCTTGCACTTGACCCGCCGCGTTCGCGTTTCAGCTGTGCCGCGAGGCGCCAAGGCGGTGTCGTTACACCATCAGGCTCGCACGGCCATTGTCTCGATCTATTTACAACATGCTGAGCAATCCCATTGTCTGCCTAACATGCTCACGATAGCCAGACCAAGTAGAGTCGTGTTGCATGGAATCGTGGATGGTATCTGGGGACTCGCGGCAAGGCATGCGCAGTGATGCGATGCCAACCGGTCATGTCCATGTCCACCTCTGCAGCGGGTCGAGGCCCTGAAACCCTGGAATAAGAACGAGTCGCTACCCTTGCTGAATGACGTCCATACGGCCGCTCCGGCACGATTTGTAACGCATCTGCGAGCTTCGAGACTTTTCGCATTTTGTGCGGCAGCGTAAGAATAGACTGCTGAGCTTGGCCGTAAATTAGTCGGAGGCTTGTTCGGATCAGTCACACCGCGAACTGCGGACTCGAGCGCCTCGGCGGCGCGCCGGAGCTAAGTCTCCGATGACGATGCGGAAAAAGAGAAAGCGGCCCAAGTTAAAGCCCACAAAGCATCTCCAAGTCACGCCACACCGGCTCGCTGCGCCGACGCGACAGAGAGAGCGTGAGCCAAGAGGCACAGTGACGAAATGAGCCTGGCTCGGCATCCAGCCTCTGCCGCGTCTAAATTTGTCAACGCGGCCAGATTGCGAGTCGGTGGTCATCTTACAGCGGCACTGCAGCTCACCACTCTGCATCAATCGTCGAGGTGCAGATGCGGAGTTTTGCAGCAGGCGCTCGAGGCAGAGGAAATTCCATGCGTAACTTAGCAGAGAGAGCCTGCTCAACCGTCCGTCCATCCATCCGCACCGCCCTGCCACACTGGGCTCAGCTTTTCATATATACATCCGCTACGCCTTCCCAACCTGTTCACACCTTCCGCCAAATCCCAGTCACTTGCGTCGCGCATCCATCACCTACACTACCTTCCACCGTCTCAATCGCTCTCAAACGATCACTCTATCTTCACAATGGTCGACTCGTCCGCAGCCATCCGCCGGGGCCACCCCATCAGCTTCCTGCTCTTCACCTTTGTCGCCTTCATCGTTGCCGTGATTGCGTCGACGCTGGTGGCCGACTACAACTCGAACGGCAACGCGCCAACCAAGGGCATTGAGAATGCCACCCGCTTCCTCCTCTTTGCCGGCTGGTGGGGCTTCCTCATCGGCGCCGTCTACGTAAGTCTGCTCGAACGCGCCGAGATCCCGCCGGCATCTGCTTCCGCAGCCGTCGCGCAGGTGCGCCCACTCAACGAGCCATGACATTGACACTGACCGGCTTTCCCCCTCTGATGCTCCACCCACCAAACAGACCGGTCTTTTCCTTGCCAGCGTCGGCGGCGTCATCACCTCGATCGCCGGCCACGGAGTCGCTCTCTTCCTCACCTGGATCTTCTGGCTCGCCGGTGCCGCTGCCCTCACCGACCGCACCGGCGGCTCGTTCAGCTGTGCCGACAAGGGCTACCCATTCCCTTACTGCAACTCGACCAAGGCGCTCATGGCTTTCGCCTGGATCGGCTGGATCATCCTCACCCTCATGTTTGCCGTCGTCGTCTTCTTTGGCGCGCGCGCCTTCTCCGGTGGCCGCTCCGTCAAGGAGTCGCTCGCATAAGCGCATAGCAATCCACCTCAACAGTCTGGCTTGTCCATTTGGCCGACTCCCATCGTCTCGATGATACCACCTTTAACTTCGCGCTGCTCTTCTTTTTTCGCTTTCGTGACCGCCTCTCGGCTCGGTCAGTAGCGTTCGCGCATTCGCTTCGACGTCTCCTCGGCTTTCGCATGGCGCTAAGACCGGACCGTCATGGCGGTCGAGGAACACTCCTTGTATATTTCTGCCTACTTCTTTCTTTGCTCTTTTGCTAATCAATCGGTGACATTGTGTCGCCATTCGATACCATATTTTGCTTCTTGCTTCTTGATTGCGGCAGTCCATCGCTCTGAGGAGAGGACAGCACGCCTCTGAGCGGGTCGTGAGGCAGCATGAGAGCGAGACTACGGCGGATACGGTATGCGCAAAGTGACGCACCATGCCATGGAGCACGCCGTGTACCAGCGACCAGATTCACCGTACTCTTGCTATTCTGCTGTCTCACAGGCCGGTGCAAATGTCTCTGATTGCGGCAGGCGATCGCTCTGGTGCGAGGACAGGAAAGCCGTGCCGCATCCTCGACAAGGTCGGCGAGCATTCCGACATCGTGCAGCCAAAACAAGACACGGCGCGGAATGCGTCCATCGGGTTATCGGGCCAAATCTTTGAGAGAAAGCCGATGCTGGCCTCACGTGAGCCGTCCGGTCAGAATCGGGACGGCCTCGGAATGAGTCGCGTGCAGAAGTTCGAAAAACAGATCGACATCGATGACGCACAGCCTCACAGCGCAGAGCAGCAATCCTCGCGACCGCCTCTCGCCAGACGCCCCCGATGAAACCCTGCCCAAAGCCCTGTCCCGGCTCCACTACTCGGCCCGCGTGTCGTAATGGGGATCGTCGCTTGCCACCCCGACTGCCTCGGCTCGCGTCAGCCATCCGCACCTGGCAGACTTGACGGGTAGCGTGGTCAGCAGGGTGAACCGAAGCTTCTGTGCAACCTCTTTCGTCCAAAGTGGCATTGTGTGCACTATCTTGGCGTTCGCTCGATTGAGATCGGGGCTTTCCCGAAGAGGAAATTTCGCTGAGCATGCAAACTAATGGAGCCGATCGGAAGAACCAGCAGCGCGGACCGGCGCAGAAAAAAAAAAAATCGACCGACAGCCGCGCGTGAGTAGGACAAGTCGGGGCGGTTCCAAATTCCACCTCGGTCATTGGTCGTCGAATCATCACCTGGCGCTCCTCGATGGGCAGCGTGCGCATGCCTGCAGAGCCCGGTCCTCGTCAGAGTCAACCCCCATTTGTAAGCCCCCCCAAACAGCCCGGAAGCTGCCGCCCACGCGTGCAGATTCAAGGTCGCAGCCGCCCCAGCAAAAATTCAAGCGCGGCCCCCCGCCGCCCACCCACGCCTCGATATATCCGTTCCGCTCTCGTCTTCTTATCCTTCCCCCCACCATCAACCAACACTCCCTCGCGGACTTCAACTCGATCTACACACACTTCACAATGGGTTTCAAGGAAGGTGACGCCAAGAAGGGTGCCAGTCTTTTCAAGACTCGCTGCGCCCAGTGCCACACCCTCGGTGCTGGCGAGCCTAACAAGGGTACGTGCCGTCCTCTTCGTCCTTTCGCGAACCGTTCGCAACAGATCTGCATGCATGATCATGCATTGGTCTTTCGTGTCTCTGCGCGATGAAGTTCTCCCTTCATTCCTCGAATCGCCGGCGCGCTCGAAATCCTGACCCTTGGTCATAGTCTATTTATCCGCCGAGCTCGTAAACTGACATCTCATCATTTCTTTCCTCGTCATCACAGTCGGCCCCAACCTCCACGGTCTCTTCGGCCGCACCTCTGGCACTGTCGATGGATACAGTTACACCGAGGCGAATAAAAACAGGGGTAAGCACTATCTTGAAATAGTGTAGGACGTCATCCAAGTACATGCGCTCACGTTTCGCGCCTTCTTCTTCTGCACAGCTGTCGAGTGGGGCAACGATACTCTCTTCGACTACCTCGAGAACCCCAAAAAATACATTCCTGGTACCAAGTAAGAAGCTCTCCGTCCCTGTCTAGGTCGATTCGTACTCGTGTACGTGTATCTGTGTACTGACATCTTGACTTTTCGATGATTGGTAACAGGATGGCCTTCGCTGGTCTCAAGAAAGAGAAGGACCGCAATGACTTGATTACCTATCTGGCCGAGGAGACCAAGTAGAGAGCGGCAATGTAGTGCTCACGATGGTGTTTTCGCAGGTGTGATCCGCCACCATCATATCTGGGAGACACGATCTCGTCCGGTCGTCGTGGTGTTGTCTTTTTAGTTCAATCGAATTCACGCCCACTTTTCTTCCCTTTATTGCACTGCGTGTGTCAGAGATTGTCATTGGGGGCGGACTCCGCGGGGGATTGGCCGGTTGCACTGGCGGAAAGGACATCTAGACTATCTTCTAAGTCAGTGCAGCAGCCCTCATCACACTCGTATGAGGCATCGCGATACAGTAGAAATTGCAGGTTGAAGTGAGGCCTCCACTGAGACAGAGTGTGCTCCGGGATCCGAATCTCGGCATGGACCGCAACGCGTGGGGTAGCCATTCCTAAGGAACAGGCCGCACATGAACCCTTTCTTCTGACCACACTTTGAGCGTCTGTCGTCGCTAAGTTATCACGCATCGACGAAAGCTCTCGAATCTGCGAAACATCCGACAAGCGGAACCTCGCATCTTTTCTCTACAGCGGCAGCGCAGCAGCGTCGGCTTTCCCGCAAGCAGTCATGCCGCGACTCGAGACGAGTTCGGGCTGGTCTCGGCTGACCGCCGACATCAAGGCGGTCTTTGCGCCGGGCACAGGCTCGATGGGCGAGCGCGGCGCCATCCTCAAGACGGTGCTGCTGCGCTCTGTACGCGTAACGGTGAGCTCAAGCGGCCAGGCGCCAGTGCTGCCGTTGCGCATCCGGCCGGCGTTTGTGGTGCTCAACGTGCTCGACCTCATCTTGCTCGGCATCCTCGGCTTCCACCCGCGCGGGCAAACGTGGATCCGCCTCAACGATAAGCTGCTCCACTTTGTCTGCTTCTTCCTCGCCACCGCCATGTTCTATATGATCTGGGACGTCGACGAACCGGCGCGCACCAGCTACCTTTGGCGCAACGCATCGCTCATCCTCTCCGCCATCACCTGCCTCCTCGTCGGCGGCATCGGCTCCGAGATCGTACAGAGCCTGCTGCCGTACAAGCAGTTTCAGATCGGCGACATCGTGGCCAATCTGCTCGGCTCGTCGTTGGGATTGTGGTTCTCCTACCACCTCGAGAAGAGGTACCGCGCTCGCAGAGAGCTCGAACGCCTGTATGCGCCGCTCGACATCGAAGACTATGGCGACATCCTCGACGACGAAGACGACGGCGCCGACTTGGATCCAACTCCGAATCCCAGATCAAGCCTCAAGACCTCGAGCAGTACGGCAGGCGCGAACAAAAAGACCCGCTTTGCAGCGGATGTCTGGGATGACTCTCTCGACATCGACAACCTCCCCTCGCGTGGCCCCGCACGAGCCGCGCCCGAAGCCACGCCAGCAGTGTCGGGATCCACTTCGCGCCCGGACCTCTTCACCATCGACGACAACGAGCCGCCTTCGCCACCTGCGCAGCCAAACGTATGGACTCAGGCGCAATAAAGCTGGTCCTTCACCCCCAGGCCCTTGTCATCCCAGCATTTGTCAGTCTCAATCCCACCAGGACCGTTGGAAATTATGCACAGACCGACGCTGCAATACGCACGATGGACAGGGTGAACGGCGTGAGTCGGCAGGATTGGTATATAGAAAGCTAAAGTAGCGAGAGTCCGTGAGATGGGCACGCGGCGAATGCGGGGCGATCGGAAGGCAACAGAGACACGATCGATGCAGGCGGAACAGAGATGCAGTGGACAGAGGAGGACGTGGCAGACAGGGAACAAGAGCGATGCGCTACTCGAGACTAGGCGCCGGCGTCGTTGAGGAGCTGCTGGAAGAGCGGCTTTGTCGGAAGCATGTTCGGCGGTCGGTTTCGAAGGTAGAGCATAGGCATCTTGGACATGTCAAAGGCATGTAGCTGTAGAGCGTAAGCCGAGACGCCCGGCGCCATGAAGCCCGGATGATTGTCCTGGAAGTTGTACCACGCCGGGATCAGCTCGAACTCCGAGTAGTGGTAGATGGCGCTCGTCTGCGCAGCGCAAGGGTCGAGCACCTGGATGTAGCCATCGGCAGGGAAGGGGAAGAGCGTGAGCGAGCCGTTAGGGTGGAGCGTGTAGTTGCCGTGTTGCCAGATGAGCGACGCCTTGAAGCAGCGGTTGGTCACCGCATTGGACGTGTACTGGTACTTTGCCTCTTCGAAGAAGCCGTCCTCGGTGAAAGAGTAGCTGATGCCGGCCGTCGCGGGCAGCTTGAACTCCTGCGTGATTGGATTGAAGAAGTCGAGGCCAGTGGTGACGTTCTGCGAGCCCGAAGACCATGTGCCATACAGCGAAGTGACGTTCTGCAGCGCCGCATCTTGCGCGTTGGCGCCGCTGAGCGCAAAGGCCAGCGCCATCGCCGCCGAAAACAGGTGTGCAAGTCTCGACATTGTGTCACACTGTCGCAATGATGCTAGGAAAAGAAAGCGTCTAGGTGATGATGGTGGGGAAGAGTAGCCCTAGATGTCGCGTCGACTGCACGATCCAAGTGCATCGGCGCAGATGAGCGGGGCTACATTCCAAATCGAATCCGAACCAGTGGGCCCCAAATTCGCACCTTCATCTGCACGCGACAAGCAAGCATGGCAACGCCGAGCCGACCCAGCCTTGCGCATGAGCAACCGACGCTCTGCCATCCGCCAACCGATGGTTCGCTGCTCCCGAGCCTGAGGCAACTCGCAAAGGTGGAGAGACTCGGCCATGACTTGACTGGTGCCAAAAAAATCTCCAAATTCGAAAACTACGTCAACCACCGCCGTCTGGATGCAACGGGACGCATCCAGAGCTATCCTGCGCTCCGCTCACACTGGGAAGGAGGCCGATCAAGGCTGGAACGCGACTCAAGACGGCCTAACATCACAGTGCTACGCGCATGGCGCTCGACCCGTGCTGCCAGACTGCAAAGTGGAGGCAGTGGGGACTTCTTCGCGAACTCAACCACACCTCTCCTTCCTCTCGCCTTGTCGACCCGCACAGCACCATGTCCGACGGAGCGCGAGCCACCAAGCTCTCGTTCGGACTCAAGCCCGCATCCACCTCGCTGAAGCTCAGCACCAAGCCAAGCAGAGCTCCTTCAGCGCTCGCCTTTGACGATGGCAGCGACGACGATCAAGAGCGTAGAGACGTCCCGGAGGCCTCGACTTCCTCGAGCAATCGTGGCGGAGCGCGAGCATCCGTAAACCGACGGACGGACCCGCTCGGCACTCTGTCTGCCAAAGTAGCCGCGCCTCCGACTCGCGCCGAGCGCAAGAAGCAGGAGGAGGCCGAGGCACTGGATGCCTCGGTGTTCGACTACGACGGCGTTTACGACACTATCAAAGAGGCCGAGCGTCAAGTCAAGCAATCCAAGGTTACGGAGGATGCTTCCAAGAAGCCCAAGTACGTCGAAGGCATCCTCGAGTCCGCAGAGCTGCGCAAGCGCGACCGGTTGAGGGCGGAAGCGCGCATGATTCAGAAGCAACGCGAAGCCGAGGGCGAAGAATTTGCAGACAAGGAGTCTTTCGTCACCAACGCGTACAAGCAACAGCAAGCTGAGCTCGCAAAAGCTGAGGAGCTCGAGAGCAAAGCGGAGGCCAAGCGGCGCGACACGGACAAGGGCATGGGCACTTTTTACCGTGACATGCTCAACGACACGAGCGCCGCAAGAGACGCTGCCATCGCTGCGTCCTTGTCAGCTCAAGCATCCAGCTCCGGATTCAATGAGCCGAGAGACCGCGAGCGTACGGACGCTGAACTCGCGCGCGAAGCTCAGCAAAAGGGCCTCGAGGTTGAGCTTAACGATGACAACGAGATTGTGGACAAGCGCACGCTGCTCACAAAGGGACTCAACATCGTTTCGAAGAAGCGCTCTGCCAGCGACACACATGGTACGGCCGCTTCCGAGCGCGAGAGCCGCGAGTCTCGGAAGGAACGCGATCAGAGGCGCCAGGAGGAGTACGAAGCTCGCATGAATCGCGATGCGCAGCGGTCACGGCAGAGCGCGCTCATCGAGGAGCAGATGCTCGAGCTTGAACGCAAGCGTGCGCTCGAGGAAGACGAAGCGAGTCGGCGTGAGCGCAGCAAGATTGATGCGCGACGCAACGACAGCCAAGCCATCTCGGATGCGAAACAGCGCTACCTCGAACGAAAGAAGCAGCGTCTCGCAGCCACACCGGCATCCGCATCCGCCCCCTCCTCAGCTACTTCGTAATCCTGTCCGGCTGAAATTGTATACCCTTATTGAAATGTTGTGTTTAGTCATTGGATTGCGTGCGTCGTATGTACAGGTTGGCGGACAAGGGCGAGCTAGTAGTCGTCGGACTCGTTGAAGAAGCCCGAATAGGTGAGGATGGTGCCGTAGACGAGGCCACCGCCTGCGATTGACATCCAGCAAGCTGTGGGTGCGATGACGCCCGCATGTGCTAGCGAGAGCGGCAATGCAAAGCCCGAGACGATCATGACACCCGTCATAAAGTTGCCAAAGTCGAGGAAGCCGCTGTTGTAGTCGGCGGAAAAGTCATCGGCGCCTGCGCAACGCGCGCACAGGCTGTTGGGTAGCGGTGTGAGCACGTAGATGAGCGCCACGAGCAGTGGGAGCCAGTTGGACCACAGTGCGCACGAGAGGATGATGAGCAGGAAGCCCAGTGCCAGCACGAACGAGAGCAGGATGATAGCTGCGGCCGCAAATCAACGGGGTCGAGATGAATGAGACCGGTCGGAGCTTACAAGTCAGCCTTCGTAACTTACGTTTCTACCCGTCGTCCTTCAATCTACTTACTCTTGAGTCCAGCCGCCATGTTGGATGGATGCACGCCTCTACGTCACCTGGATGGAGTTGGTGCGGGGGATGGATCTGCGATGCACTACGACAAGCTATTTGGCCAGACAACTTCTGGCGGCCAACGCGATGATGATTGGGCCGCAGCCGAGCGATGCTTCCGATGTTGACGGCGGTGTAAGGGTATCTTGAGAGGTTGAAGCGATGCGAAGGCTGTGGCGTGGTAGGCAGCGTTGGTATCGACCAAGCCGGCACGCTGCGGATGCACGCCGGCTGAGCGTCCTGCATCCATGTGGAGCTCCAATGACTGGCCTGAGCAGAGCCCTCGCACCTCGGCGGAGGTATCGGCCGGCACGACTTTCGTGATCGAATACACAGGAGACTGGCCCTGCAGCGGTGAAGTTGGATGTTGGGCAGCGTCGGTCGACTCAGCTCTGGCTCAATCTCGGAGAGCTTGATGAAATTCAAGGAAAAAGAAAGAAAGTCCTAAAAGCCAGGAGGCAGCAGAACGCGATGCGCTGTTGGACTCGATTTTCAAAAATCGAGCACGCGCGGTGTCGACAACTGAGCCCACGCTGAGTTGCGAACGCTGAACAGGCCGGGCGCAGAAACGTAGCGCTGCGCAGTGGAGAGAGGACCGTGTGGCTGCTCGAGCGAGTTCGAGGTCTTTTGACATCCAACACTCCTCGCCACCTCACCTTCCTCGACTCACCCGACATCGCATTTCAAGCCAACCCTGGCCACATCATCACCATCGGCTTTTTCGCTACGCGCTACTACCGTCCCGCGGCGCCAATCACCTCCGACCCACGCTTCTTTCAGCTGGAATCACCAACACCAGCACCACCTTCGACGTTTCTCTTTGTTGAGAGCGACTCCACCGCTTCCATCAGCATCATTCGCGGGCGCTGATTTCGATCGTACGTTGAGCCGCTTTGCAAGCGCTCCATCACCGTCACTCCTCCGCCCCGGGCCAAGCGCATCTGCGCGTTGTCAACCACCATCATAGCTGCCCTCGCCTCAGCTTCGCTCGCACGCCCGCTGGTGCTCGAGCCCGCCGCTTCGTTCCCCGCGGCTGCCACCGTACTTTCGCCTGAAGGTCGGCTCCCAGCATGGCCAAGAGAACCGCTCCCACAACGAGCACCACCGGCCCCGCCTTCCCGCCGTTAGGGCTGGTGGTCGGCCCAGGCGCTCCGGCATCCAACTCGATCAACTCCGCAACGCAGTCCCCCTACTCAAATCACAACCATCATTCCAGCTCTCCAGCTCCTGAGCCCGCACATCAAGCCAACGGCTTGCCACCAGCACCCAACAAGTTTGATGTCAGCCAAGCACAGCAGTGCCGTTTGCAGGATGCCTACTGGTCCGACGAAGAGGTAAGTGTCGGCTGGTTTCCAAGTCCTGCCTAGGCGTCGTTCGTGAGCTGACCAAGTTCTATCTTCCCTCCCTTCTCTTCGCTTCTCGCTACGCGCAGGAGGACATGGACTGTCCATTGTGCTTGGAAGAGATCGACCTGTCCGATGCCAACTTCAAGCCCTGCCCATGCGGCTATCAAATCTGCAGATTCTGTTGGCACCACATCAAGCAGAACCTCAACGGCCGTTGCCCTGCCTGTCGCCGCAAGTATTCGGACCAGACGGTCGAGTTCAAACCCATGACCGCCGAAGAGATCAAGCGGCTCACACAGGCCAAGAAGCAGAAGGAGCGCGAAAAGAAGGAGCTCGAGTCGATGAACCGCAAGCATCTCGCCAACATGCGCGTCGTCCAGAAGAACCTCGTCTACGTCGTCGGCCTCAGCTCCAAACTTGCAAAGGAGGAGCTCATTCCCACGCTTCGCAGCAACGAATACTTTGGCCAGTACGGCCGCATCTCTAAAATCCTCATCAGCAAGCGCAACACCGCCTCCAAGCTCGTCATGGGCACCTCCGAAACCGCACTCGGCGTTTATGTCACCTATCATCGCAAGGAGGACGCTGCCAAGGCCATCGTCGCCATCGACGGCAGTAAGGGCAGCGACGGCAGGATCATCCGCGCCAGCTACGGCACCACAAAGTATTGCACCACCTACCTGCGCAACCTCCCTTGCACCAATCCAGGATGCACCTACCTCCACGAGCCCGGCGAGGAGGCCGACAGCTTCACCAAGGAGGACCTCTCCACGTTGCGTCATGCTGCCAAGGACACCGAGCACAAGATCAAGCCCGCTTCCCTCGGCATCGCTCAGCCACCCAAGCGCTCCGACTTCCTGTCCAATGCCGATGTCGAGTCGTCCGCGCTACCCAAGACGGCCTCCTGGGCATCAGGCAAACCCATTTCGGCCGCCGCAGCCTCGCCTTCTTCCATCATCGTCGGCAGTCCGTTCCGCGAATCCGACATGCCGCCCCTCTCGGCGAGCTCGGCGTCGGCGCTTGCCAGGAAAGCCAGCTCGCAAAAACCTTCGACGCCCAAAGCACAAAAGCAGCAGTCGGCCACAGTCAAGGCCAAGACCTCGCTCATCAGCGGACGACCCGAGTCCCCCGCCCTCCTCAATGCCGACTCGCCGGGTCAATCGCAGCCATCGTCTCCGGTCCCCAGCAAAGCTGTCGCCTCGTCGGCGGCAGACGACGCTCCAGCGTCGGTCGCCACACCGACACCTCGCAAGGACACGTCCTCCGTCGCGGCGACCTCGAGGGCCTCGGGACAGGACTCGACACTTCCCCCGCCACCCGGGCTGTCCAAAGCATCGCCTCCACCCGGCTTGGGCCGCTCCGCTTCATCGACAGACTCTCGACCCGCGACGCCCCACACCGAGAGCGACCATCCAAAGTCCAACTACCAGCCTTCGTTAAGTGCACAGGCTCTCCTCGACGACATGCTTCAGAGGCGCGAAGCGGAACCTGAGATCGTCAAGCCAAGCCCCTTCCCGGACTTCGACGACGCGCTTTCGAGCTTCAAGGATGGCGAGTTTTCGTTCAATCTGCCCGCTGACCAGCAGCTCCACAGCAATGACGGCCCTTCTGAGCTCACCAGCGCCTTCACCACGTTTAGCCCCTTTGGCGCGCCGCCCGGAGTTCTCGCCGCCCACGCCAGCCTCGTCACCGCCGGCACTCCTCCTCCCGGCATTGTCCGGGCACCCACGCGCAGCTCGACCGCTTCTCCGGCGCCACTCAGCTACTCTGGCTCTTTCGACCCATTCGCTCCCGGCGCTGGAGAGACGATCAAGGAGGACGGCAGCTCGTTTGGCGAGTCGGTGTATCCGGCTTCGTTCAGCTTTACCGATCAGACACGAAGGATCTTGGGCCACGATAACAACCCGCACGTTCTCGGCGGAGCGGGCGGATTTGGACAGGAGGATGCCAACGACGCGAATCACGACGTCGCTAAGCGAGCATCGCGCTTCGACTTTGCCAAGCGCAAGGAGTCAGACTCGTTCATGACAGCCTCACCGTTGCGTACCGAGTTGATGCAGGGTCTGCGCGAAAGCGAAGGGTTTGGTCTGGGCAAGGACGCATCGAGCATGCTGGGCAGCGTGTTTGATCAGGACAGCGCATCGGGCCGTATGAACGGCATGGGAGAAGGCGGCGCTTCGGCTGCATTCGGCATGAACAGTCGCGACGCCACTGGCCTGCCTAGCATGGGACTCTCGAGGCCGCCGCCGGGCATCGGAGGTCCTGGCTTCGGCGGCCGCTTCGGCACCAACACGCCGCCGCCCGGCATCTCGGCGCCCGCCAGTCGGCAGCAGCAGGCTCTGCTCGCCTCGTTGCACCAGCTCGGAGGCAGCAGCCTTGGCAGCGGATCCGACTCGCTCCAGCAGCAGCAGCAACAACAACAGCAACAGCAGCAGCAACAAGCGGCATCCCAGCTCACCAACGGAAGCGGTGTCAACTTTCTGGCTGAACTGCAGCAGCAGGCGGCCCAGCGCGCTCAACAGCAGGCCCAGTATGGTGCGGGCGCAAGGGACTCGTCGGATGCCAGCCGAGCGAGCGGAAATGCATCCGATCCGTTGCTCGCGCAGCTGTTGGCTGGGAGACGTCCAGGATACGGAACGCAGCAGGGCAACGCAGTGTCGGACATGCCGTTCAGCGATCCGGCCATCATGTCGATGACGCGTGCGCAGGTGCAGGCGGCGCAGCAGCAGCAGCAGCAGCATCAGCAACATCAGCAGCAATTCGGAGGCAATCGCTACGGCGCAATGGGCGGCTTCGGCGGCGCTTCGTCTTTCTCGCCATTTGATCAGCTCAACAGCGCCAATGCCGGGTACGGTGGTGCGCCGCAGTACAGCGATCACCAGCGATTTCTCCAGCAGCAACAGCAGCAGCAGCAGCAAGGGCAAGGGCAGGGTCAAGGTCAGAACTCTCCCTTCCTAAACATGTCCTGATGCGCGCGTCGCAATTCTTCTCTGCCCCGCAGGTCTTTCTCCGAGTCGTCTTCACACTTCAATGCATCTTTTGGCTCTTGTGACAACCGACCTTTGAGGAAAATGAGATCACGTGCGTGTGATGATATTGTGTGACTGAAGTAAGTTCGCACAAGGCAGGGTAGAGAATTTAGTGTTGAGGAGGAGGGGTTGCGCCACCCATGAGACCCTTCATCATGTTCATCATGCCGCCGCCGCCCATGGATTGCATCATCTTTTGCATCTGGGCCATGTCCGGCATTCCGCCTCCACCCATCATGTTGGCTAGGCCTCCTAAGCCTGGCATTCCACCCATGCCGCCCATGCCTCCCAAGCCTCCCATGCCTCCTAGACCGGCTAGACCTTCGGGGATGTTGCCGGACTGGATTTGCTGGAGCAATTTCTCGCGTCCGCCCGGTTGACGCAGCTGCGCCTTGATCTCCGGAGGCAGCGCGTTCTGCATCTGCATGACCTGCTCGCGAGACATGCCCGGCGGCAATTGACCCGGCGCCGGCATCTTGCCCTTGCCACCACCACCGAGCCCCTGCATCTGCTTGAGCCATCCCTGCTTGCCTCCCATCTTCTTGACCATGGACGAAACTAGACGATACTGCATGAGGAATTCTTCGACCTCTTTGACCGAGGTGCCCGAGCCGCGGGCGACACGGCGGGCACGAGCGGTCATGCGAACTTTTTGCTGCGGCTTCTTCTTCTTTTTGCTTTTTGCGGCTGCTGTGGAGCTCTCGGCGATGGCGACTTCCTTTGTGTCGGCGGAGACGGGCGGCTTCTTGGAGCGGATGGGTGCGTAGAAGAGGCGACCGTCGCTGTCGAGTTCTTCGGCGGTCATTGCGTCTGTGATGAACATCATGCGCTTCATCTTGCCGCCTGCGGCCTCGTCGTCGCCGCCGGCGCCGCTGAGCATCTGGCCCATGCCTGGGATCATGCCTGCGATCTTGGAGAGCGGGCCCATGCCCATGATGTTGGAGAGTTGCTCCCTCCAGTCGCGTATGCTGAAGATGCCGCCCTCTTCGATCTTCTTGAGCATCTCGCGCTGGCGCTCCTGGCCTCCGTTCATCTGCATCTCCTCCATCTTGTCCATGAGACCGGTGATGTCGCCCATGCCGAGCAGCTTGGAGATGAAGGGCTGTGCGCGGAAGGGTTCGAGGTCGGCGGCGTGCTCGCCGGTGCCGATGAACATGATGGGCGTCTTGGTGGCGGCTACGGCCGAGATGGCGCCACCGCCCTTTGCGTGGCCGTCGAGCTTGGTGACGATGATGGCACCGTAGCCTGCGGCGTCCTTGAAGGCACGCGACTGAGCCTCGGCGGCTTGACCGATGTTGGCGTCGAGCACCATGATGGTGAGGTCGGGGGTGACTGCGGCGTCGATCTCTCGCATCTCGTCAAAGAGCTCCTGCTCTTGCTTGTGACGACCGGAGGTGTCGACGATGATGACTTCGAAGCGGTTCTGCTTGAAGCTGGCGGCACCGGCAGCGGAGATGGCGACGGGGTCGGTCTCGGTGTAGCTGCCGTAGAAGGGGACGTTGATCTTGCTCGCATTCTGCTTGAGCTGGTCGAAGGCACCGGCACGGAAGGTGTCGGCACAGACGAGACCGGTCTTGAAGCCGCGCTTCTGGTAGTAGAGCGCGAGCTTTGTGCACGACGTGGTCTTACCCGAGCCCTGCAGACCAACAAACATGATGACGTTGGGCTTGCCCTTTTTGGGTTTGAAGATGTCGCCGGGACCTGCGTTGGCGGAAGGGACGACGGCGCCGGACTCGTCGTCGGTGGTGGATTGGCCGTGGAGCGGGTCGACGAGGGCGACGAGGTGGTCGAAGACGGCCTTCTGCACGCGCTGGCGGCGCTGGGCGTCGGACCAATTTGCATTTGCCTTGTCGTTGAGCAGGGCGGTCACCTGGCTCTTGACCTGGGAGCGGAGGTTGGCGACGAGCTTGACGTTGACGTCGGCTTCGATGAGCGCATTGCACACGGACTTGAGGAGCTGGTCGATGGAGGCGGCGTCGACGGTGGGTACTTTGGAAAGGTCCTGGAAAGCGCTATTGATGCGCCTGCCGAGATCAGACAGAACCATGCTGGGCAATCACTCGTTGCGGCCTGGGCAAGTTGGTGGGAAGAAGACGAGGTTGGTTGCTGCGCGGTCGCAGTGGCCAACAGAAGCGGGGTCCAGACCAGACTGCTCGTCCGCCGTCTCTCCATCTGGAGCGCCAATCACGTGGCCCCGCGCATTTTGCATTGTATCTAAGATAATCTAACAAACGTAAATACCCACCTCCACTTAGGAACGAAGGCGGTGCGCTGCCAAGCCGCTTCTTCTGGGAAAGGAACATTCGAGCCAACGCTTGGCCAAAGCCGAGGCGGGGCTGTGTCTGGTCATACCGAATTGCAAACCGCCCATTGGGCTGCTGCTCACGTCCAGACCGACTTTACATGGCGATGTTTGCTACTTTGCCGCCAGCGAGCTCCTCGTCGCCATCGCCAATGGAACCAAGAAGGGGCGGCGACCAAGGTGTGCCCTTGGAGCGAGCCTGTGTGCACAGAGACGTGTTGGATTTGTGCGAGTGCGGCAACGGCGGGGCTGTGCACGCCTTGCGGCCACGAGGCGGAAATTTAAGACTGACTGAGCTCGAAGCGTTCAGCCGACACTGCCATGGCGGAGATCCGTGCCAAGAAGAGCTGAGTGTTGGAGGAACAATCGGACCCTGGTTTGACACCGCACGCTACCCTTCCTGCCCTCACCCACCCGCTCGCAACGAGCAATCCCAGTCGTCATCGCACGGCTATCGCTCACCTCGCCTCTAGGTCCTACCGCTGCTAGCCAGCGCACCGCCTCCTCGACCTGGGCTCTTCACGCATCGTGAGTATATCAACCTCCCTTCACCATCGCATCTTCTCTCCTCGCCCATCCCTCTAGCTTTTCGTCTAGCACTCCGCTCGGCATGCCAACATGCTCTCGTTCCAACGTACTCACCCGTTCCTACCCTCCGAACAACACCTTTGCAGGCCCTCGCTCAAGCGAAATCGCAGCTCTCAGGGCCATCTCCACGCTTTCTGTCCAAGGATGCGCCTCTCCACAGAAACCTCGCAGCCATCCGGCTCGCCGAGCCTCAAGGACGACCTCGCCAGGCTCATCCATCAGATCCACAAGACATCCACCATCCACAACATCACCAACGACTCGGGCGTCTCCTTCTCGGGCGACAGCTCCGCTTCCGCCAGCATCACCACCCTCCCCGTCCGTCAGGCTACCGGCAGCTCCGTAGCCAGCACCATCACCCCGGAATCCGCACCCGCTCGATCCTCCACAGTCACCCTCGACGCATCGTCCGACGCTTCGCAAGCAAACCAAGATGCACAGCCGCAAACACATCTTTCCGCCCGTCCTTTGGCACTTCCCCTGCTGTCTCAGCTCGACCCCGCGCTTGCGTTCCCTGGAGCCTCCAAGGTCGTCGCTTCACCTTCCATCCTCAAGGCAGACGAACCATTCTTCTCGGCAGCACCTTCGTCAGCACAACCTGCCTATTCACTCTCACCTTCATCTTCGCAAGACTTTGAGCTCAACGGTCTCTGGGACAGCCTCGCTCGCCAACTCAAACCCATCGCCGACCTATTGCGTTCGGGGCGCCATCGCACCTCCCTCGGCACCTCCCGTCTACCCGCCGACTGCATCGCTGCTCTCCAGCTTTGGCTCTTGACCTGCTCCGACTCCTCCAAGCTCATACCCAACCAGCACCTCCTCGAAGCTGCCATCGAGATCTTTCGCGTCCTCGCCAACCTCTGCATCGACCATGACGCCAACCGCACGCTCCTCGATGGTCTCAACGCAGCTCCCTCGGTCCTCACCGCCGTCGCCGCCGCGCTACGCACGCTGGACAACTCAAGATCCTCGGCGCTCTTCTCCATCACCGTCCTCACTTTCCTCCGTTCTGCCATGGGCGCAGTACTCAACATGCAGCTCGAACACATCGCTACTCGCCGCTCCCTCGCCAGCGTCAACTGCATCACCACCCTCACCGCCGTCGCCTCGCATCCTCGCATTTACCTTCCGCATCTCTGGGCGCTTCCGCCCACCGTACAGCTCGAGAACGACAAGGACGCCATCACCAAGCTCAAAATGGGCGCCACCGTCTCCAGCTGGGCATGGCGCATCGTACAGGAGATCTTTGACGACGCCAAAGAGGAAAAGGAGGCCCAGCCGGGCACCCCTTCCGACGAAATGCACGATGGCATCGACCCGGACGCAGCGTCGCACGATGTGCGCTCCGTCCTCACCCGCCACGCCCTCGACTCTCTCCTCCGCCCTCTCGCGCTATACACACCTGCCGTGTCCAACAAGTCTGCAGGCGCGGACCGCTCTCAGCCCCTTCAAATCGACGATGACGACGTCGAAGAGCTCGTCGACGCTGACGCCGAAATTCTCCAGACCGTCGGCACGCTCGTCGAGGCGTGCGCAGCCGATGATGCCGAGTTCAGAGCGCGCGCGGCCAAACAATTCGCCGCGAACGACGACGGCGATACAAACATCTCGCTGCAGCACAGCTTCCGCTCCGGACTAGATGCGCTCATGTTGTTCGTCGAGAGCGCAGAGACGCCACAAGAGTGGACGCGCGGCTCAGCAGTCTCGGCCTCGGACGAGGAGCGTCAGGCGGCCGAGGAACTGCAAAAGGCGTTCGCCCAGGTCAAAGCCAACGTAGCCAGAGCCGTAGTGGCTGTATCGGGCGACGATGCTAATATGGAGGAGCTCTTCAGTGGCTCCATGGGCTTCATCGACCGTCTCAAAGCCTGGATTCGCCACGATCCAAAGCAGCGCGACGACCTCGTCAGCTGCGGCATGCTGGCCCTCGGCAATCTGGCGCGCAGCGATGCGCACTGCCTCAGCTTGGTGCAGGACCACGCGCTGGCTCCATTCCTTGCTTCCCTCCTCGCCCAAGCAGACGACATCAAGGTGGCGCACGGTCTTGTATCGCTCCTCAAGAATCTCTCCATTCCTGCGCCCAACAAACGGATCATTGGAGATCTCGATGTCATCCACGCCGTCGTCCGCTTCCTCGGCCGCGACAAGGACATGGTACAACCGCTTCAATTCGGCACCGCCGGCTTGCTCAAGCATCTCTGCGCCGCAGTGCCGGAGAATGCCATACGTCTCGTCGACATCGAGGCCGGTGCAAAGACAGCGTCCGCACCCAGTACGTCGGCGCTGAATGCGCTGCTCGACATGATTGCACGCATCGACGACGTGCCCACCAAGATGGAGGCGACGCGCGTTTTGGTCAATGCCGTCAAGAGCCTGTGGACAAGCGCACGAAGCGCACATATATCGCAAGATGCGATCCTTGCGGCTCGCAACAAGATTGTGCGCAGGGATGTGATCCAGGCACTTGCCGAGATGGTGCGCACGAGTCCCAAGTATCCCGTGCTCGTCAACGAGGGCATCATGGCGCTCACGCTCATCGGAAGCGAGCGGGCGGGTGCCGAGCTGGTGAGCCTGTCGCTGCTCAACGAGCCTCACGCGGCGAATGCAGACGACGACGCAGACGACGAGATGGCATCCGACACGGAAGCCGCAGCGCTGCGCGCGCCACGACGACGATCCACGGTGGACAGCTCCGCCTCGACGTCTTCGCATCCGCTGCCGCCGCCCGCATGCGCGCTCGACATGGTCAACCTCGTGCTAGCGCGCCGCGACGCCAGAATGCCACCGCAGTTTGCGTGCAATGCATGCGCGCTCGTCTTGAGTCTCTGCCACGCAGTGTCTGCACCGGGCAGCACCGCCAGCACGGGCGCCATCGGCCAACAGGCTGTAGCCCGCGTCGCCGCAACCACCCGTCCCGCACTCGAGCGTCTCAAGGAGCACGGCCCCACCGAGGCGCTATCAGCAGCAGCCGACGCGCTCGACGCCGTCTCCAAGGCTGCCACTTTGTAGGCTATCGGCGGAATCAAACATGTCCATCAGTGTCTAGCATAGATTTGGCTGTCGATTCATCTGCCGAGACAGCATCGCAGACGGTGGCAAAATGGTTGGCGTGAGGCGTCGAGCCATTGCAGAATCATGGCACGTATCGCTGCTGATTTCAGATGATGTTCTCTGCCATTCGCCCGCGACGCCCGTCACCCTGCTCTCTTTGCCGCTTGATCCTCCATGGCTCATTTGCTCTCCGTCCGCTGCTGTTCGCTTCACTCTCCGTCGCTGGCCAGCCCGCTCTGCGTCCGCCGTTGAGCGCTCCGCTCTCTGTCGCTGGCTGCCCCGCTTTCTCCGTCTGATCGCTGATGGCTGGCCGCCCCTCTCTCCGCTCTCATCTGTCCGCTGTCCGCTCTCCGCTCTCCGCTGTCCGCTAACCGCTCCTCGGCTATGATCACTTTCTGTCGTTGACCGTTCTCCGATGTTGACCGCTCCACTCTCCGTCGCTGACGGCTAACCGCTGACCGCTTTGCTCTCCGTCGATACTCGCGATGTTACCTGTCCTGAGCTCATCGACACAGCTTTTCAAGCAACAGACAGAGTCGATGTGCGCACCTCAGTCTGTGAGCATCCGGAGAATCACATTTCATTGGGCATCGAGCAGAAAAGATGATAAACTTAACGTGCAGGGTCGCGGCTGAGAATCACCAGATGCTGCAACGATCTTCGGGCGTCTTGGCCATCTTGTCGCGGCCAGCCTTGCATCCGAAGGCTTCGGCAAACTCGGGCGAGTTGACGAGGACGCCGTTGACGCGGTACTTGGTGGGACTGTGCGGGTCGGTGCGGAGGCGCTTGACCTGCTCGCTGGCACGGATGTTGCGTGCCCAGCTGACGCCGTAGGCGATGAAGAAGAGCTGTTCGCGGGTGTATCCCAAGCCAGGCAACAGCGCGTTGGCCGCCTCGACCTCATCGCCACCGAGAGCCAGCTCGTCCTTCCAGGCGCGGTAGCTCTGAGCAAGACCACCCGCATCGGCGACATCTTCACCCTTAGTAAAGTTGGAGCGCAGGTGCAGCTCGTGGCCCTTGCCGTCAGAGACAGTGTACGAGTGGTACTGGTTGGCTAGGCACGTCTGTCGCTGTTGGAATTGCTTCGCGGTCGCCTCGGACCACCAGTCGCGGAGGTAGCCTTGCTTGTCGTACAGTCGGCCGTCCGGGTCAAAGGCATGCGAGAGCTCGTGACCGGCAACGGCGCCGAACGCTCCGCGCTGCAGGTACGACGGCCACGAGACGTGGAAATAAGGCGGCTGCATGATGCCTGCGGGGAAGAGGATGTAGTTGCCCTGGGGCGAGTACTCGGCGTTGACCTCTGCGGGGAACATGTCCCAGAGCTCGCGGTTGAGCTTGCGACCTACCTGCGCCCAGTCGCGCTTGGCCATGCGCATCGACGATGCCAGGCGGTTGGCAAAGTAGTTGGACGCGTCCACGGGCAGATCACGGTAGAACGCCGATACGGACACAGCGTCCGTGGTGTTGGGTGCGTTCGGGTAGCCGACCATGACGCGGATGGCGTCGGCCTTCTCGTGCGCCTTTTTGCGCGTCTTCTCATCGAGCCAGTCGAGTTCGGGTAGGCGCGACTTGAAGGCATCGATGACCGAAAAGATGATCTGCTCGACTCTCTTTTTGCTGTCGCCCTGGAATGCGGAGCGAACAAAGTAGCGTCCCGCCATGAAACCCAGCGCTGCGTTGAGGTCGCCCATGCACTTGGTCTCGCGGTCCTCCTTGGCGTCCGGAGCGACGCCCTTGGAGTACCTGTCCAGACGCTCTGCTGGGCCGCGCAGCTTGACGTTGGGGCCGAGTGCGGTGCCGAACTCGCGGATGGCGGTCCAGACGAGATAGGCTTCCAGCACGTCGGTCTTTGTGCGTGAGATGAGCGCGTCAAGCGCCGTGACGAATTTGGGGCTGGTGAGGATGATCCTCTCGGGCATGCGGACCGTCAAGGCGGAGAAGTAGGCGGGCCAGCTGATGGAGGAGAAGGTGTACGGCAAGGCAGTCGTGTTGATCGGGTTGTAGGATGCCACAGGATCGTTGACCTCTTCCGAGTCGGGGGTGATATCGGCCAAGAGGCGCTCGAACTCGACCACATGTTCGGCGAGGGGGCCAAGTGGAGCCGATTTTCCGCGCTTGTTCTTGTTGCCGCTGGCTTTGACGTGCTTGAGCTCTCGGTCGTACGCGGCGAGGCCATCGGCGACGACGCGCTTGTAGAAAGCGATCTCGTCCGTATCCTCGTAGTAGGACTGATCCGGCAGACCGAGACCGGAAGGGAAGAACCATGGAGTGGCGGCGGTGGGGTCCACCACGGCGTCGCCGTCGATGGAGATGTCAAAGAAAGCAGGGAGGCCGCGGCTGTGCGCCCAGGCGACCGCCTCGGTGAGACCCTTCTGCCTCTTGCCCGAGGGAGGAGAGGGCCTGGGGCTCTCGCGCGGAGGATGCGGCTTGGGAGAGCGAGCGGGTGGCTGGTTGGGAGGCACAGGCTTTTCCGAACGGTCATCAGCCTGCAGGAGGAATCGACTGGGCTCGGAGAGCTTCTCGTCATCGTGCCCAGCTTGACGAATCAGCAGGCGAAGATGCTCGAGAACATCGAGGAGGGGCTTTGCGCCGAGCTTGTCCTGAGCAGTGACGTCGATGCATGCGTCGTAGTAGTCCTTGAGCTTGACGAGGTTCTGCCTGTCGGCTTCGTGCTGCTCCTTGTCCTGTTTGTTGTCCTTGTCGGAGGCCTCGTCGTTACGGAGACCGAGCGCAGCTGAGGACGGGGCGTCGGCGAGGATCTGGCGGAGGATCTTTGAGTTTTCGGAGAGTACGAACTGGCCCGTGCCGAAGAGGCCGGCGTCGCCAGGGATGGGATGCGCCTTGAGCCAATTGTTGGTGGAGAAGGCGTAAAAATCGTCACAGGGGTTGACAGATTCGTCGATGGAGCGGAGGATCTCGCTCGCGGCGAGCACACAGTCCTTGGTGGTGCAGATGTCGCCCTCGGGTGGGTTAGGGTTGGGATTGCCTGGAGCGGGGACTGGTGCGGGTGAAGCGGGACGGTGAGTGAGCTTATGCTGCGAGCCGGCAAAGAGACCAATGAAGACCGCAGCGAGAAGGAGGAGTGCTACGGACGCGACGACAAGGAAGCGCTCCAAAGGGCGGAGCTCCTCCGGCTTGGCGAGGGGAGCAAATGTGGCGGAGAGCTGACGTCGGAAGCGAGACCAGAGCGACTGGTTGGTGGCATCATCAGCACCTTCGTGGTCTTGGCTGAGGAGAGGGCGGTTCTCCGCATGATCGTCGGTCGAGGGCCGGCCGTAGTTGTGAGTGGCCATAGCGGGAGCACGCCGGACTCGCGCGGGCAGAGGCTAAATCTCGAAGCGTGCGACTGGGCGATGCGACCGACAAGTGCGAGGGCAGAGACAATCAACAAGATTTGTCGACGATGCAGAGACTGATCGCGACGGTGATGAGGGTTCAGGAAAGAGAGGGGTTCGCGAACTGTGATTCCGCTATCTGAGTTTGTTGCGGATCGTTCCGCACGAGCCACTCTCAATATGACGCTGTATTATTAACCGACTCCCGAAACACCTCAGAAATTGGCACAAAACGCGCGACACAGCACTTCTCAATCAGTTCAGCAAACTCATCCCATCGACAGCTTGCTCACCCAAATCAATTCGTGGCGGCTTGGCCTTCCTTTTCACCCTGCCCTATCACTCGCGTCTGTCAGGCTCTGCATTGAATGAGGTTCATTCCGGAAGGGCGATGAGTAGGCGAGCGCATGTCACGACTTGCTTAGGCGCGGAAAGTGGCCCTTGACAGTGCTGTACGGATGGTCGGCGACGCCCTCGTCAGCGGTGTCCGAGGTACGGCCGTAAAGCACGCCAGCGAGGTGGTCGGGCATGGGCTCGCGCACGATAGTGCGCTCCTCGACAATATTGACGACGGTGCCGGGCTGAGCGCGCGTGATCTGGGCCTCGAGGTCGTCGTGGGAGCTAATGGCAAAGCTCTTGTCGTCGCGCGACTGCGACTCGTTGCGCGCAATGTAGCTGAGCGAGGTGAGGCCAGCGACGGCGGTGCCGTTGTTGGACGACGACGTGCTGCGCATGGCCATCGATGGCTGCAGCTGCGATGGGTTCTGGCTCGAACGCTTGAAGAAGCGTGCGATCTTCTCGGCACCCGAGCCGCTCAGCGACGACGAGAGCTGCGACGAGTTGACGCCTTCGGGCTTAGGCGCTGCCTCTTCGGCCAGCTCGACGTACAGGCGCGTCGAGCACATGACCGAAATCGTGGCACTCGGGATGGCGCCGATCAGCGACATGACCGGGTTGAGGTCCGCCAGCGTCAGGCCCGTCACGAGCGCGTTGATGAGCGCGGTCAGCACAAAGTACTGGATGCCCTGGTTGACCAGCACGGCGCCGATGCGCGAGCCGCCGTTCATGCGCACCACACCCGCCACAGTGAGCAGCATGACCACCATGTCGAATACGATCGTCACAATGTACTTGATCGAGTACTGCTTGGACATGTACGTGAACGCGCACGAACCCTCCTGCCACGGGTTGCCACCGCCGACCACCCAGGCGGCCTTGGTGTCCTTGACGCCCACCATCCAGGTGGCGAGCATGCCGAGCGTCAGAATGGTGAGCAGTAGCGAGACCAAGGTGCGCGCACGGCCCGAGTACACGCACACGGCGCGGAAGGCGAGCAGCATCGACGACGACACGGCGATCCAGCCCATCTGCATCTCGACGGCCTGCAGCACGCCGTTGCAGTTGAACTCGGTGCCCGCCACCACAAAGTAGATGTTGGTCAGCAAGTAGGTCCACAGGCCCACACGGCTGAACAGATACGGCAGCTGCGGCCACCTGCGCGGTCGACGACCCAGGAGGATCGAGACGTCAAAGCGGAGGAAGCGGAGCGTATCGTAGAAGAACAGCCCTACGCACAACCACATGAGCGCGGTCGCCGCATAGAAGCCGTGTCCCAGCACGACGGGGTTCTTCCAGTCTGTCATGTCGTCGGGTAAGCTGGAGAAGAGTTTGAGAACTTGAGGGGAGACGTTGGTGGCGAGACGAGGCAGAGGGACGGAAAGGACGGAAAGCTTGGTGCTGATATATACCCGTCCCGTTAAACAAAGCCAGGTGCTAGAGGCACGCCGGGGTCAGGCTGATGCGGCAGACGCCCTGGCTTGCGGTGTTGACCAAGTTGTCAAGAAGTCGCCGGGAAGCAACGCAACACCTGATCACGAAACTCTAAAGCACGAGCGTGCACCTTGCAGCGGGGTCTGATGGTACCGATGGGAGCAAGATTGCACGCGAGGAAGCGACAACGAGATTCGAGCGAGATGCACGCAGGTGGCATCCGTCCACTGCGTGGGAAGGAGACATGTGGGGTGGCGGAGCATCGTGCGAGGCTGTGGTCCAGCACCTTTGGCCGCGCTCGGAGCGGAGGCTTTGCACGGCGAGTACTGCAAGGGGAGGTGTGCTGCGAGCCCATGGAAGCGGATCAAGCGATTGGCCGAGGCAGGCAACCTACAGCTCGGTGGCTTGGACGTCGACCTATCGCGGCCATGGGGCTGGGCATGCGCGCTCCCATCGCATGCGGGCGAACATGTTCATCTCGCCTGAGCCCAGAGCGCTTCAGAGTCGGAACGGGCGGCGGTGTGGCGAATCGTGGGTTGGCAGCGCAGTGCCGCCCGAGGAGACGGTGCGGCTGCAAGGGGATCGGCTGCTTTCGGCTGTCAACCGCAACCGAAACAGGGTGCAGACGCCACGCAACCGTCGTGCTTGGCAGTCGACACGCTGCTGCTGCCCGCCTGAGTCGCTTCGTCGCAACTGCAGCATGCGGTGTCGACAATGTTCCACGCTCGCACTTCGCCTCACCGGAGTGCCAAATTTCCAATTCATATCATCGCGACCTGTCCTATCTCAGCCCCACCTGCAGCGCTCCACTGCGATCGAGTCGGTGGCACACGCCTCTAAGCTCGAGTCGGAGCGGCGCACACGAACGACGGAAGCCACCATGCGGGCTTCAAGCAGCAACAGGCCGGTGGATTGCAGCTCACGTTGGTGGCTGTCACACTCACCCACGAGGTGCAGCGCGGCGTTCGAGTCCTGAAACTCTAAAAACACGTCACAGGGCAAAAAATCAGCCGTTGACGCCGGGCAATCGGACGAAGCACCAAATCGCAGGATTCGCGGAGTCTGGAACTCGTCACAGACACTGAGTCAAGTTCGACGCAGGTGGCGGGGCTGCCACCCACGGCAGCTCGACATGTTCAAACGGGGGCCAGTAAGCGCAACGAGTCGTGATGGACTGAAGACATGAGCTCGAACACGGGATATGGCTCGGCAGCCACTGTCTCGCCACGCGCCTCTCTATACACGGAACAGACGGAAGAGCCGCGCGCCAGCCCCTAGAGTAGCAGTGTGGCGGGTCTCGGGTTTTCATTTTCGAGCCAACATGGCCGCTCCTGGACTCAGTCTGAAACCACCCGGCCCGCCAGGCTCCCGCTTCCTCACTCAGTGCCCCAGAGGGTGAGACCGCCCCTGACTGTTTTCAGCGGAGCCGATGAGTGCGCTTGGAGGCTGTGGCGAGAGATGCAGAAGGCGGTAAGGCGTGACAACAAGCGCTTAGGTCAGTCGACGGCGCCAAATTCTGCACGCTTCGCTTCAGCATGTCGACCCCCCGCTCGCTTCCACCCGTGTGAAGCGGCTGACGGGCCTCGCTTGGCAAGCGCAGCTGCTGCTCGTCGTGGCATCGTCAGAATTTAGCCGACGATCCCCGATCGCCAATCCGTCGATCCGATTCACCACTCCAATCCCTCAATAATCGCAGTCAGGTGGGCCGTCATCGCAACCCACCACGCTCGACCCTTCGCCAAAGAAGAGACACAAGCCCCAGCACAAACACAGACGGATGATTTGAAGTTCGCAGATCTTTGATTTGCATTTGCACTTTGCAAGAATGAAGAGATAGGAAGGGGAAGCGGGGTAAGAGTGATGCTAAATGGTAAGGGGGAAAAGCAACCCGATTTGCGAGGAGAGTGAGCTCGGTCAAGCCCGAGCAAGATTAGTGGATGTGCGCTGAGATCCTATGCTAGTGAGAGAGAGAGGGATGTAGTGACGGTGACCAAAGACATGAATGCTACGACAGAGAGAGAAAGACAGAGCAAGAGTGATAGCGGGAGAGAGTGTGGTGCTGTTTGCGTCCGGTGATCTGTTCGGTTGTCCAACCGCCACCTAGCCGCTCGCCTGCTTGGCATGCAGCCCGCTGCATAAGCCAAGCAAGTCAAAGACGACAGGTGCAGAATTGCGACTCAACCCGGATCCCGTGGAAAGAAAAAACGAGGAGGGATGGGGTGGGGGGGAAGGAAGGGGAGAGGAGAGGAGGCTTAGTAGGCTGCCGACGAGTGGTGACCGCCGAGCATCCTGGAGAGCAGGTTGGAGCTGCTTCGCACGCTGCGCATCGAATGCGAGACGGGGATGTGCGCCTGGCTGGGTTGCTGCATGTTGATCTGCGAAGAGGTGCTCTTCTTGAGGCTCGAAGGCACCGCCTGCGAGAGGTAGCGGTGCATGGCCGAGCCGGGCTTGTGTGCCTCGAGCTCCTCGTTCTGCACCACCATGACCGGGCGTGAGCGGCTCGAGGGGAGTCCCGACACCGAGTGCTGCTGCATGCGCGCGTCGAGGCCCTCCTGCTCCAGGTAGTCGTCCTCGTAGTCGTCGTAGTCTTCAGCCGAAGACGAGGACGAGCCATTGTCGTCGGTCAGCTCGGCTTCCGACGACGTCGAGCTCGCGTTGGACTCGACCGAGTCTTGTCGGCTCATGAGCGACGAAGACTGCTGGGCGTACATCTCCTTGGGAGAGGCGTCCAACGAGTCGGGCGAGTCGTAGGCGGCCGAGCGGCGGTGCTGCTCGTATCGGCTCGGCTCGCTCTTCTGGTTCCAGCAGGGCACCTCGGAAGCGGGCAGGTTGCGCAGGTGAACGCGACGCTCGCTTGCGCGGACGTAGCGCTCGCGCTCGCGACCGCACTCGAGACCGCGGAGGTGCATCTCGCGACGACCGGCCTCGGAGCGAGTCTCGACACGGCGGAAGAAGGGAGCAAAGTGGACCATGAGCTCGTCCTCCTCGATGCGGAGATCGTAGTCGAGAAGGTAGAGGAGCTGCTTCTCCATGAGGTTCACCTCGGCCTGAGAGAAGAGCGCGGCGTACTTGTTCCAGTGCTTGTTCTTGGGCGACGAGTCGTTGAGGTACTTTGCGGCGACGATGAGCGTGGCGAGGAAGACGCGGTGGCGCGTGCAGTGCATGCCCTTGGCAACGCGAGGAAGCCTTGACCTCAGGCGGTCGAGGTAGACGAGCGTGCAGAGGAGCGTGGGCACCTGGACGTTGGACCTCTCGACCAGCAGGGCGATGAAGGTCTCGAGGCTAGGCAGGCCGTTGATCTCGAGCTTGCCCGCCGGGTCGGCCTCGGCCGAGGCGATGGAGCGGGTGGGGGTGGCAGGCGGCGAGTCCGGGGACTGTGTGGAGCCGCACTGGATGACGTGGGCAGCCTGGTTGGCGAGGTAGACGACCATCTCGCGCGTCACTGGGCTCTTGATGAGGTCGGTGATGGCGGGGTTGTGGACGAGCTTGGGTATCAAGCTAGCAGGGTGGCGGCGAAGGAAGCTCGAGTTGAGCGTCGAGGCCGAGGTGGAAGCCTGTGAAGAAGACATGGTGACGATGAGAGAGAGAGAGGTGGGGTGGGATGGGAGGGATGGGTCGGCGAGTGGAGGATGGCGGCGAACTGGCGTTGCGAAAGGTGGGAAGGACACCGGTGAGTGCGCTTGTCTTATAAGGAGATCGGAGATGGAAGCCAGAAAGACGCCGCGACGAGGCTGCAGATGGAGCAGGATATGCAGCAGTTTAAGGTTGGAGAGGTGGTTGTTGCGAACGAGAGGTGGAACTCGATGCAAAGTGGGGAGGGTGAGACGACCAAACAAGGGGGCAGTCGATGGTGGCGTGCAGGGGGAGGCGAGGGTGATGGTAGAGGGAATGCTAAGCGAGACGGGATGGGCTGAGAAGCGTGGATCGCTGGTCAAGCAAGGGGGAGTTGATCGGAATTGGTCGTGTGTTTGGTAGATGCGAGGGGTCTTTTAAGGAAAGAGGCCAAGCGGTGGAAGCGATGCAGACGACGGCGAGGACGGACAGGTGGGTGAGCACGCGGCGGGCGTCGGCAAGGGGTCGAAGGGGAGGGATGGGCGTGTAGAGATGGGAATGGCAGAGAGAGGGCAGGCGGGTGTCAGGAGAGAAGAGCTTTAAGCAAGGCAAGATACGCGAGATGAGGCGCAGGAGCTGTCGATGACACCAGAAGCGGAAGGAGTGGGAAGGGGCTCTGCTCGGGTATCGCCAAAAGGCACTGGGAACGACGCGCCACGGGTGCAGCGCGGTGCAAGCAAGGCACAAGAAGCTGGCAGGAGCACAGAGGCATTTGGCCGGCATGAGAAGCATGAGAAGCATTGGAGCATGAGGAGCATGAGGGGCAGGCACGCCTCGCCACGCACAACGACACCTGTCACCGACGACGACGAAGAGAAGACGCAGAGGCGCGTCTGGGCTTCGGCGAGGGTGGGAAGCGGCGGAAGCTCGATGGCGCTGGACAAAGCGCAGCATGTGCAGCAAGGCCGAGCGAGGGAACGCAGGCCCGAGGCTCAACGCCGGGCCAACCAGCGCGAGGCGGGGCGGGGCGAATCGCGATAGAGGGGCGGAAGCCAACGAGGAGGGGAATGCACGGCCGACGGCAACTGAACCTTGGCTAGAGGAAATTCGCACACGAGCCAGAGGAGGAATGGACGGGCGAGCGAGCGAGCGAGCGAGGGAGCGAGCGAACAAGCGGCTGCAAGCGGTCCCTGCAAGGCGGGCAGAGGCGCGAGGTGCGGCTCGAGTGCACGGAGGCAACACATGCACGTCTGCTTGACAGGTCCGAGATGCAGGTGCGAGGGAATGGAGGGCGCTAGCCGAGCTGCAGCCGCGCACGGATTTCAGGGCAAAGGGAAAGGAGGCGGGAATGCGAGCAAGCGAGCGCGGTTGAGGTTGGCGGCTGCAAGCCATCGAGCGCTGCGCCGAGCTGTGCAGTGCAGGGCTGCGCTGCGCTCCTTGGAATTTCGCAGGGCGGGTGGGAAAAAGCAAGAAGCGATGCGGCCCATCCGCCCTGGCAGCTGCCAAAAATCCAATCCTTCAGCCAGGCGCCTGCCTTGCACCCGCGGTCACCTAGCCGAGGCACTTCGGACGCTTGCGCTGGTACCGCTTGGCCCGCGCGCCGCTCGCCTCCTGGAAGCGCCCTCCCCCTTGCCCCGCTCATTCCAAGCCAGGCTCGCAAGGGCGTCTGTCATTCCTGCTGCTGGTCGCGACAGGCACGCCTTGCAGCGTTGCGAGGATCGACGTCTGTCCCGTTCCATCACGCCCTGGCGACCCCTTGCCTGGGATCGCTTCAGCCCAGCATCACTACGGCGCTGCATGAACGGGCACAGCCAAATAAGCAGCGCGGGTCCATGCGAGCTCGGGCAAACGAAGCGGCAGCACAAGCGTCCTCGGCGAGCGATTCGAACCAAGGCGTGCCATCGAGACGGGCATGCGAGTGCATGGCTCCGGTGCGGCACGAGGCAAGCAAGGCAGACGAGGCCGGTGCAACAGAGTCCAATCTCTATCGCCGAGTCGGAGGAGCAAATCCAGAGAAGAGATAGCAAGTCCGACTGCGTCGTAAAAGGTGGAGAAGGCTCTCTTGCTACCTGGTTCAGGCACGACGTCGCCCGGACAGCGGCCAGAAGGGAAGTGCTGAAGCCGCACAGGCGCGAAAGGCTCGATCGAGTGCGGTTGACGAAACGCAGCGGCTCGGGAATGCGAAACCTTAGCCTGTGAGCGGTGCAGGAGATGCAGACGCCGATGAGGACACGGCTGCTAAGGAGGTGGAATGCCTGGGAAACGCGCCGTCTGGTCCAAGCCTTGCCAAAACGGGTCAAGCCAGCCCGACCACGCCCTTTCCAAAAAATTCGAATTCCTCCCTCCTCGGGCTTTCTCCAACTTCCCCACCTTGGAAGAGAAGTCGCGAGCGAGAGGAGCCAGAAGAGGAAAGAAAATGAAATCGAAATCCGACTCTTTGTCGTGGCTTGGCTCGGTGGCCCGCGAAAAATCGACGATTTCATTTCTCGATTTCTCGAGCTTTGGCATGCCCGCTGCGGGTGGCTAGACTCCGCAACCGTCAAAGCGCTGGCTCGATGGTCGGGCCAGCCACAGTGTGCAGCTCGGATTTTCCCAAGCCAAGTGTGATCCGCTTGGCTCCATTCCGACCTCGCTGCGAACTTTCGATGCAACGCATCGCTCGTCGAGCGGACGGCCAATTTCGACGAGGAGCAAAGCAAAGCACACCGCACGAGCAGAGGGCGACCGACCCCGATCTAAGCGCCAGGCGGCCAGAGCTCGGGATTCCTGAAGGTGTCGCCCCAAGCCGACGCTATCCAGCTGCACAACGCCGCCCTGTCGCCGAAGCTCGGCACTTCCCGATCCGCCAGGCCGCTGCGAAGCGATCGCAAATTCGGAGCGGAGGGCTACTCCGATGGTCGACATTCCATCCGACAAATGTCGGTGGCCATTCATCCAACGGTGCGGCAAGCAAATGGAACGGCGGCAGCCGGCATCAACGAGAGCACACCAGAAAGAGCGCAAACCGCGACGCGTTGCGACGCGCAGCAAGTGGCGTCTTCAGGTGTTGGTCTCAGCTCGACCGAGCTCGGAAATTCGGACGAGTCTGTTGGCGGCCATAAATCGCAGCGCCCGCTCCGTGCTACACCAAGCGCCAGCCGCTCCTACAACGGTTGCCAGGACGCGATTTGCCACCGCTGGTGTAGCATGGCGCAGGCCTCGACCGCCAGTCGAATCAGCCACCGTAAGGCGAACCTTCGCTTGGAAGCCTCGCGCCACCGGTGTTTGCAATCTCGACTCTGCGTCGCGGCGCTTCTGTACGAGGCGAGGCGCCTTGATGCGCCGCCGCTGGTACAGTTTTGCCGCCTCGGCAGAAGCGTCTACCGAGACGGCTCAACGATACCGGGCAGACGCACTCGCAGTCTCCATGCGAATCGTGGCTGAGAGAGACCAGATCCCGGTGGGTCAATTTGACCCAAGCGAGGCGGCCAAGTGCTGGAAGCGGGCTTGCATCTGACGGACGGCCGGCCAAACCTAAAATGGCGGGCCTACGCCGTTCCTGCCGGGATCTGTGCTCTACCGAGGCTTGTGCTCGAGTCCAGGGCAAAGGCCTGTGGGAGACGAGAGTAGCCTCGTGGGCCAGAGTGCGAAGCCGCGATCCAAACGCCTTTCGAAATTCAAGGCAGAGTCGAATCATGGCGCGCCTCTGATTCGCAGCCCGACGACGCCTAGGCGCAGATGCAGATGCGCCGGACCGCCGACCCGCCAACCCGCCTATCCGCCTCCCACCTCGGCGTCGTCGTTCGCAGCTGGCCGAGCGCCGTGCGTTTGCGCAGATGGCCACGCAGCAGTGGCGCCCATCGCCTCGCGCTGCTCCGCTCCGCTCTGCAGAAGTCATGCGGCTCCTAGGTGCGGCGTGCCTGGTACCTTCGCATGTGTCGCGCCAGCCGAGCAGGAACCCTGCGCTCTTCTCACAAACATGGTCCATCCGACGGAAACGATGCACGACGAGAATCTAGACTCACCTTGGCTGCGTGTCGATCGAGTGTCTGGCAATGCCCGATCGGATACGATAGGAGTGCTTCCTTGGTCGTGCTCCGTTGGACGGTCGAGGAGTTGTTCGAGGAAGAGCCGGGGATCAGGGACTGATGGCGAAAGGGTGGCGGGTCGAGTGTGTGTCGAGTTCCTGTCTTTCTTTGGGATCTATTCTTTCTTCGGCGTCGGCAGCGCTCTCTCTGTCGCTGTCTCTCTAGTCTGTCGGTTGGTCGGTCTGTATCTGAGTCGTAGGGGTCGGGTCGGGTCACGTCGGATCGGGTCACTACAGTCTGGCGAAGGGCGAAAGGGATGTGGGAGCACGAGGATCGGAGGGCGGCGGGTGGAGTGGCGTGTCTCTCGCCCGACAACAGATCACTGTCTATCGACACGTGAAGGCGCTCGCGAGTCAGATGCGGGGCAAGCGAGGCGGAGTGTCAAGTTGACAGGACGAGCTTAGAGCTTGACTCCTCTGCAAGGGGTTGCAGAACAAACAAAGCGGTCTCGACACGTTCTTAAACTCTGACGGTTCTCCAATCTCGAGCTTGTCGCCGCTTCCGAAGGTTACAGCGGAAGAGATGGTCGAGTTGGTAGGGCAAATCGGTGTCGGCAAGGGTTGGGCAGAAACACAAGCTTGGCTCGAACCAGTCGAGTGGCTTGGGATGCAGGGCTGGGCGGTTACGAGGCAAAAAAAAGGCAAAAGAGCGCAGCGAAAGAGAGAGTGCTGGGAACGACCTCGAAAGAGGCAGAATCGATGGCGAAAGAAGTGGAAAAAAGGGCTTGCAAGTGGCAAAGGGCAAAGGCAAAGAGGTGCGAACGACGTGGAGATGGTGGGAGTACAGAAGCAAGCAGGCAACTTGTCCACTCTAGAAGAAGCGACGACGAGGGTGCCAAGCATCCGCTCCGACAACGAACGTCACCGCTCGTGCGTATCGATGTACGATCAGCGCTGGGCAGCGAGATTGGCTCTGTCGAGGCTGCGGACCGCGATATCGAACGAGAAAGCGTGCGCAGGTCGTGCGGTTCCGTGGTTCGTGGCCTGGCCTGCAGCAGCACGAGTGGACTCCTCGTCCAACCTGCATGCCCCCACTTGTCTCTTCGAGGCGAGGCGCCTGCGATTCGAGCTACTAGTCTACAGACCTGTCGAGGCTGGGCTGGCTGCATAATTGATATCGTTTCGAGACACTGGGCGCAGCGGGGTGTCAGAGCCATGGAGGAAGAATCTCGTTCAACTGGTTCAGGCACGGCGGGAGCAGCGTCAGTGGATGGGATGACGTGGGTGTGACGGGCGGACGCAGGCCACGGTGTGCAGCTTGCAGCCTCGCCGCCATGGCTACATGGATCATTGGATGGGTCCACCGCGAGCAGGCGCCTTGGATTGGCCTATGGCTGCCCCTGCCCGACTCGTCGATCCAGCTCTGTCGGTCAATTCGTTCTCGACTTCATGGCGGACAGGGTCTCTTCAGTGCGGGATGAAGCCGGCTATCGCTCGACATCCCATCGAGCGCTCGTCCTGCGACGATATGGAGCAAGAGCAGGTGTCCCCTACGGGACGAAAGGTGCTTTCATGCCTCTGGAGTGGCAAAGCATAAGTCTGCGTGAGAGCAGGTGGTGGGAATGCAACACTCGAGCGCGCTGCAGCTGAGTTGCGGAACGCGTCTGGACCCTGGTTCGGAAGTGCTGGTGCGGAAGTGCTGGTGCGGAAGTGCTGGTGCGGAAGTGCTGGGGCAGAAGTGCGCGTCAAAATTCGGACATTGCAGTCAAACGCATCGGCGGTTCGCTGCTGGATGCGATATATCAGATCGGCTCCTGAGCAACTTGGAAAGACGCCCGAGCAGCCGCTCTCGTCGCAGTCTGTGCTGTACCGGCCGAGAGCCTTCTTAAAGGCATCTGCGGGGAGACGTCGACATTGCGGGACGGCAGTAGGCAAGGTGGTGCTGCAAGGAGGCTGGGCAAAATGGAAGATGGTCGTTTCTTTTCTCCTCGCGAGGTGCCTTTCTACATTGCGGTGGTCTCGGGACTTCTGGGCTGATTGAAGCCCGTTGATCACGCTTACGCGAGACGTCTTCCCACGATACAGCATGATTCCGTCTTTGACCTCCTACTGTATTGCTCTTCTGCAGGCCATGAGCTGTGTCATCGGAGCCCTGCAATGGCGGGCTTGATGGCTATGTCGTGTCTGTCGGTGTAACAGTTCACGGAGCCCGCTTTTTAGTGTCGTTTCTCGGCCGCTTTTTTTCGGCGAATATATCTAATTTCCTGATAGCCCCCGTTGAAATCGAGCAGCTGTCTGTTCGCCGTGACCACCGCAGGCAATGTCACTTACCAAGGCCGGGGATGCTGGCGGACCGCGAAGAGCCCCATCCATACTAGCACGGCATACCGTCTGGGGTTAAAACAGGGCAGCGAAAGCTGGCGACGGGTTCGATGGAGCGCCACCCGATACCCCGATATACAGGGAATCCCACCCCCCGAAACCATCACCGGCTGCAGGGAGCGCTCGGACAGGAAATCACCGACGCCTAGCTGCAACGAGGACCAGACTCGGTGCTTTGCAGCCTCGCACGCACGCCATGAGCGGTCGTCTGCGCCGATCGCACCGAGCTCGCTACTGTGCTGGACTACCGCATGACCGCGAAACCCTTGGCCGCAGGATCCGGCTCCAGATGCATCCGCGGTAGGTTCACATGGGGATGATCCGACATTTTGGGGGTGCGGCAAGCGGTCCTGTCTGAAGTCCAGGAAGGCTGCAGGCGCGGGTCAGCATCGGCGATTGCTTCCGTGCGTCTGGGCGTTCTGATCGGATCGGGCAGTATGCGGGGGATAAGGGTTTTTGCACGCGACAAGGCCGCTTGGGCCGGCAAGTTCCGGCATTGCCCACAGAGCCGCTTTCAAACCCGTCCCGGAAAACTCCACAAAGCGGCCCAAGCCCAAGCCCAAGTCCAAGCCCAAGCCCAACCTGACCGGGGCGGAAGGGCTCCGCGCTCGGACCCCTGGCCATCGAGATTCCAAGGCAGCAGGCTGGCTGTACGCTGCGCGACCCCGTGACTGTCAGCCGCCCGGCAACTCAAACAGCACGCAACGAGACTGCCTCGGCGCAAGCACCTCCCGATCGACACCCGCTGCCCCCCGCCAAGACGGCAGCACGAGACCCTGTCGGACCGCTCCGGAAGCGTGCAACTCGGTCAAAGATCAAGGTCAACCAGCCTCATCCATTCAGCGTCTCACCACCATCAACGCCTTCCCTCCCACACAGACGAACGAGCGCCGAAACCGCCTGATTACAAGCAACACAAGATGGGTGCCGAAGACTACTCGCCTCCTTCCACGGACATCATCACGCTCACGCGCCACGTGCTCACCGAAGGCTTCAAGCGCCGCGAAGAGAGTGCTGCCAGCGGTGACCTTACTATCTTGTTGAGCTCGCTGCAGACCACCTGGTAAGTTGGCGCTACGCTAAAGTGCCGCGGGCACCACTGATATGCTCCCAGCTGCCTGTGCCAGGAGACGTTGCTGACCTCGTTCAACCACCTTTAATTTGGCCCGCATCGTTCGGCTCAACAGCAAGTTCATCGAGAGCAATGTGCGCAAGGCCAGCCTCATCAACCTGTAAGTACACCGTCTCTCGGACGTGCTGCATACTCTCTCGACGCGGACAGGACTGACGATCTTGGACTGCTTGACCTCACTGCTCCGCACAACGCCGTTCAGGATCGGAGCCGCTGGTAACACCAATGTGCAGGGCGAGGACCAGAAGAAGCTCGACGTCCTGTCGAACGAGATCATGATCAATGCGTTGCGCGCCTCGGGCAAGACGGCTGTTCTGGTCTCCGAGGAGGACGACGAGGCCATCTTTGTGGGCGAGAAGGAAGAGGGCGGAACGTTCGAGTCGACCAAGGGCAAATACTGCGTGGTCTTTGACCCTCTGGACGGCTCGAGCAACATCGATGCCGGTGTCAACATTGGCACCATCTTCGGCATTTACCTGGTCAAGGATGGCTCCAAGGGCACGCTCGAAGACGTGCTGCGCCCCGGTCGCGAGATGGTGGCGGCGGGTTACTGCATGTACGGCTCGTCGGCCAACCTTGTGCTGACGACGGGCAACGGCGTCAACGGCTACACGCTCGACAACCAGATCGGCGAGTTCATCCTGACGCACCCCAACATCCGGCTGCCGAACCGCGGCAAGATCTACTCGATCAACGAAGGCAACAGCATGTACTACCACGAGCCCGTGCTCAAGTACCTGGACAGCATCAAGTTCCCCAAGGGCGAGGGCGCCAAGCCGTACTCGGCACGATACATTGGCTCCATGGTGGCCGACGTGCACCGTACGCTGCTGTACGGCGGCATCTTTGGCTACCCGGACGACAAGAAGTCGAAATCGGGCAAGCTGCGAATGCTGTACGAAGCCTTCCCGATGGCGTTGCTCACAGAGCAGGTGAGTGTCTCTTGCAGCGTTCGGCGCGGACCGATTCGGAGAGGTGTTGAAGTGTAAGCCGACGACTGACGGTACCTGTTGCTTCCTTTGAACCGCTTCGCTATGATTGCACTGCAGGCTGGCGGACTGGCTACGACGGGCACAGAGCGCATCCTCGACATCCAGCCCACCTCGATTCACCAACGCTGCCCCGTATTCCTCGGCTCGAAAGAAGATGTGCAGGACCTGTAAGTTGAAGAACAAAGGCTTGTTTCGACTTGCTGCGAGCTGTGACTGACGCCATCACTGTCTCATCTTTTCCGTCCGATCAATTAGGATGAAGTGCTACCAGTGAGGTGACGCTTGACGTACGCCCAGCACGCAACACCACTGGCTCGAGCAACAGGAGACCGACCGGAATCTAATCTTATTTCATACTCGCAATCAAAATCATCGCAAGCACGCCTGCAGTTATGCCGTCCGCTCGTTGGCTCGCGGGTGGCTGCCGAAACTGTCCTGCAGATGAGGATGCAGTCGGCCAGCGGGTGTTGTCTGATCTGGCGTCGTTCGGCAAATATTGGCTAAGCTGGCGCAGATCGTGGTCCAGACCTTTCACCTGCAGGCGGACGAGGAACCGCTTCCGATGAACACACGCACGAGTACTTGCAGGGTGGCAGCGAGAACAAAGGGGAAGCGTGAACAAGTGTGAATGATGTTACCGGGTTGAGCGTAGTATTACCGCGGCTATCCCGATTTTCGGGAGGCTGCCCACGTGGATTCGAGCGGTAAAAATTCCACGCTCAAATTCCCAGGCTACCTGCGTTTCGCACAAAGGGACATGGCTATGGATCGCCTTTTCCCACGCACACAATGCAGCCACCAAGCCATCCGAGGCAGTAGTGCGGCTGGCCTTCCGCAGCCAATGCATGCATCCGGGAGACAGGATGACTTTCTCGTCAGGAAACACCGACCCAGTGCAAGCCCATGGCCAAGATGAGCTCCCCTGTGTCGGGTGTGTGTGCCATTGTCGCGCTCCCGTGACAGGACTCGCCCAACAATCTCGTCCGGCCCGCACGCCCCGTCGTCGGCCAACGCATGAAAACGAGCTGCCTCCCGGTGGCTGCCCAGTCTAGCGACGAATGAGTCAGGGCCGGAAATAAGATGATATCCTTCGGACATTGCGAGACGGCGGATCCGACCGCCTCTGACCGCTGCAGCTCCATTCCTTTGTCTTGTTTGCGTGCATGGCGGTGGCTCCCACCTGAGCGGTACACTGAACCCTGAGACTCGGGAAGCACTCGTGCACCGATCCACTGCTTCCGCCCGCCCTTGCTGGACAATGCGTATGACTCCTATGGAAGTCGGTGCATCCCTGCCCAAGCAGGAACGCCTCTCCCTTGCTGCGTGAAAAGGAGTTGCGATTGCATCTGCGTTTCTCCGCACAGGCGAACCGTGTGTCATGCGGAAACAGTCACCTTGGAAGAGTCTCGCTTCGGCTTGCGTTCCTCAGCCGGCTAAAACCTCGCTTGTCAGATGCGATTGCGTGCAGCTATATACAAGCCTCCCTTTGCGGGCTGATCACCACCGCCTCGTCTCCCCTTCCCGCTGCCACACCGCGATCCGCACCGCTGAGGCTTCAGTGCAGCTCAAAGCAACAATGTCCGCACCTTCTCAACATCGCCAGCCCAGAGATCATCAGCCATCCGACTGCATCGTTCGTGTTGCTCGTCTGTCTAGCTGCGAGCATCAGCGACAGCGCCAACACCATCATCACTGCCACATCAGACCATGTCGCTGTACTACGCCTCGACACGAGGCACACAACGTCGACTCCGAGAGAGGTCCGATAGACAAGCGGCTCACCGCAGCCTCTGCGCGACAGATCGACATCGCTCCGACACACACACACTCCGCGCCACCTTCGGCGTCCGCATCGACGAGCCATTTCCGTTCTCAGGACCACGCAATTATCAGCCCAGAACATGCCGAAAGCAAGCACGCAAGAGCTTCGGCGCCGTATCGAAGCAAGAGGGGCCGAGGGGATCTTGACGCGATCGCCGATACGCGGCGCGAAAGTGCGCCGTCCAGCCTGGGTGGTGGTGCATCCAGTGCTTCCGCCGACACGCACGCGCAGTGTAGGGGATGCTGTGCTTCGGATGCGACCAGCAGACAAGAGGAGTGGTCAAAGGTGTACTACGTCTGCAAAGATGTGGTGGCCTCGCAGTCGGATCTGTTCAGTGAGCTGGTGCAAGCACAGCAGGTGGGCTCAGGCGAGATAGGAAGCAGAGCTGCTCGCATGATCGAGGTCACTCTGACCTTGCCAGACGCAACCAGCTTCGGGGTGCTGCTCGACTACTTTGAGAGCGGTGACTTTGGCAGAATCTCTAGCGCCATGGAGTCTGGAGAGGCTCGATGGGAGAGCGTCATGCTGAATGCGCGCCATTTGCGCGTCTCGGAGATGCTCAAGATGCAGCTTGGCGCGTGGTGGCGACACCAACAAAGCCGCATGCACCGCGGCTCCCTACCTGCTCAAGCTGTGGCTCCACCACATGCGGCTCAAGCGCATCTCTCGGAGCCATCATCGTCTAGGCCTAGCCAGGCCGGTGCTCGTCCGAGAGCCTATACTACTGGCAACGGAGGCAGGCCCAGCTTGCACGACAGGCTGAGCGAGTCCAAAAAGATTCTGACGCCCAGCCGCGCGTTGTCCGTCGCAAGCCCGTCCAACGCATCGCCCGAGCCCACACACGCAGCCAAACGGACAAGAGAAGGCAGGATACGATCAACGCCTCGGCGCGACAGCCGGCCAGAAGGCTTGTACAGTGTCACGCGCGCCGAACCGCGCGCACGCTCGCCTCCTCCCATGCGCAAGACTCGCCCAGCCGCTCTCCAGGCGACACTGAGCAAGAGACCGCGAGCGCTATCGAGCCTTGCGTACTACTGCTCCGTGGCGCCGGAAAGCAAAATACCACCCACCTTGACTCGTTGAAGGGATTGGATTACATGTAACCGAAGGGATCAGAAATGGAAGCAAGCAGCAACCTTCGTGTCCGTCTCCTTGGATCGTCGCCTTGTTGAGCTTGACTGTACAGCCCAAGAGGATCGGGCGATAGAGCGGCCAGTGCTGAGCTGCTGTCGGGTGCTCCGCTACGCCAAAGCGACTGATAGAAGGGAAGGTCGAGTGGCCAAGGCCAGGCCGCAGTGAAGACCGGCCTCTTCCACCTCCACACGCTGAGCTGCTGCGGTGAATTATTGATTCCGACTTCCGATCTGAAATTTGGAGCGGGTTGGGATCCTCTTCCAGGTCCACCTGCTTACCACCAATCTTGTCTTCACTCCACTAGCTTGGAGCGGTCCAGTCGCGCACGAACATGGGCGAATCTGACGACAGGCGCGAGCATCGGCACAGCAGCCGAAGCGGACGGCGGCACGACGACGATCGGCACCGCAGCTCGGATCGCGATCGCCATCGACACCACCGCAGCCACAGCCACTCTTCCCGCTCGCACGACGACCACTCGGACCGCAAGCGACGGCGCCATGACGACGGACGAGATCATCACCGCGACGAGCGCCACCGACACCGCCACCGGAGCGACAGAGATGACCACCATCGATCGCGCAGGGGTGATGCAGGGGGTCACAGGGACTCGAGGCACGAAGACAAGCAGCCCGCAGTGGACTTCATTCCGACCGCAGAATCACTTCAGATCGTCTCACAAGACGATCGCTCTGAAGACAAAGCACCGAGTTCCGATCTCAAACGCGATGATTGGATGATGGGCTCGGGCGGAGATGATGCGGATGAGGCGACCTACTTCTCGTCGTTGGGCAAGGCGCGCGTCAAGGCACCGCCGCCTGAGAGGCCGGACCCAGAGAAGCTGAAAGTGAGCTCGCGCGAGCTCAACACGCAGCTGCGCGAGGGCAAGACGGTCGACGAATACGCCACACCCTCCGGCAGCAACACGCGGGCCGCGCTCGGCGCGCCGGGCTATCAGTGGCGCATGATGAAGCTCAAGCGCACGCTCGAAGCAGCCGAGCAGTCGGCTCGGGACCTCAACGAGGTCGCGCTCGAGCGCTATGCGAGCCTCGAAGAGTTCGAGCACGCTCAGGCAGAACGTCGCTTCCTCGACAACCGTCCACAGGCCAAAGACGATGATCGCAGCGTACGCAGCACGCCCACGCTGCAGAGCGTCGCAAGGCGCAGTTATCTACTCGCAAGCGGCGGTACGGGCGAGCCGGAGCGGGATACTTCTCGCAGTGGCACCGACTCGCCTGCAGGAGGGTCGAGGCCTGCAAGCCGTCAGGGCTTCCGGCGGCCAGGCGAGTCGTCAAACCAGTCCACGCCGACGCCCTCAACCCGTCCGCCACGCACAGTCGGATTCGAGACGCCGACGTCCAAACCAACAACGCCATCCATCATCCCGAGCGTCTTCACACCTGTCATCGAGCGCCCACCCGAGACGCAACCTGGGGTGGTCATCCAGAACGCATCCGACTCGGATCGGCCCGTGCTTAGTGCTGACGAGCTCAACAAACTGCAAGCCAAGATCGTACGTGCCGAGCTCATGGGCGATGGCGACCTTGACGCACTGCGCGCCGAGTACGAGCGCGAGGCCTCACGTGCCCGCACAGCACCGTCTCCCGCTCTTCCCGTCAAGGCTGGCGTGGTCACGCAGGACGGCGAGCGCGAGCTGCAAGTACTTCCCACCCTCGACGCACGCGGGCGCATGTACGACGTTGGCTCGCTCAATCACTCCCCGCAAGGTGCCGAGGCCAAGGCCAAGCGCCGCCTCCGGGGCCGCGACGAATTCGAAGCGCGCGACAGCAAGACTGGCCAGATCGTGCGCTACGGTGCTGAAGACGATCAGGTGAGCCTCGGCGATCTCGTTCGCGCCGAGAAGCTGGGCGCCGGATCGCGCTGGGACAAGGACGCGGACGCCGAAATGGCGGCCAACATCATGGCGGATGCCGGCTTCAGTGCCGATCTGGAGGCGCAGGACGACGAGGCACACCGGTACGCCAAGAAGAAGATGCGCGCCGATGCGGTCAAGAGGCAATTTGCCATCGGCGACTATGCCAGGACCCAAAAGGCGCTCGATCGCTGCCGCTTCTGCTGGCAAGACGAGGGAGCCAAGCCGCCGCGTGCCGTCGTGGTCAGCTCGGGATACCGGGCGTATTTGGCGGTGCCCGAGGTGGAGGCTATTACGGAGCGCGCGGAGGATCACATGTTGATCGTCCCGATGCAGCATCATCTGAGCTTGCTAGAAGCAGACGACGACACGTGGGACGAGCTGCGCAACTTCCAGAAGTGCCTGATCCAGCTCGCAGCCAGTCGTGCGCAGCGAGTGGTGTTCTTCGAGACGCTACTGTCGATCAAGCATCAGCGCCATGCGGTGATGGAAGCAGTGCTGCTCCCATCTGCTGCCATGGACCTCTTGCCAGGCGTATTCAAGCAAAGTCTGAGACAGATGGGCGGCGAATTTAGCACGAACGCCAAGGTCATCGATTTTACGCCTGCCAGGTCGTTCCGCAACGCCCTGGTACCGAACCTGCCTTACTTTGCAGTGGCGTGGGATCATCGTTGGGCTACAGGCTATGGCCATGTCATTGAAAATCTCAACCCCACCGCGACGCAGGCCGATGCTTACGATGTCGACGAGATGGCCGCCGGGTCGAACAACGCCGAGTTCAGCGACAACTTTGCCAGGGACGTCATCAGGGCAACGCTCGAAGACCTCGATGCAGACAACGAAGGCGGCTCGCCCTCTGCTCCCTACGTCCGCACTTTTGGCAAGTCCAAGCACCGCAGCCACGACGAAAAGCTCCGCACCAGAGAGACCTTCCGCCGTGGCTGGAACCAGTTCGACTGGACAAAACAGATTCCCAGCCAACCATCCTAGCTTCTCTTTCACACGCATATGCACGCCGACATTCGCTATCAATCTAAAATCTTTGACCCACCGAAGCTTGTATTCATAAGTCACACGGATTCTAAAGAGTGGACGGTTCGTGGTCGGGCCAGACCTTGCGCGGGGGCGAGTTGGTGGGCACGCGCATCTCGCGCGGGAACAAGCCCTCCAACCTGGCGCCTCCGGCCACCGCCTTGACCAGTCTCCTGGCCTCGGCACCCGTCGGCGCATCCGTCTTGGGCTGCGCACCGGGCAGCGTCACCAGGCCGAGCTCAACGAGCTTGCGGTGCTCGCGCGGCGACCTTTTGTTGGGCGCCACGCGGTATGTAGCGGCGGCATAAAGACGCGGTTCGGTAGCACGCAGGTCCAGCAGTGCCTCGCGCAGACGGGCGTGCTTCTTGTCGAGGCGCTCGGCGAGCTCCTCGCGCTGAGTGCGCTGGAAGAGCAACCATGCACGCGTGATGGTGCTGTGCACCTCCTCCGACGCCTCGCCGAACGGCAGCACTTCGGAAGCCGACGTGGCCACCTTGGCAGCCGCGGGCGGGTAGACCATCTTGCGGATGGCATCCGTGCGAGGGTCCGCCGCGGGGGGCACGTAGTTGGGGTCGTTGGGGTTGCGCGAGCCTCCCGTCCTGCCCGCTGCCGCCGTTGCGTAGCCACGCACGCCACCGAGCGATGCCACCTTGCTAGCGGCCGCCTTGGCCGCACCTGCCGCCGCAGCAAACGCACCCGAAACGCCACCGGCGGAGCTCGACGAAGCGGCCGCCTGCTCACGGATCAGGTTGAGCGCCGAACCGGCACGAATCCAGTCGAGATGCGCCGCCGAGAGCGAGTGCTTGGTAGGCAGCTCAAACGTCTCCTTGACCGTGGTGCCGTCCTGCTCGAACTTGGTGACGCGCAGCTTGACCTGCGTCGCCAGATCGCCGCCGGGACGAATGAGGTCGGTAAGGTTGACCGTCTCCACCACGTCGCCCGAGCCGATGCGCAGGTAGTCGTCCTCGTTCTCGAACAAGAGCGTGAGCACACCCTGCTTGCGCAGGTTGGTCTCGGCGATACGCGCGATGCTGCGCGCAACAATGAGGTTGCAGCCGTAGAAGCGCGGCTGGAGTGCGGCGTGCTCTCGCGCCGAGCCCTCGCCGTAGTTGTGGTCGGCGACCATCATCCAGGGCTGCTGGCGCGACTTGTACTGCTTGGCCACGCCGGGGATGGTGTCCTGCTTGCCGGTGGCGTAGTCGGTGGCGGCGTTGACGGCGTCGAGCTCGTCGTTGGTGGCGCCGATAAGGGTGTTCTCGGCGAGGTTGGAGAGGTGGCCCTTGTACTTGAGCCACGGACCGGCGGCGCTGATGTGGTCGGTGGTGCACTTGCCCTTGATCCTGAGCAGGCAGCGCATGGTGGGCAGCTCGTACTTGCCCTGTGCGGCGGTGGCGGCGAAGGGAGAGTCGAAGGGCTGCAGCGGCTCGAGACGCGCCGAGGTGGGGCTGATGAGCACCTCGGTGTCGGGCTGGGGCTCGGGCATGGGCGCGGGCAGGTATCCGATGTCACCCTGTGCGAATCCGCTGGCGGGGAGTACGTCGCTCTTGGGCGGCTCGAACTTGAACGGCTTGCCGTCCGGCGCGGTGAGGGTGTCGGTCATGGGGTTGAAGTCGAGACGTCCGGCAAAGGCCATGGCGGTGACGATCTCGGGCGAGGCGAGCAGGTTCCAGGTCTTGGAGTTGCCGTCGTTGCGACCGCGGAAGTTGCGGTTGAACGAGGTGAGGATGACGTTGTCCTCGCCCTGCAGCTCCTTGCGGTTCCACTGACCGATGCATGGTCCACAGGCGTTGGCGAGCACACGCGCGCCGACGTCGGTCAGCACCTGCTGGATGCCATCACGCTCGACCGTGGCGCGCACCTGCTCGGAACCGGGCGTGACGTCGAAGCTCGACTTGACCTTCATGCCGCGGTCGCGCGCCTGCTGTGCGAGGGAGGCGCAGCGCGCCATGTCGGCGTACGACGAGTTGGTGCAGCTGCCGATGAGCGCGGCGCTGAGCTCGACTGGGTGGTCGCGCTGGTCCGACTTGGCCTTGTTGACAAACTCGGAAAGGGGCGTGCTGAGATCGGGAGTGAAGGGGCCGTTGAGGCAAGGCTCGAGGTCCGAGAGGTTGATCTCGATGCGCTCGTCATACTCTGCGCCCTCGTCAGCGGAGAGGAAGCCCTGGCCGGCTGCGCGCTCGGCGGCACGGGCGACCTCGGCACGACCGGTAGCCTCGAGGTACGAGCTCATGGCCGGGGTGAAGGGGAAGGCGGAGGTGGTAGCACCGACCTCGGCACCCATGTTGGACATGGTGGCGAGACCGGTTGCAGGTAGGGTTTGGAGGCCCGGACCCGAGTACTCGACGATCTTGCCGGTGCCGCCTCGCACGGTGAGCTTGCCGGCAAGGTGGAGGATGACGTCCTTGGGCGTGCACCAGGGGCTGAGCTCGCCCTTGAGGTGGACGCCGAGCACCTTGGGAGCCATGAGCTCCCAGGGCGTGTTTGTCATGGCATCGACGGCGTCGGCGCCGCCAACGCCGATGGCGAGACAGCCGAGGCCGGAAGCGTTGGGAGTGTGCGAATCGGTGCCGAGCATCAAGAGGCCGGGGGCGGCGTAGTTCTCAAGCACGATCTGGTGAATGATGCCGGATCCCGGGCCCCAGAACTCGATGCCGTACTTCTTGGAGGCGGACTCGAGGAAGGCAAACACCTCCTGGTTGGAGGCGATGGAGCGCTTGAGATCGGCCTCTGCGCCCTCGTAGGCCTGGATGAGGTGGTCGCAGTGCACGCTGGACGGGATGGCGGTGCGCGGCAGACCGCACGTCATGAACTGGAGCAGCGCCATCTGTGCCGAGGCGTCCTGCATGGCGAGACGGTCGATCTTGAGCTTGAGATACTTTTTACCTCGGATGGCCGAGACGTCGGCGCCGACGCCGGCGAGGTCCTGGTCCGGATTGCGCAGATGCGAGTAGAGGATCTTTTCGGAGAGCGTGAGCGGGCGGTTGAGCTGGGCGCGGACAGCCTCGAGCGTGGCGAGGAGCTCAGCGTAGGGTGGCACTCGCGACGGGTGGAAGGTGGGGACGCGGCCGTCGGCGGCTGGAGTGGCGAGGGTGCGCTTGGCACCGATAGCCTTGTGTGCGGCTGAGAAGGCGGAGCGACCCCTCTGAACGCGAGCGAGCGAGGCGATCATGTTGGCGACGGGATGCAATCGAGAAGCTGACCAGATCCGCCTCGCGTGTGATGGTAGAATGCAGCCGACGCTGCGACCAGGGTGGCCTACTCGATCAGAGGGAGTGGCGGTGAAGGAGCGGCCCGTGAGTGTGTACGCAGCGCGAGCGTAATCCTACGAGAGAGAGAGAGAGCAGAGGCCGGGATGTCGCTGCTTCGAAGTGATGCGTAGGTTGCGAGGGCGAGATGGTGGTAGGATTGTGCGCCCACACCACGCTGCGATGTGGGCTCTCGCTGCACTGGCGGGGCAATCGGAAGAAGTCTTTTCTTCTGCACCTCCGGAAAATGCCCGAGACGCGCTGCTCTGCTGCACAAATTTCAGCTTTCCCCTCGCGCCAAAATCTGTCGCCGTGACTCGCTTAGTGCCGCGCTCACCCGCGCCTTTCACTCCTCTTCCACGGCCAATCCAGCGCTCTGCATTTTGCACCTCATTGAATCGCATACATCGGGACCCGATCCGATCTACATCGGACTGCCGACACCATCATCACCATCCGCACTCGCTTCTCTTCAATGTACAGTAAGATTCGCTCATTGAGCTCGGTAATAAGCAGGTATCGCGCAGCGATGCGGTGATGGCAGGCCACTAGACTTCAAAACTTCGGTTTCGCGCCGCCTCGATGGTGCGGGCGATGGGCTTCTTGCGCAGGCCAAGCACTTCGAGCGTCGAGAACGGTACCTGCATGGACCTCCTCCCCGGCGTAGGAATGAACGTGCTGGCATCGCAATTTCTGCTCTCCGCTTCGCCCGCCGCGTCGGCCTTGAAGTCCAGAATCCAACGCCAGGCCATCTCGAATGCGAAGCGCGGCTTGCTTGCGTACGTGACAGAGTAGGCGTACGACGCGCGCAGCATCTCCAGCCTCGCCACCGCCGCCTTGTCCATCTTGGCGATGTGGTGTTCTGCAAACGCCTTTGGCCACTGGCAGAAGCGCATCGCCACCTCGCTCGCCGAGTCCAGCACCACGGGCACCTCGACCGTCTCGTCCAAGCGATCCATCATGTCGCTGCTCTCCAGATCGTCCACCGCCGTGCCTTGCAGGAGCTTCTCGCGAGCGCCGCTGCCCATCTTGCTGCTCGCCTCCGAGCGAACCCTGCGCAGCGGTGCCGATCGTTCCTGGCGGCTCTTCGATATCGCCTTGGCTTGTAGTCCGCGATTGCGATTCTCAATCTCGCGGCGGGTGCGTGAGTTGGTGAGCACGTAGCTCTCCTCCATCACTTTGACGTGGTTGCGGATCGCTTCCTCCTCTTCCGGTCGAATTCGTCCCAGATCCTTGGCCTGCTTCCAAAGTCCCGAAAGCGACGTATCCTCGACTCCGCGCAGCTTCTCCGTCATCTGGTGCAGACGCGTCTTGAGTCGGCCCACCTCCTCCTTGCCCGCGGCCCACAGCGTGCACAGCACCGACTCGAGCTGCTGCGAGTTCTTGACCGCTCCAACGGGCGTGTGGTCCTCTTCACCGAACCAATCGTGCCGATCGCTCGGATCCTCGGCGTCGTACGCCCAAGCCGGCAGCTTTCCAAAGTATTTTTTGCTGTCTCCGATCCGCACCTCGGCCTTGATCGTGAGTCCGGTTTTGGAGCCATCCATGCATTGGCAGAACTTGTGTGCCAGATCTACCGCCTGTTCACTCTCGATGCCAAACTGCCATGCTGCATAGAGATGCATGACTCCGTACAGGCCCCGCACCTGCGGGTCGAAGACGGCCGCAACCGTACTCTCGGTCAGCTCGCGATCGCGCTCCTCCTTGTTCTTGTCAATGTGCTGAGCCACGAACTCCGCTACCGTCTCCTCGCTGCGGTCGAAGACCTTGCTAATCTCGAAAGGGCATTCGGCAAACTTGACGTCTGCATTCTTGAACGGTTCAACCAGCTGCGGCTCCCAGAAGACTCGGATGAGATCGCCGTCGTGGTCTCCACCACTGAGCAACGAAGCAAGAGGAGTGTGGCCCTTGGTGGAGAAGACCACCACGTCTTGGAATCGGCTGAGCTCCGGCCGCACCACAGCTCGCACCTTGCGAATGTCGGTGGGAAGAAGGCAGGGATGTCGCATGACGAGAACGTCGCCTTCGGGCACGTGGTGCAGTGCAAGTCGGCTATCGGGATCGCAGATGCTGTCCCCGCTGAAGCGGAACTGGATCTCGCCCTCTTCCAGCGTGCCCGTCGGATCCGGAATCACCATGGCCTCGGCGCTGCGAGCGATCGGGACGGCAAAGCGCTGCAAGACCTTCTTCATCGCCGTGTCTGCGATCTCGACAAGAAGCCCAGCGAGGTAGGAGCACGAGCGCGGATGGAAGCCTGTTCCTAGCATCTCGTAGGCGCGCTCGGGTTTCGACACGGGCATGCAGTTCCATATGTGCCGCCCTTTCTCGAAGAAAAAGACGCGGTCGTCGCCGGCTGTGTCCATCTGAGTGCGATCGGACAAGCCCATGCCCTGCGCTCGGTGCTCGGCAGCGTCCATGCTCCTTTTTGCGCGTTGCTTCTCGACCTGGCAAAGGTCATCGACAACTTTTGCCAGTACGTGAGAGACTGCAAGATCTGGGCCATCCCAGTTCGAAATACTGTCGGCAATGGCGCGCAGCTCGGCCTGCTGCAGCTCAGCGAATGTCTCTGTCGGAACTCCGTTGCTGTGTAGGACGAGGATGATCTGCTTCGATAGTGACGAGGGCGATGTCGTGCGCGAACCTGTGAGAACGTCAAGCACCTGTTGGCTAAGGTCGCGAGGCTTGTCGCGCGGATACTCGATCTTGTTTTGCGATTTGCGGATGTGGATCCATCGCTTGGGCTCCTCTCCAGGCAGCCAGCTTTGCGCGTTCGGGTCGAGATACCAGACGCCCTTGGCGCCTGCAACGCGTGCTTGGATCGCTGATGGGATCGTGGCCAAGTTCAGTTGTTGAGCCACGTCGCGAGCGACAGCAAGCGACATGACGGCTGCGCCATCCGTCATGATGGCTCGCTCGCCGGTCACCGGATGCGGATCGCCGCGTAGGTCCGAGACATAGGTGATCGTGTTGATGGTTGAAGCGGGAACGGAAGTCGAGAGGCCGAGCTGGATGCGCTGGACAAATTTGCCCATCTGGGAGCTGCTGTTCGATTCGAAAGGGGCGTGGTGGTCGACAAAGTCCCAGACACAGTCGAACTCGGGCCGAGCTGAGCTACCATCCGGCGCTCCGATGCAAAGATAGAAGATGGTATCGTCTTTGCAAATGAAAGGACGGTACTTGCGGCCCAAGATCTGCAGAGTGCGGCCAAAAAAGTCGGAGATCTCCTGATGCTTTTCGCGCGTCTTTGGGTGCAGTGGGAACCTTCGAGCCTCCCTTGCCAGCGAGCGGTCCATGGTTAGGCGCAGGATGCTCTCGCTGCCGAATCGGCGCGCGAATCGACAGCTTCCACCGAGTTTGGGAGGCAAGAGCTGCACCTTGAAGGAGAGGTGCTTGCCGGCCTTGGTAACTTTGGGATTGTTGATGCACGAGATGCGGCCATGGAAGTTCACACGACCGCCGAACGAGCGCATGTCCTCGCCTGGGGGACCGAGGACGCCGTCGAAGCGCGAGACAGAAAGCATCTCTGCCTCGCGATCCAGTTCCTGAGCGAGCTCGAGCTCATTCTTCGTGGGCTGTCGAGCTAAGAACGGAACTTCGTCCTTTTCCGACTGCCACAAGATGCGCTGATTCGCGGTACGGAACAGCGCACGGATCGCGGCAAGGTTGGTTTCCGCTCGGATGGTGTTGATGCCCGCGGTGATGTCGAGTTCCTCGAAGCCAAGCAGGCCGAAGGAAGCGAGCGAGGCGAGGAAGAATTGCACCAGCCAAGGCACTCCTGGCCTGCCGTCTTTCTGCTTCTGCATGATCTTGATGCGCATTTTGCCATCAACGACGTTGAACGGAGGTAAAGGAGGCCTGCTCAGGTGTCGTCGGGGATGGGAGACGGCCTTCGGCTCCGCCGTGGCCTTAGAGGGGGGCGCTTCCGAAGGCAATGTCGCTGGCGGGCCGGGTGCAGTTGGAACAGAGCTGATGTGCGCACCTTTGGAGGGCTCGGCAGCAGCTTTCGGAGGCTCGGCAGCGTTGCGTGGCGGATCAGGGGCATCCGCTCGTGCACTTTGCTGTTCCGAGCGAGCGAGTGGAAGATAGATGCGTTCGGGCGCGCCTCTTTCGTCAAAGTCTTCGCGGAAAAGGGCCCACAAAGGGGTCTTTTGTCCAGTGTCGGCGACATCATTCTCTGAAGGTGAAACGGGCGGGGCGCATTGGGCGGGTGCAGTGACAAGTCGAGGAGACAGTGAAGAGTTGTCGGTGGTCTGGGAGGAGGTCGGGGTGGCATCCCAATGCTCGCGGACGAGCATGTCTTTGTATGAGTCTGTGTCGGAATCTGAGCTGGACATGCTGGAACCATCGACGACAAATGCAGTCTTGGGTTTGTTCGAGTGCTTGCTGGGGGTTGTACGAGGCGGGGAAGTCGGGGCGTCGAGGGATGAGAGTGAAGACCTTCTTGACTTGTGATGGCGAGTCTTTGGCTGGTCTACGGCTGTTCTCTTTGATGAGGATGCATCGGTATATTGAAAGCGGTGGTGTTGATCGGGCGAGTGTTGCTGAACGACATTGGTCATACTCTACGGGATGTAGTAGCGGAATGCGTATTGGTTGTAAGAGGCGTCAGAGACACTTGTCTATGCTGGGCGACGGGGCTGTGAGGATGAAGTGGGTACTGCAAATGTGCGAGGAGAAGGCGGCATTATATAGCTTTGGAGGACGAATGCAAAGATGCGGGATGGTGAGATGTATGACATGCAGTGGTGCGGATGAAGTGCGGAAGCGAAGCATGGATCTGCACGAATCTGGCCTGGGCCGCGATGAAGTAAGTTATGAGTGTATCTCGAGCAGTCTGGGCCCGCACTGACCCCGTCTCGACACGGGGCCCAGTTGACAGCGAGCTGCAGCTTGGTGGTCGAGCGTCTATTGTTGCCGCTTCGCTTCACGTGAGGGTGCAGAAAAGGGGGATGCGCTGGGCTGAACCTGGACAGAAGTCGGAATGTTCGTCCTACAGCCCACCTTAGGGCAGCAATGGAGCGGGCTGATGATGTAGCCAGAGTAGATGATACACCGCGGTGAAGCAGATGCCCCTCTTCCACGGATCCTCAAAGCAACATGTAAGGAGGACTTGGGGACGACAGAACTGCGCAGTCCAAGTGTGAGCAGCAACTGCGGAGAAGCGGCAAGCCCAATCAGCCAGCGATGCCTTCGACGGTACGGCACTCTGCCGTGAGATACCGATGGGCGACGGAGACGAGGGTGTGATAGGAGTTCGAGACCTTTTGAGGGGATGGCCTTCGGCAGGCACGGGCGTCGGGAGGCACAAGTCTAGCTCAAGCTCAAAGCTTGAGTGTAACACAAAAGAGCGGCGCGCCACGCGTGTCTGTGCACCTCTCGCAGAGAACAACACTTTGGCCCGATTTCGGTATCACTGGTGATTCAAATCGGGTCTCGCTCGTTGCTCCACTTGGGATGCGGCGCAGTTGCCCGCGTTCCGAGACCAACACTCTGGGGTGACGGGCCGTTTTTGGAAAGTGTGCCTTTTTTGGAGCTGCAGCCCTGCAGATCCAAAGTGGAAGCTCTCTCAACCGCACCCGCGACTTTCCGCCTCACCTGCCAAACATGACCCAGCCAAGCTCGTCAGCGACTCCTACCTCCGTCCGTCGCCTTCGTCGTCATCGTCGTCAGCATCCTTTGCACCCATCCATATCGACATCCATCACGTTGATCCGCAGTGAGAGCGGAGGTGCGCGTGCCACTCACCCTCATCATGGCCACCAACATGCTCCTCTCCCCCGAGGCGCTCCACTGCCTCAAGCGCAAGCAGCTCACCAATCTCTGCCGGCGATTCGGCATCAAGGCGGTCGGTAAGAACGCCGACCTCATCCAAAGGCTCCAGGAGTACGCTGCGTCCAACATTCCGTCCGACAGCCCGACAAAGGGCAATGTGGCTGTCCTCAGGCATATCAAACGCCCCAGGCAGAGCGACGCCAGCTCCGACTCGGACAGCGACAACCAGTATGACGAACAAAAGCCGACCACGGTCTATCCTCCACTCACGCCTCGGACCAGACAGAAGCGTGTTTCGGACATCGTCCAGGCCATTGAGGAGGTCAAGGCTCAGCCAGACGAGATGGACTCGGACGACGAGCTTGACGATCCAGAAGTCAAGTCGCCCTCGTGCAAAAACACCATCGCATTCCCAGTCAAGCAGCAGCAAGCACCACTGTCACCCCAGTCTACTCAGCCGCTGCGCATCATCAAGGCACTGCCCAGCTCCACCCGCCTCGCCTCTCCACTATCCACCGCCACCATTCTCGAGCTCAGCCGCCCACCCGCGGCACACGAAGCGTCCAACTCTGCAACCGCAAGCATGTATCCGGATATCAGCACGCTTCCTCTACCGGAGGGCATTTCGAGCGACTGTCTCGCCAGCTCCTCCACCCTTCCTTCCATCACTTCGCGTCAATTCTCGGCCGCAGCAGCATCGGTGCTGGCCGAGATGAATGCGCGCCTTACCGCCGCTGGTCGTTCCACCACATCGGCCTCGCTGGCTACTATGTCGAGCATGGGAAATGGTGCCTGGCAGACCCTCGCATCCTCGACATCCACGCAGGGCATGTCTCAGAGCCGATCGGGTCGCTACGAGATTCAGCACGAGCGCCAGTTCAAAAAGATGGACTCGATCGTCAACCACTACGCCGCCCGTCGCGTAGGTACTGCAGACAAGTCCGACGCCAGCGCCTCGACATCCTCCAGATCTGAGACATCCAGTAGTGTTGTCGCGGCGACCAAAAGCCTAGCAGTGGCCCGGAAGCCTCAGCGCGTGGATGCGTCCACCTCGACGCGTAGCCTTGCCGCGATGGTGCACTCTACCAGCACGCGCAAAGTTGCCAGCCAGCGCCGACCACTCCCTGTGCCACCGGCGTTGAAAGCATGCTCCAAGCCGCCTGCGGCAGCCACGACGCGGGTGGCCAATCTACCAAGCTCCCGACAAGCATCCGGCAGCGAGGCTCCGAGAACAAAGCGACTGCGGCTAGCCGTGACGGAAGACCAGGGAGCGCTGCAGAACACGGTGCTCGAGATTCCGCCCGAGAAAAAGACGGTCATGATCCGCGTCACCCGGCCCGAACGCGAGGGGATGCCGTACCAAGTCAGCGTGGCTCCGTCTACGTCAGAGGCCAAGAAGCTGGGCGAAGCGAGCGGACCCGTGCGCGCCGCATCGGTACTGCGCAAGAGCGTCATCAAGGCGACCAAGAGCACCTTCACCGGCGGCTCAGCCAAGAAGACGACCGCCTCGGCACAGGCGCAGAAGCGAGAGGCGGCGTTCACAAAGCAACAGCAACACGCGGCTGCCATGTCGAGAAGCATGAGCTCCCGCGCGAACCTCGCGCCCGCCGTCAGCCGCAGCGAGGGACTGCCGGCATCCACGAGCGTCAGAAACAAGTTCACTGGCGCACTCACCGCTCCACCGACGGCCACTCGGACCCCTGTTGCGGCGGCTTTGACGGGCTCAGGTGCATCGGTGGTGCCATCAGAAGCGAGCAAGGGGAGCGTGACTCGGCTGGGCGGAAGCATCCGCAGCAGTGTCTCGCAGGGGCTCGGACGAGCCGATGCGGCACGCCAAGCGCGGCTCAAGGAGATCAAGGCGCGCACCAAAGCTGCACTGGCTGGCTTCGGCAGTTCGCGCACCGTCGACGCGGCTGCACCCGAATCGCCGCGCAAAGGAGCCACCTTCTCACCCAGCGTCACGCGACCGACAATTGCGAGCCTCAATCGCGCCGTCACGACCACAGGCGGATCGGCGTCTCTGCCCATGCTCTCGGCCATCACTGCGCCGCTTTGTGGACTGAACGCCAACGTGGTGGAAGGGTTGCAGCGCGCAGCGACCATGCACGCGGGTGTGGGAGCACTGATGCCCTCCTTGACGCCTCGCTCATCCTCGCTGCGACACCTGCGCCGTGTGATGCGCAAACAGCAAAAGCAAGCCGAGGTGGACCACGAACGCGTGGCAGCGGCAGAGAACATCTCGCCGGGCAAGGTGGTGCCTTCGGTCATCAAACCCACGACCAGCGAGCTGCAGTACGCACCGTCCATCCGCACCGTGGCCAAAGTCCAGCCGAGTCCGGACAAGTATACCACACTGCCGCTTAAAGGCAGGACGGCAGCAAGACCAGCTGGCGCGCGCTCGGCCCTCGTCACCTCGCATGCAACCACATCCGCCCTCAACCGTATCTAGACGTAAAATTTCGACTTCCCCTCCGCCGCAGTTCCACGACCGCGGCTCCTATTTGACTCTTCTTGACTCGTCAGCAATGCAGATACCCCAGCTTCACGCTCATTCCCTCTCATTTCGCACAGGCAGGCATTCTATGGTACGATCGAGCGTAGATTAGCGTCGAAGAGTGCAAACGGAAACAGATGGAGCAAAGACATTGTCCAGAACAGTGCATTGTATTGGAGGCGATGGATTTTGGGGTTCCGCGGTGGGGAGGGGGGTGGGGCTCAACTGTGGTGGGAGATGCAGGAGCAGCGCACACGACTCCCAGCGTCACGACGCTCAAGCGAGCATGACGACGGCGGACAGGATACCTGCAGCCGCAAGCGATCCAGCCACGACCAAGCTGGACTGAAGCGACGATGCGTCCGACTTGGACGACTGCTGCGACTGCTTGGTTCCGCTGTTGGACGACGACGACGACGACGACGACGACGAGGAGCCTGACCCAGAACCGGCAGTGGAGCCAGACGAGGAGCCCGTGGCGGAGGCAGCGGCCGAACTGCCGCTCGCGGTCATGGACACGGCGAGCTGGGGGTTGTAGTGGTTGTCGGCCGCCTTGATCGAGGAGCCCGAGGGCAGACCGGTGGCGTTGATGTTGCCCGCCACATACTGGGCAAAGTTGGGGTAGGTGATGTCCTCGGGATACGGCTTGGTCTGGTTCTTGCAAGCGGTGAGCGGCACAATGTGCTTGAAGACGGCCTGGATGTTGGCGTACTGCTTCATGAACTCGTCCATGGTGTGGCCGTTGATCTCGTGCGTGAGCACAATGTTGCCCTGACCCGCCGTGGGGCCCTGGGTCTCCTTGGCGATGATGGACGCGTAGTTGGCATCGATCGAGGCGGTGGGGAGCGTGCCGAGCGGCAGGATCTTCCAGTCATCCGTGTCGTCGGTCCACAGCACGGTCTCGAGGCCGAGACCCTTGGCGATGGCACGCACGCGGTCGTCGACATCGCCAAAGGGAGGGCGCCAGCAGGTCGGGGTGACGCCGACGACGTCCTTGATGACCTTGGCGGTGTAGTAAAGCTCGGCGAAGACCTGGTCGCTGGGGAAGGCGGTCATGTACTGGTGGCTCCACGTGTGCACACAGATGTGGTGGCCGTCGACGATACCGCGCTGCGCCTCGAGCGGCCAGTCGAGCACGTTGGAGCCAATGTAGAACATGGTGGCCTTCTGCTTGTTCTTCTGCAGGAAGTCGTAGAAAGCGTTGTGCGTGCAGTTGGGGCCGTCGTCGAACGTGAGACCCCAGGTGTTGGGCTCGGGGCACTGCACCAGGTCGGCGGGAATGTTGGGGTGCTTGGGATTGTCGCAGCCGTTGAACGTCCACCAGCAGTCCGGGTCGGAGCGAGGGTAGGTCGGGGTGAAAGAGGAAAAGTCGCCGTTGACGGTACCCTTGGGGGTGATGCCCGCAGGGATGATGCCCGACGCCTGGATGCTGCTCCAGACCGCCTGCGCCTGCGAGTCACCGGGCAGGATGGTGGCATTGTCCCAGGGCTTGGGGAACTGGCTGGCGATCGCGCTGATTTCGGGGAGATTGTAGGCGGTGCACTCCTGCTTGGCGTTGGTGATGGCCGCCTGCGAGGGTTCGTCGGTGGCGCGTGCCTTGAGCGCCGCCTGGGCCGGCGAGCCGCGCTTGTAGATGAGGTTGTGGTACTCGCCGCTGTCGCGCGCACGGCGGTAGAGGTTCTGGATGTGGTGCGGGTCGGGCACGCCACGACCGATGCTGGCGATTACAGACGAGGCCAGCGACACGGCGGCCACGATGGCTGTGGAGGAAAGCTTCATGATGTCGGTCTATATCCACGTCACGGAGGGAGGGGGAGGGAAGAGGGGTAAAGAGGAGGGAAAGGAGATGAACCTCAGGTGCACAGTGCTGGCTTATAAGGATCAGAAAGCTCTGTGCTACACGCTCGCTAGGGGGCCAAAGATCTGCGTCGGAGAATCGAACGGGCATGACATTTGACAGAAGCAGCGCTACAGTAGCAGTGAGGGTGAGGAGGTGTGGGAGATGGGGACGATATGATACGACTAGGCGCAAGAGCCGTCTGCCTAGGATGAAGAGGGGCTCGAGTGCTGCTGCAAGGTGCCGCCGGCGGATGCAGCTGTGTTCGAACGCCACAAGCGGCGGCACGCGTTATGAAGCGGCGGCCTCATTGTTCCGACGACGACTGGGGAGTTCCACGGTGCATGCATTCGGCAAGGATGAAAGGGCCTTTGGGCTGCGTCGAGCTAGGAGCAAGAGCGTGCTGCGGCAGCCCCGAGCCCCGAGCCCCGAGGACGAGCGTGCATGGGCAAACGACATCTGTCGAGCAGGGTGCGAGCGGCGGCAGCACAAGCGAGCAGAGGCAAGGCACCCGACGGTTCGCCATCTGCACGCCAGCAAGTTTGCCAATGCAATCCTGCGTTTCGGGGCGCCGGATGCCAGTGCTGGCATGCAAGAACCGCGTGCTGGACGCGTCGATCAATAGGGCTCGCCGACCCGCCTGCCATCGAGCCGACGCGGAGCAGGCGTCGGAGCAGCTGCAAGCACCTGCGCGACTCTCTGACTGCCAGCTCGGCAGAAGCTTGTTTTTTCTTTCCTTCTTCTGCTTCGCCACCGGCCAGCTCGGAGACGCTCGAAAATCCAATCCGAGTCGCCGCCAGCCTGGCAACGTCGGCATCGCTGCCGAAGCCCACATCTGTGGCATGCAGATCTGCATGCCATTCTCCAGCGCTGTCGTTAATCTGACGCCAACTGAACCCAAACCTATTGTCCCGGCGCACTGCGCAAGTCCTATGCCAGCCGAGTCGACTGCTAATCGGCAGAGCCGACACAATGGATCCCTTTGTCTTGTTTCGTGATGTTGGTGGGCCCCCTGTCTAAAAGCGCGTCGTGGAAATCCGCGTCTGCATTCAAATCACAGGGCTACAAATCGCCGTCGCTTTGAAGCCCACCAACTTTGAAGCCTTTGTCAAGACCAACAGACAGCAGCTACAAATTTCGACTGGTCAGATCGTCGCTCCCCACCTTTGCCATTCCCCAAGCTCGGCATGGCCATCGGCGTCTATGCTAGCGCTGCCTGGACGCCCCCTGTCCCAAGCGGCAGTGCGGTAATGCGGCAATGCGGCTAGAGGATCGACGGCGTCATCGTGCTTGCCCTGCCTACCAGACGGACATGCCTGACACAGGAGCCGGGACCCCGCCCCACAGTCCGGCGTAGACTCTGCGTGCCACACTTGCCGTCCAGCACCCCCTATCGCTGTGCAGACCATGCCGAGCCGCATTGACATGTCGCTCGCCGGCAGCCGCCCAAAGTCGCCGACGCCCGCAATACCCGCTGTGGTGTCGGCCACGCTGATCTGCGCCTCGCGTTCTCGCCACACTGCGTCGATAGGTCATCTCGCCTTGTACTATCGGAGAACGTCGTCACTGGGCGACAGTGACATGCTTAATCGCCGAAATGTAGAAGCTGCAAAGTGCTTGCGCTCGAGATCGGGGTGCAAGGTCCCAAGATGCCGATGCTACCATGGCCTTTCGAAGGACGGCCGCTAGGCATGGCCTTCCGACGACATCTTGGGCCCTCGAACAATCCTCGGCTTCGGCTCGACAAACAATGGCGCGGTCAACTGGACGGCCTTCCCCTCTTTCTCCCCAGGGCCGGCCGAGTCCGTCTCCCGTTGCACAGCTTTCTGCCCGACACGCCAGACACGCCCGATCATCTCTGATCCAGGTAAATCTCGCCCCGATCCCTTTCATCTCGCTCGGTAAGTCCTCCTCGGTTTCGCTTTGCCGTCGACCTGTCCTTGCAGCTTTCGGGCGCCCGTACGGAGGATGAGCACCAGCAGCAGCACATACACCGTGTCTGATCGAAGCACGCTGCCACACGCAGCGGCGCTTGGCGTGAAAGACCATCGCGTGTACAACAGGTAATTTGCAAGCTGACCGCGGGCGTCCCTACAGCTGTAAGGACACAAGCCGCAACGAATCGGCCTTTCTCCGTTCAAGTTGATCCGTCGCTGACAGTTGCGCTATTCTCCTGGGACATGGTGGCGGTTCAGGTGAATCACAATGCTACATTTGGGATGCTGAAAAACGGAAGCCAACGGGGCGGAGACTGGTATTACGATTTGGGTTCACCTTGCGAGAGCGAGATGAGGATACAGCGCGAGACACGCGGTGGGCGCATTGGAAGCTACGGAGCTACGGAGCTACGACGAGCACGACGGAAAGCCTAAAACCTTGGGACCATGAACGATGTTGTTTTCGAGTTGTTCGTGTCGTCATACGATCGAGATGTTGTGCCTGAACTTGACCACCGAAGACGTTCTTGTTTGGTTGGGCAGCGAGATGCTTAGCAGCAGTCGCAGTTCTTGCAGTCCTTGGAGCACGTGCACTTCTGGCCGGCAGCCTCGCACTTGCAGTTCTTCTTGGAGCGGCAAGCGCACGAGTCGGTGCAGCCGTTGCAGGTGCAGGTACCAGGCTGGCAGGTGCACGCACCGTTGCCACCAGCAGTGTTCTGACAAGAGCAGGCCATGTTGTTGATTGGTAGAGAGAAGTTGGAGTGAGGATTGAAATTGGATGGGATGTGGTGATGGGGGATGAGGTCAAGGCAGGTCGTGGGGGTTAATATACTTTCAGCGCGCGCGGGCGGATGGGTGCAGGGGCCAGCAGCCCACGAGAGATGTGGAGAGAAAAGGCCAACACCCATACTCCCGAACCCAACTCAGCCATCAGGGAACCGCCATCGAATCACAGCGCTAGCGAGCCGGGCGAAAATCGCGCAGACCCATCTAGGTTTGGGCGACTTGGGCTTGTCACCTGTGTCGACCAAAGGCTAGCAGCGATGTCGTGTGCCTTTTCCCCTTTCGAGGCCCAACGCGTCCTACGCAGCATGGCCAGAGGGCAAAGGGGGATTTCAAAAAATGCGCGATTTTCGCCAATCCTGTCGTCCGTGACCCGAACCCCAGCCTAAACCCTTTCACCCAACCAGCCCTCACCGAGGCCCACATCGCTAATCGGCTTTGCCCGTGGCGCCAACTCGCCTCGCCCAACCGAGCCCCAATCAAGCTCAAGCCCCGCCCCCCACCCTCATCGCCCCTAAGATCACGCTGCATCTGATCGTATCACACTGCACGTGCCTCTCGCCCTTACAGTACCTCTCTCAGCACACACATTTGCGAGCCGATGGATAACGTCCCTATTTTGAGATTCCACTCGCCTGTGCAGTGCCAAGAAACAAACCCAGCTATCTCCTGCGCGATTGACTCGTCCTAGCTGCATCCAGCATGGCGCTCGAGCCCGGTGCACTCGGCAGGTTGATGTGGCCGTTCGGGACCGCCCCTGTGCTTGCCGAGCTCGGCAGGCCGTAACCCAAAGCCCCCTCATCGATCGTCCCGAACGACGAGCTGGACGACGAGCTGCTCGACGACGTGAGCCCCTGGCTCGATGCCGACGGCGTCATTTGGCCCATCGACATCTTGCGCGATCGGTCCGCGCCTTGCTGACCGCTCCAAACATCGCCGCTGCGGCCCATCGCACCGATTCCGCCGACAGACATGCTCCTGCCCTGCGGGTGCATCTCGTGCACAGCGCGTTCCGAGCCCTCGCGGCCATCGTTGGCGCTCTGCTGCGAGATGTTGCCATACCCATGGCCAGAGCCGGTGGGTGAAGCACGCCCCGTATTATTGCGCATGCCCAGCCAGGCTCGCTCTTTCTCCGCCTCCGAGCGATACGGCCGGTTGGGGCTTGAGCTGCGCTTCACCTCTGCCGACGCATTGCCCGCCGACGGAACCGCGTCCGGTGCACCACCCGTCTTTCGCAGAGCCTGCAGAGGCGGCGAGCCGGCTGTCTCCGCCTCGGCGCCCTGCCACAGCGGCTCGGACGACCCAAACTGCGTGCCGAGACCCAGATAGTCCGTCGTAGCCGACTGGACCTGGTCTTGGTAGCCCAGATTCTCGCCACTTCGCGAATCCGGCACCAGCCGATACGGCGTATTGGCCTGGAGCGCCTTGGCGTCGACTACTTGGCCGACCACAAAGCCCGTGGGTCCACCCAGGGTCCCCGAGTGCGAGCCCATGGTCTTGAGGTCATCGTCGATCTGACGGTGCTGCATCCCGTATCCTGGCTGCCTCATCGGCGTTTCGGCCGATCGACCTCGATTTGCTCCGCCGGGCGCTCGGTTCGGCTTGACCAGCCCGTTGCGCTTCTGCTTGAGCGCAGATCCGTTGCCTGCCGCTCCGCTGTTCTGTGACCATGTTTCCGAGCTTGAGCCGTCCTCGGAATCGGCACTGCTCGACGACGTCTCGATGCCGTCGTAGGCGCTCGAGTTGTCCACATGGCCGGATGCATGGGCTCCAGCAGAGGCAGTATTGTACCCGTTGGCAGCGCCACCTCCCGCCGCCGCGCCAGCAGCTTGGTCGCCGTTCGGATCGCCGGCCGGGTTGACTACATTGCTCTGGCCCGGACCGGCCTGTTGAGGCTGGGCGCCGGGCTGCCCCTGGTTGGATCGATTGATGACGCTGAGATACCAGAACATGAGGTTCGAGATGAGCACCTGCTCGTACAGCGGACGGCGCGGGTTGGCGAGCTTGATGTGGCTGAGGCGGTAGACGGCTCGCTCGATGTGGATCGGGTAGCGCGCGTAGAAGAATGCACCGTTCTTGCCATACATGCCCATCTCGTTGCGCTCCAGCAAGCTGCCGGCCGTGAGCTGTCCGTTGGTAGGGCGAGGCGGGGCCTGGTGCACAGCCTCGTCGTGGCCCTTTTTCTTGCCAAAGAGGGCGCCAAGGAAGCTGGACGAGCTGCTCTCCTCCTTCTCCTTTTCCTCACGTTCGCGTTCCTTACGCTCGCGCTTCTCGTGCTTTTCGCGCTTGCGTTGCGATTCCTTCTCCGCCTTGCGCTCATCTTCGTCATCCTTGCCGAGACCAAACCACGAGAGACCGAATGCGCCTTTGCGTTCCTTCTCCTTGTGCTTGGAGCTGCTCGAAGCGGGCGGAGCAGGCGCTTGTGCTTGAGCTGGCGGTCGCTGCTGGCCCGTGACGATAGGTGTGATCTGCGGCTTGGAACCGGCAGCAGCCGGGGCAGGTCGAGGCGGCATCTGAGCCACCTCGGCATCCGAAGCCGCGGCATTCGAAGCATACGAGGCGGTGCTGCCAGCCGAGGACGGTCGACTTGTCTTTTGCTGCTGCTGCTGCTGCTGCTGCTGCTGCTGCTGCTGTTGCTGCTGCGGCGTCGTCTTTTCGAACGAAGGCACCGGCGGTACATGCGACACCGGGATCGGCTTGATCTGATTGTTCGCGGGCGCCTTGGAATCAGGTCGGGGAGTCTGATGAGGATCTGGCATCCTGGATGAAGGCTGCTGCTGATATGAGGGCGCTGTCGCCGGAGCAGCACCAAAGTGGGCGCCCTCCGTGAGCGCTTTGGCGCCAGGCATGGTGGCAAACGAGTCCTGTGTGGGCGTGTGCGGGGGCGAATCGCTCAGCGGCTCGGGCTGCCCAGTGGAAGCGGCCGGGGTGGTCTCCGAGGCGGAGCTGTCGACCATCGAGGTGACGCTGGTGCGCTGCGAGGCGTCCGATTGGTACGAGTCTCGCGAGTAAGCGTCGACGATAGAGTCGGTCGCCTCGGTCGACACGGGGCGTGACGAGCTGTCGCCAGCGGACGACGAGTCGTCGGCACCGCACGAGACTTCGGACTGGCCGCTGTGCCGCCTCTCCATGTCTTCGGAGTTGCTTTGCTGAAGCTCCCAGGCACGACTGCCCTCGGCGACGGCGGCTGCATCCGCATCGGGAGTGCCCAGAGGCGCGCGCCTGCGCGAGGCGAGACTTCCGCGCGTCGAGTCGCCCGAAGCCTTGCGCATCTTGGTGCGCGCAGCTCGGCGGAGGATCTGACCGGGCTTGGGCACAATGATGGGCGCGTCGGGGTCTTCGATGGGTTGAGCCGGCACGGCATCGACAGTGTCGAGGTCGGAGGTGGTGTTGAGGCTGAGTGTGCGCCGCAACACGCTTCGAAGCATGGCGGGGTCCTGGGTCTGGCTCGCCTCCTCGGCGGCTGCCTCGAGCTTCTGGAGATCGTCGATGGTCAAGTTGGGTATCGCAAGGCCGTAGGTGCCGCGGGAGAGGCCGCTGCGATTGCGCTGCAGTGGGCGCGGGGTCTTGTCGTCATCGCCATCGTCGGTGTCGTTTTCCGGTCGATACTGACGGCGCAGAGTACTGCCGCGTCGTGAAAGCGAGGTGGATCGGCCGAGGAGCGCGCCGTGGGCGTCGTTCGTCTGCGAGTGGCCCTGCTGCTGTTGCTGTTGCTGTCGACGCACCGAGTCCAGCCTCTGGGCGATGGGCGAGTCGCCGACGGCAAGGGGCGGGAGCGTGTCGTCGCTCTCGGCGTCGGCACCACCGTGGTGCTGGCTGACCGCGCGAGCGGCATGCTCCTTGATAAAGTTGCGAAAGTCGGAGGGCGAGATTTCCGGATGGACAGAAGCAGGGACCCAAAAGAGGTGGCTGGGATCCTTGGGCGATTGTGGGCTGGAAGGGCCGATGCTGGTGGGCGAGGTGGCGATGGGTCTAGAGTCGAAGGCTTCGCTGGTCGGGGAAGCCGAGACGGGCGAAAGCGCACCTGTTTCGGAGCCTGACGAATGGTGGGAGCCCTGTCCCCTGCGCCGGGCGGTGAAGCGGGCGCGCTCGTTGGAGACGCTCTTGGCGGGCGACAGAGACGAGACGGAGGAAGAGGAGGAAGGGCTTCGTATTGGGACGGCGCCATCGTCGACCAAGCTGTAGCCGCGCCTCTCGCGCTCTGGGGATGGGGCCGAGAGGAGCTCCTGACCTCCGCCGTAGGCGGCTGCAAGGTCTGGGAGGTCCGGATCGAGGACGGGTCTATTGACGGAGAGCCTGCGGTGGGATTTGAGCGCCTCTACCTCGCGCTTGAGCTCATCGTCGGTGATGCGCATTGGGCCGGATGACATGCTGTGCAGATTGTCGGATGACAAGGGCGGCGCCGAGCACGACCCTCGACGCGCATGCACAGGTGGTTGTGGCTGGATGGAGGCTGGATGCGGAGACGCCGGGATCCGATGGGCTACAGACGAGACCGTTTCGACGTGGCTCCGAGGATGGGTGGATGGGCGATCAGATGAGCATGTGTGGATCGGGAGCGAGTTGTTGGTGCGAGAGTGCTCCAGCTAGAGAGGCGCGCTTGGCGACTGGATGCAAAGTTGCCGGAGGGGCGGTGAGAGATGATCGGGCGCTAGCAGGTGCTTTGCGGGACGATCGACCGACCGATGGATGCAGGCGACCGAGCCGGTGCGGAGCGCAGAGCAGGGATCGGCGCGGGCCGGCTGGCGTCGTGCTGGGAGAGACGCGGCGAGGAAGGGGCAGAACGGGATGGAAGCCTTGAAGCTGCGATGAGATGAAGGACCGAAACGATAAGGCCAAGCCGGTGTGCGCTCGGTGAGGCGGTGCGGAGCGGACGCGGCTCGAGCGTGCGGCCGGGAATGCGCGTTGCCGAACTGCAGCGGAACGAAAACGGCGGCGGCGGCGGGGTGATGTTGATGGAGGCTGAATGGAGCAGAATGGAGCAGGATGCAGCAGGAGTATGTATGAAAGGCGGAAGGAGGGTGGGTCGCAGGCCGAAGCGATCTCCACTTTGATCCGAGTTGCAGCAGGACGAGGAGTGCTAGGCAGCAATGGCACGGCGAAAGGAACACCGAACTGCTTCTCTCACTCTCGCTCTCACTGGCTCGTCGGTACCGGGACGGAGAGACCTGCTGGTAGCACTCGCAGCACTCGCAGCACTCGCAGCACTGTGCAGCACTGGCCGTAGGCGGCAGGGCAGCAGCAGCCTGGCAGCAGTGACGGGGCCGCGCCTCGAGCAAAGCCAAGCCGAGGTTCAGCGGCCGTGTTTCTTTTTCCCCCTCCTTTTTGGCTATTTCTCTGTCTCACACGGTGAGCTGTGTGAATTTCGCTGGCGAATTTGTCACTGCGGGCTGCGGGTGGGGCCAAGGCGGCTGTCCTCCGCGCTGTCCAGTGCGCATTTTCGCAAGAAAATCCAAGCAACGAGGTGGCCGGAGATTGCATCCGCTGCTGCTCCCCGGCAAAGTGGTGCCGCGCTGTGCTGTGCCGTTTTTTTTGGAGCTGTACCTGCTTTGGCGTGCATTTTGGGGTCTCTCGGCTTGGCAAGCCCGATTCGATCGGACGCTGCCAAAATCAGTTCGGCTCCAGAAGGCGGGCTATTTTCGACACGACCCGCCGATCCTCGCTTGTCGGCCGCCCCGTCCAGTCTTTACCCCACAGCAGTCAAGGTGCCCTCCAAACTATGTGCTACAGGAGACGTCGATTGATCACTGGCACATGGATTCCTGTCGAAACGGCGCGGACGAAGACGCCTCAATTGCATCAACAAGAAGCGAGAAAGCAGACATGAAGGAGAGTCTAGGATGATGAGGGCGGGTATCTGAAATGCAGTGATGGAAACCAATTCTACTTCATCGTCTTGAGACGGATGGAAGACTTGAACGACTTGAGGCGGTGCTGGCTATCGGACACAGACGACACGTCCGACGTGGAAGAGTAGATGCCAGTGCGGCTGAGCGACGAAGCGGCGTGCGAGCGGCTGCTGACGCTGCTGCTGCTGCTCGGCGTCTGCCAGAGCTTCTTCTTCTTTTCCTTGTCCGTCTTCTTGACGTCGTCCTTGAGGAAGGCGGCCTCAGCGCGCAGGATGCTGATGGGCTCGTAGTGGTTGACAGCCGAGGGAGCGCCAGCCCCCTTCCTGTGCTTGGACAGGTGCTTGTGCGAGAGGCGGTGGCTACCCGCTGCCGACGCGGCCGCGGCAGCAGCAGCAGCGGCCTGCATTCTCTCGGGCAGACGGTGGAGGCGCTCGTATTCGGCCTGATCGATGGACGAGAACTCGCTGCCCTGCAGATAGTGGTTCGACAGCAGAGGCGGTAAGTCTTCAGCCTGGACGCCCGATGGTCCTCGTGTCGCCGAGTCGATGCTCGACGACTCTTCGGCCAGGTCAACCGAGCCGGCGATCTCGGCATCAAGGCCGCAGCTCATTGACTGCATGCGCGCTCGCTGGATCACCTCGCGCGGATCCATGTCCTTCAGGCTGCTATGGTTGGACGAGGCCATCGAGCCGAGCCGGTTGGCCATGCCCCGTGCAGCTGGAAGCTCTGCACACGTAGGCGTCGCCTCCTCGCCGTGCCCGGACAGGCTGGGCGGAGAAAAGGCAAATACATTCTCCTCGTCGGGGCTGTACTGGGCGGATCGAAGCTGGCTGCTGACGCTGCTGCGAGGAGCAAAGGCAGCGCCGCTGGCCACGCTCCTGGCAGGAGAGCTGGGGATGTCGGGTGTCGAAAGAGGATGCTCGGCCGCCGTTTGCAAGCCAGCCAAAACGTTGCCGCTGGCAGATTGAACCAGGCCCGAAGGCAGTGGCGGCAAGGGTGGCATGTCTGCAGGCAGACGACGCGGAGATCGCGGAGCGTTGCTCAGCGTACGCGCACGTGGCTGGGCCCTGTACTGCAGGTCATCCTGCCTGGCTTCATCGAGCACCGAGGCAGACGCCCTCATGGCTGCGGCCTTGGCGCGCAGGTCGGAAGCCGTCGAGACCACGGCTGTATCGACGGACGAGCTTGGCGATACGAGCATCGATCGGGTCTTGCCTTTTTCGAGCACGAGATCGTCGAGCGCAATGTCGATCGTGTCGACGTTCCACTGCTCGTGCTTGGGCGCGATGCGGCCGTCTCGAGGAGGCACGCTGGGGAAGTGCATCGCATCCTTCAACATGCCCTGCTCGGATGGGTGCCTAGAAAGGCCGTCGTCAAAGCCAAGGATGGGTAAGTGGTGGACGCTGAGGTCTGCATCCGACTGGAGCGCCTGCGCGGACTTCTTCTTCTGCATCTTCTTCTTCATGCCCGTCAGACGCTGCTGGCCAGTGTGGTGGTCGCGCTGCACGACGGGCTCGACAAACTTGATCAAGGTGGGCTTGGAGCTGTTGGTGGAGCGAGCCTCATCGATGTCGGAATTGTCGTCGAGCGAAGGTGGGACCTCGGAGATGAAGCTAGCTCCGCAGTCGCTGTGCGCCATGTCGTGCGGATAGTCGCCGAACTCCGGCCGGCAGACCGACGAAGGAGTCGATTCGGGATACGTGGCGATGCTGTGCGAGAGGCTGGGCTGGCTCGCGTTGGAAGCGTATCGGACCGAGTCAAAGCTGTACTCGCCCGAAGCCTGACGGTACATGGCTTCCGCCTTGTGAGCCTGCGGAGTGTGCGGCGCCATGTAGTAGCGACCGCGCTGAGCTGCCGCCATGGTTCGTCGAGCGGATGCTGAAGATGATGATGACGATACAGACGTTGCTTGGAGCTCAAGGCAGCATCCAAAGGGGAGTGAACAGTTGAAGGGAAGGGCGGTTCGGGTTAAGTCGAGAAGGAGAAAGGGTGAGGGGGAGGGAACCGCGAGCAGAGGAGTCAGTTGGGCGACGGTTAAGAGGCACGACCCAGCAGCTCGGATTCGGCAGCGAATGCAGGCAGCACAAGGCTGGGCGAGGGGCGCTTGCGGATTGGCGGGAGGGGCGGTAAGTTAGCTGCTCAGGATCCGAAGGCGTGGGACGGGTGCCAGCCAGTCAAAGAAGCGCTTGACCACGTGTGTTGCTGCACAAAGATGGCGTGCACACGAACGCGCACGCACGGCAAGCCTCGATTGATGCGTCGGGGACTTGGAAGAGCCGGTCAGGGATGAGAGAGATGCGGAAGAAGGATGGAGGAGGAGGGCGACGACGACGAACTGGACTTTGGCGGACGGCGATGGGGCCCAAGCCACACTTGGCAAAGAGAGCATGAAGGGTGCAGATCGTGGGTACCTTACGAGACTGCCAAGCGAGCTCGAGCTGGAGCGGCTTCCATTGATGCGCTTGCACGCCCGGGCCGTGCAGTAGAGATGTACGGTATCTAGGGCAGTGGAAGGTGCATGCACCACAACTCTAGGCAATTTTACCGAGATCAAGCCGCCGACCCCGAGGCCGGTATGTGTGGGACCACGCAAACTCGACGCCACCACTGTCGGTCGGGTTTAGCGTGTGTTGGCAACAGGGTCGAAGCAGGGCAGAGACACGAGCATCGGAAGGCGGACGAGAGACGAAGCGCTGCGAATCGGCACTCGCTCCAATGCGAAAGAAGCGCGGCTCCCAAGGTTGGCCTTGGGCGTGGCGAAACGGTTGTCGCGAGATGCAAGGCGGTTCGAGTGTGTGGACGCAACGCGATGCAGTGTGCAGATGGGCTGGCGTGCCTGCGTTGGTTGAGAGGCATGCGGCCTCAACGTCGAGCCTGGGAAAGATTTGCATCGCAACCCGAAACGAGCGAGCGCGCTGCAGGCACGGCTGCATCGAAGGAGGCGTTTTGCTGGTGCCGAGGTGCCATGTGCACCGGAAGACGCCCAACGCACCGCTTACCCAACCGAGCCAGCCCGCCAGCCCGCCAGCCCGCCAGTCAGGCAGCCAGCCAGCGCGGTGACAAAGTCCGCCCGACCTTCGTCCCAGCCTAAATTGCTGCTGTAATTGCACGATGGACGCAGGGAGGGCCTGGCCAGCAAGCGCTTCGGCCGCTTCGGAGGTTGAAAGCGAAACCGAAAACGAAAGCCAAAAAGCGCGAGCCAGCAGCCAGCAAAGTCGTAAAGTGGCGCACGGGGAAGCTCCTCGCTCCTCTCTCCTCGCCGCGTTTGTCGTTCCGACCGTCATTTCGGCGGTGCTGTGACGCGAAAGTGAGTGGCTTTCACTCACACGCTCGTGACGTGATCGTGTGGAGACCCGCTGTCACTGGTGAAGACAGGCTCGAGCGTTGCGGGGGGCAGTTTGTCTCGCGTAAGTACGCTCAGACCCTTTTTGCTGTCGGCCCATCTCCGCGTCTCTCCAAGCGAGCCCCAAGCACCCTTAGCCGTGGCCGGCGCCATGCCGCACGGCAACACGGCTCCTTCATCTCTGAATCGCCACAATGAGATTGTAATCCCGAAATGGAAGCGCGTGGGCCCACAGCAGGGGATCGAGCGGCAACATCACCAGCAACGCTTTGCAGAACAATTGCACCGAGTCAATGGAGGCGGCTGTCGCTGCAGAGGCGTTGCAACCGCCGCCGGCGCATACAGCGTCATGGGATTTTTCATGGCGATACCTGCGTTTTGCAGCCACAAAATTTCGCCCGACATCGTGAGAATCGCGCAACCCGCTCCTGCGTCCCTTGCCATTGGTGACTTCTGCCGCGCCTGCCCTCGTTACCCTCGTTCGGTCGGCCCGATTCGGGAGCGTTGAAAGCTTGAACTCGCACCTCGCACTTTGCAAGACAAACCTACGAGTTCGGACCGCAAAGCACGCCAAATCAAGACTTGCTGGCAACGGCACTCTTGCAGCGGGGAAGTTTTGCGGTGCAAGGGGCTTCCAATCCACGGCGGGCAGTTTTGTTTAAAGTTTGCCAACCATGCATACAATGGAGAGGGCGGTTGGCCATTTCGGGCTTGGTTGTTGGGATTTTCAGGGCGTGGGAATTGCAGGGTGTGCCCGCGCTCGGCCATGCGTTCATCCTGCGTCGTAAGCGCGCGCAACAAGGTTTCGCTCGCGCTTTCTCAGTCCGGCCCGACGGAGCCTTCCAAACCGCAAGATGCCAAGCGATTCGCGTCCCGATCAATCTCAGAGGCCTCTTAACCGCGATTCCACCGCGACCCTCTCGCAATTCTTCTCGTGCGGAGACCGCGGAGCTTTGGGCGAACGACGCCCGAAACAGGGGTGCCGCATGTCAAGCCTATTCTCCGCCTTGTCGATCATGGTCTCTTTGAATGCCTTTGCTGACCTCAGCGTGCTCCTCTGCAAGCGCCGTGGTGGTGGCCTCGCGAGTCGGCGATTCGGTCTGCATCCAGGGTCCTGCCTGCGCGAGACCGCGCTTACCAGAGATGGCCATTCGCGGACCTGCCGATCCCCCACCCACATCGTTCACGTGCACACCCTTCTCCGCCCTGACTCGGATCCGTATCGTCGGACCCTATCGTAACGCCGCTGCCGATCAGTTCGAGGCATCGCTGATCGCCGGCTCGCGCACACATAGCTGCCATGATAGAAATAGATTCGAGAAATGCAGAGGCTTGATTCCGAGTTCGTGTATGCAAGAGTCATTAGCGCTGCGGTGACATGGGGGAAACAACAATCAAGAGAGAGCGAGAGGGCTACCGGGGAAGTGTGTGTGCGTATAAGAGGCCAAGGGGTAGCGAAGCGAGACTAGACGTCGGCCAAGATGGCAGTATATGCGAGCCATTGCCGACGGGGAAAGATTACAGTGTACAGACAAGACGGATCGAAACGGGTCCTACAAAACATAGTGCGGGCATCAAGACAGAGAGACAGGGGGGGGGGGGGGGATATCGAGTATAGTCGGCAGATAACATCAGATGCGCACGCTGAAGCGGTCGAGCGCGGCGCGGTCTATTCTCGAGAAGGCGGGCTTGGCGTTCGCCTCGTCGGCATCGGCGCTGCTGGGAGCCGTGGTGGCGGGCGACAGCTTCGAGGGACACGAGTCGTCGCTCGATCCACTCCCGCTGCGCAGGCTCAGCAGCGCACCCACCGCCGAATCATGCTGCTCCTTGAAACCGGGGGTGCCGGTGTGCGTGGATCGCAGCTTCGAAACGCCTTCGTCGTCCGAGTTGACGCGTCCGAGCGCTCGGATGGGCGCCAGCACGTCCTGCGCCGAGCCCTGGCTGTGGCTCATGCTCGAGCTTCGCATGCGCTGCAGCCGCGGACGGATCGGTCGGCCCGCACCCGCCTCGGCCGTCTGGGCTTCATCATAGCGCGACGCGCCGCGGAAGTCCTGGTAGGAGCGCTTGCGACCGTAGAGATGGCCGGCATCGTGCGCATGGTGCGGCGGTGCGTCCGGCGCCGAGTCGTGGCTGTCGCGACGCAGCGGCAGCAAGGCGAGCTTCGAGTCAACGGGGATGGGTCGAATGGGCAGCAAGCCGCGCGCCTCGTGCAGCGGCGTGACCTCGGCCGGATACGAGAGCTTCTCGTTTGGCTCGCTCTTGACACGCCCGTACGGAGTGGCGTGGCTGTCGGCGTCACGTCCGGCGACGTTCTGCCTTGCGGCGCTCTCGTGCTGCTGCGGCAACGCATTGCGCGCCTCTCGCGACACGGGCAGAGCGCGGCTGCGGTCCAACGACGCGTGCGTGCCCACCGCCGCCGACCTTGGGCTCGAATTCCTTTTGCGTTCGGCGTAGACCGCGTCCTTGCCGTGGGCCTTAGCCTCGCCTCGTGTTGTTCGGACGTCGGCGAGCTCGGCGTGTGCGGGTCCCGGAGGCGATTGAGAGCCTTCGAGCTCGTCGGGGTGGAGGCCAGCTGGGAGGTCGCCTGCACGGCTGATCGGATCGGGGTATTCGGCCTCGTCCACCTCGAGACCCCATTCTCCGCCGTTTTCACCGACGAACCGCGGATCCTCGCTGACGCGACGCAGCAGACCCTCGCGCACGTCTCGCTTGGTGTAGTACGAGATGACGTGCAGCTTGCGGCCCGAGGTGGTGGTCATGCTGAACGACTGCTTGATGAGCCCCTCGGCCTTGTAGAGGTTCGACGTGGGACCACCCGTGATGGACGACGAGGGCTTCTTGCGTGCCTCGAGTTCGCGATAGGTGAGGAAGCATCCGCTCACACGGCTGGCGGACCAGCACTTGCCATCGGTCCAGCGGCGCATGCCGGCCTCCTTCTCGTCCCAGACAAAGATGCTGCCAGAGCAGATGAGGTCGGCGCGCTCCGAGTCGAGCAGACGTCGCGTCACGCGGCGCGGCGGCGGGATGCCGGGAGCGCCGGCGTCGGCGACAAGATCACACGCAGCAAGCAGCAGGATGGCGTCTTTTGTGGTCTTGATGTGGCCGCGATAGGTGGGCTGCTGGTGCGAGCCGGTGGGCATGTTGGGCGAGTGCGCGATGGAGCCGCGCATGCCATGGAGCGAGGACGAAGTTGGCGAGCCGGCGGAAGAGAAGGAGCCGTGATGCGGATGGAGCGATGGGCGCGCGGATGGATGAGCGGGACGGTGCGCATGGCCAGGGTAGCCGTAGCCGTAGGGGGTATGGTGATGGGGTGCACTCGACAAGGTGGGCGATCGACGCTCGTATGCGTAGTAGTGATCGTCAGTGGGAGCGTGACGATGATGGAGCGGCGGCGGAGGCAGAGGGCCGCGCTCGTCGTAGTACGAGTGGTGATGTCGTGTGTAGGTGGGATGAGGCGCGTGGTGCGACGGATAGCTGCGCTCAACCGGCTCATGGTCGGGATACATGGGGCCATGGGGAGGGCCGGGCATGGGTGCTCTGGGCACGGTTTGCGAGCGCGCAAAGTCGGGCCTCATGGGCACATGGCGGTGCGAGTACGAATGCACGCTATTGCCTTCGAATTGATACGCATAGCGGTCGTGCGGATGCGGCGCGTTGGGGTAGTTGTTCGGCATGGTGCGCAGAGGCGGCGCGGAGGATCGGGCCGGGCTGGGTCGAGGGAGCCAAGGTCGCGAGAGCAAGACGACGGCGCTGAAGCGATAAGAATCAGAGGAGCTGGAAGGCAGCTAGGTCGAGACAGGGCGGCTGAATGGAGCCTAGTTGCGGATTCGTAACGACGGTGCCGTGATGGAGTCGGTGAGCGGGATCTCGTAGGACGAGACCTTGACGATGGAAGGATTAGGTACGACTGCGGCCAGGATTTTTGAGCTGAGGCGAGAGCAGGCGTGCGATGGTTCGGGATCGTCGCGGGCAGGTCGATCCGGCGACACGGAAGCACGCTGTTGGTAGCGAGCGGAGAAGGCGGGGGCGCGAAGAAGAATGCTGTCGTAGCCAAGGGTGACGACGGTGAAAGTATGAGCGAAGCAACGTCGCCTTGGGATGATGGGAGGATGGTGATGTGTGGCGGTGGGCCGGGATGGAGGGTGAGGAAAGGAAGGAGGATGGTGGGAGCGTTGGCCAGGAGGGGAGAATCCACCTTGGATATGGCTTGGCGGGCAGGGTTCGGTCGGAAGTGCGCGTCTGAGCAGTCGCCGCAGACAGGCTTGGGAGCGCTGATTGCTGTTCCTGTTGTGGCGACAGCACTACCACCGTCTTGCGTCTTTGAAGGGCGCCGGAAGAGTGTAGGAGGGAAGCGTGGAGGAGGCGCGCGCGCGCGGGAGAGAGGGGGAGAGAGAGTTAAACTCGACTTTAGGGCGAGGGAGGAGAGGCGAGGCGAGCAAGAGCCCGAGCCGAAGTGGAGTGCGCGCAGGCGAGCAGAGGCACAGGATCGAGACAGGCATCCAAAATGCGAGCTTGGATTGCGCGAGCCTGGAAATCGTAGACAAGCTGCGTGCAGTCAAAGAACGTGTGGCTGACTTGGGGGGAATTCAGGGTGCGATCAAGGGACTTGCTTGGCTAGCAGGCCGAAAACAAAAAAGAAAAGAAGGAAAAAAATAAAATAAACAGAGTTTTTGATGACTTGGCTGGGCGGAAAATCCGGTCTCGCTAAAAGTTGAAGACCTGGATGTCGATGCTGAAGGTCGTGTCGATAGGACCCGAGAGCGGCTACAGAAGCCGCGATTGCCAGCCGTGGCCAAGCGAGCATGTGCCAATTCAACAGCAAGCGCACACCCTTTGAGTTCAAGTTTTAGAGCTTCGCGCTCTCCAGGCCCAACAGGCCGAGGAACGTGGGGGAGCACAGGTCGCGTATGGCGACTGACAAGCATCTTGCAGCGGACCGATCGAGCGTTGCCTGCGCCCTTGCTTGAAGCCACGATCGCGTCGAAGCGAAGCCGCGCGCAACGCCAAGCGAGGCCAACAAGGTTTTCCGCCTGGCTTCGATACAGTAAAGCAGGGTCGGTGCCAGATGCGCGACTACAGTAGAACAGTATGTGCACAGCAATGGTGATGGGTTTACTGCGCTGGCACAGTTTGCCCGGCGTTCGATCCCCGGTTTGCAGCTCCTCCTTTCTTTGACCTGGGGACCTTGCTGCGATCCGAAGGGTCGAGTCTTGTATTTCCTCTTCTCTTATTCTTCGGCACCTTCTGCAGGACCCCTTTCATTGTGATCGCAGGTTCGCTTTGTCCCTTTTTTGTTCGCCATGCATGCTTGAGCTAAGCGACGAGGCCCATCAGAGCTGCCGCGCTCCATCTGTGTCAACCTCAGCCGCTGTCCACCCGAGCAGAGGAAGTGTCACATTAAATAAAATTGAGTCAACCTGGTTATAATTTTCCAATCTATCACCAACGGGAGCCTCGGGCGGGAATCACACCGAGCACTCCCATTGTCCTTCACTCTGTACACACGGTGTGGCTTGCCGATGCCTCGATGCCATTGGCAATCAATCTATCTTGACCGGCCCCACCAAATTTTGGACCCGTTGGACCGAGCGTTCGAATCCCCAAAGGCTAGACTGTGGCCAGCGAGTCGATGGGTGATGTGGTGGAGTCGGTGCTGGCCGATTCGGACCCAATGCACACTCCGATCGGCAGTTCAGCCAAGCCCTCCCGGATCAATATTGCCAACTGAGTAAGGCTCTCTCTCTCCCTCCTTCTCCCTCTCCCTCTCCCTCTCTCCTGTGGCACGCGGAGTAGGCAACCCCATCCGAGCTCCGCCCAACCATTGTTCTGACCGCGTCCGACCGTTGCAGTACAACATTGCTCGATCTCGATTCCGCATCACGCACCACTGCTCTTGCTACTTGATCTCTTTCAGGTCGAGCCAGGGTCGCAGCAGGAGGAAGGGCGCGTGGAGCCGGAACCGCAGCAGTGACTCGGTCGGTCGGTGGTGCATGCCGTCTCATGCTGTCTGCATTCCTCGTCCGGCTCACTCGCCGGCGATCGTGGATGCACCCGTGCGCGGACGGCAATCTGGGGAAGCGAGGAACCGCTCGGAACGTCGTGAAAGCACGAGGACAAAGACAAGGTTTTTGCTTACGGGCTCCGAGCGCCAAAAAAAAGACGGAGCTGCATCCGGCATGCACCTGTTGATGGAGAGAGACTCTCATCCGATCGCTCTTGCACACCCAGGACGGCTTTGCGATGCACAATTAAGACTCGCAGTGGAGGTCGTCTGTGGAGACTCTTTGGGCAGTGCGAGCGGGCGAGCAAGGCGGGCGAGGAATGAGCACGAGCTCCGGTGCGAGCTCAAAGAAGGTGGTGGGACACCGACCAAACGCCCAAAAGCCTAAAGTGAGCGGCTCTGCGGTTGGACGACATCTGCACGTCAGGATCGAAGGCTCGGCTGTTGACTCAAACATTCGATCTGGGTGGCAGCCGCTTGACGCCGCGCCAGACACGCGTCCCTCACGGACGAAAAGCAAGGGTACACTCCGGGTACACTCCGGCTTGGCCTCGACGATTGACAGCGCGCGCTCCGGACAGCTCGATCCGAGCCGGAGCCTATCGAGGCACCCGAGCAGTGTCGTCCTCATTTCCCTTTTTTCCCCCTTTTTTTTCTCTCTCTTTCTCAGCGTTCCGGTTCCTTGTGAGTCTACCACAATTCTTCAACCTTGGGTATGCCTGCCCGCAGCCTTCGACGGTCATTTTGTAAATTTGGTTTAGGCTCATCATGCTCCTGCCCTGCAAGCCCCTGCAGGCGGCGATCGGTGGGCCTTGAATTTTGGGCGCTTCGGTCGTCCATGCTCTCCATTGCGATCCGGGCCCGGGTGATGCGACCGAGGCCTCCTGCAGCATGGTGACCGACATGCAATGGTACACGGTAGCATTGCCCGGTTCCAAGTGCTGCGACGACCGTGCGTTTTGTTGATATCAATCGCATCATCGTGCTTCTAACGTAAGCTTTGTTTTGGTTCGCTTGGTTACCCCGCCGTCCTTGCTGATGCTTGATGGTCGAACCCTCCCTGCCCATGCTTCGTACTATCACTACGATACGCGACCGTCTCTGGTGGCTTGGTCCCACGCGTGCGCACCCGCGAGCCGGGTGTTGGGGCGAAATCAAAATCTTTGTTGCTCAGGGCTGCGGCCGGGCAGACGAGCTGCAGCCGGGCCTAATTTGGCTGCACGCTCGCTTGAGCTGCACGCGGCACGCTGCAAGCTGAACCCGAGGGGCTTTTGCGTGTTTGGCGAGATCGCGCTCCGTCAAGTCCAGCCTTCAAAATTGCATCCGGCTCTTCTTCCCTCGAAGCCTGGGTGCGGGACCCTGGATCGCTACCTCCGCTCCAGTGCGTCGGATTCCGAATCGCTCGCGCTATCCCCCTCCGCTTCACTCTGGCACTTCTTTAGCGCTGGCTTTCGGCATTTCGCTCCGACATAGCCTCGTGCCTCTGAGCTTGTCAAGACGCACTTCTGCTGACGCCCGTGCTGTGCAGGAACGACGGTAGGGGCTGATAATCCAGCGCAACGCGGAAGAAGGTCTCACACTTGACGGTACTGGCGCCCGCGGGACTGCCTAAGACAGCGAGTCGCCATCTTCGATCGGCGTGTTCGGGCGGCGGGAAGGATGTCAGCCGAAATGGCATGGATGCGGTTTGACCGGTGCTATGCAGTTGGGTTACAGCATCCTGTGCGCCGGAGAAGAGATGGACGGCGAGCTTGGAGACGCAAGAGCTGCGAGGAATGCCCGAACGATGCAGCCGCGCCCATCGAGCCATGCAGATGCAGCTTAATCTTATTTACATCCGACTTTATTGAAGTGCTCTGCACCGGTCTGCGTCCTTTTTTTCGCTTTTTTCTCGCCTCCTTTTTGACACTCTGTCACATTTGAGGCACGAGCTGCTGACAATTTTTCGGAAAAAATGATGGATTGGATTGGTGGTGGAAACAGCAAACTACCGCCCGATAGATATGTGGCGCCGATGAAACCGATGCTACGTTGGCGACAGATGCTCGACCCGACAGCTATCGATGCGATGCCAGCATGCTGTGTTTGTTTGCAACGTCGCGGACTCGGGGATTGCGCGCAAACACCGTTGCGAGGCTGCTGGTCAATCGAAGCCCACGTGGTTGCGATGTCGAATCGGCTCGAACCGCCCGGCTGTCGTCATGCGGAATCCTGCCGTCGGCCAACCTCGGTCAACCGCACCTTGGCCGGGCCACACCCACCGGACATCGGCCATGCCAAAGTCACACGCCCTTGCCATCGATACTGAATCGGAGGTGCAAAAGGGGATAGATGTCGGTGGAGACGAACACTGCGCTTCCTCGGTGCTCTCGGAAGGCAGTTTGGCCTTGGAGGCGAGATTGCCGCCCAGGGGCAGCATCTCGCCCGCCCAAGTCCACCACAGCCCGCATGCACGCGAGCTCGCCATCGACGCTGAACCTCATCGACATGCGAGGGTGCTTCGCGGCTGGAAACACACGCCCGGTCTGAGGACGAGAAATCGGTCGAGGATCGCTACGCTGTGCACGCCAGCCTTGTGTTTCTCTAGGACGATTTGAGCCTTGTCGAGCAAGACCCACCATCCTCAAGCAGAGGATGTATGGGCCCGTCAGACTGTATGGGCTTCCGTTGAGGCATTCGACAACGTCAAGGGGGGTACGAGGGCGTGCTGACGTGTGTCGACACCACCCCAACCTTCCTTGAACGGCTGCACCGATAAGCTTGAACGAGAAGCCAGCCTGGCTCGCCACTGATCTGTCCATCTTCTCAAGCTATCGCCACTGAAGCGTCGAATCGAAGCCGTACTCACCACGCCCTGTCACATCAACCTGCTGATAGGACAAGTTGCATTTCCTGCCAAAAAGGAAAAGAGAGAAGAAGAGAAGGAATGTGTGAAACGTTCAATGGGTCAAGTCCCATGGAAGCAAAAAGAGATTCTTGACCTAAATCCTAGTTTCGCGCAGCCCCACTCCGAAGAGCGGGGTCTCGATCTAGCCTCCTTCTTCAATCAACCAGCCACGGAGGAAAAGAGACTGATCAATCAAATAATAGGGGCATGTAAGGGAGAGAGGGAAGGGGAGAGGGAAGGGAAGAGGGAAGGGGAGAGGGAGGGGGAATGCTGCTCATCACACACAGACTACAAACGCACAAACGACGTTTGACCGCTGGCTCCATTGCTCGATCCATGGGCCTCATGCCTTGGCCGCGGCGGCCTCGAGCTTCTGCTTGAACTCGCTCGCCTGATCCTCCGTCTTGATCTTCATCCTGTACTGCGTTGGCGTCTTGCCGTCGAAGCCGAGGAACGCATTGACCGTCTTGTCCTGCGTCGTCTTGAGCCCCTTGTACGTCATAAAGTTGACGGCGACCTTGCCGTTGGCCTCGTTCCTCGCCAAGAGCCGGTGCTTGCCCGTCTCGGCACTGTGCTTGAGCTTGGTGATGCACACGCCCAGATCCTTCCAGCTCTTGGTCTCCGCGTCGAGCTTCCAGAACTTGGCGCGCACCTCGAAGAGCGTCTGCTCGCCCTCTTCGCCCTCGCCCTCGCCCAGCAGGCCCGAAGACTGCGTCTTGCTCGGATCGCCCGAGCCACCGTCCTCATTCGACTCGGCCGTGGAATCCGCGGTCGAAGCAGCAGGCGCTGCAGGCGTCACGGATGCTGTTGAGGAGGTGGGCGAAAAACTGAATCCTCCGCTCGGTGCCGATGTCGAGGAGGGTGCTGATTTCGTGTCGGCGGGAGCTGGCTGCGACTTCTCGCGCGGCGTCTCGATCTCGTAGATGAAATCGAACGTGGGCAGTGCGGCCTGAGCCACAGCCTTGATCTCATCGCGCAGTGCACGATCAGCAGCACCGGCGCCCGATGCCTGGACCGCTGGCGCTTGCCACTCGAACTTGGGCAGCTTCGCCGCGTCCTCCGCCAGCACTTCGGCACGAGGCGAGGTGCTGCTCGATGGGCCGGGCTGAGCCTTCGGTGTCGTGGAAACTGAGGGCGAAGAGGCCGCCGCGGACGCAGGGGCCGAGAAGCTGAACCCGGTAGAGGGCGCGGCGGCAGGCTTTTGCGCTACGGGCACGGCCGGCGCTGGCGTAAAGCTGAATCCGGTCGACGGAGCCGGGGCAGAAGCAGGGGCTGGCGTAGAGGCGCTAGCCGACGTCGCTGCCGATGCTGCTGGTGCCGAGAAGGAGAAGCCCGTCGACGGCGTGGACGTAGCCGGCACGGCCGGCTTGGGCGCGCTGAACGAGAACCCGGTCGAAGGCGCCTTAGCCGCACTGGCAGACACGGTGCTGCCAAAGTTGAAGCTGGGCGGAGGGATGGCGCTACCGCGGGGCTGAGGAGCCGGTGCCTCCGAGTCGGAACTTGGCGAGTCCGGTGCGCGGAAGGCGGCCGAGAGCGGCGAGGGCTTCTTGGGCTTGGTGGAGGTATATTGCGGGGGAACAAGCGCCGCGTTCGGCTTGACAGGTTTCTGCGTCGCATCGGCAGGCGAGGTCTTGGATGCTGCGTTCTGCTCCTGCTGGGGTTTCGCCTTGGTGAGGGCCTCCAGCCGCCGCTGCACCTCCTCGGTCTTTTGCAACTTGCGCTCTTCCGCCGAGGGCGCGGTGGCGGCTGCAGGAGCTGGCGACGAGTCCGCCGCAGGCGCCTTGCCGTTTTGTTGGGGCTGCGTGCTCACGTCGTCGGCCTTCTTGCGGGCTGCGGGCAACTTGGGAGCGGTGCGCTCGATGAGGTCGAGCACAGACTCCTTGGGAGGGCTGTTCTTCTCGGCTGCTCGTGCCGACTCTCGCGCCTTGGCACGCGTCAGCATCGAAGTGCGCGCGGATCGGCGCACCGCCACCGGAGCCGCGTCGTCATCGTCTGCCGCCCGCTTGCCCTTGGCGGGCAAAGGTGCCGCTGATTGATAAGGGTTGACCAGCTCGGGCTTGGTAGGAGGACGCACGGGAGGCGTTGTCTTGAGGATGTCTTGGATCGCGCTTGCGGTACGAGTGGGCACCTTGGGTGGGCTCGTGCGAGCCGGAATGGGAGCTGCTGTTTCCGCAGCAGGAGCCGGCCTTTTCAATGAGGAAGCGCTGGTGCCTGGCGACGACGAGGCGAGATCTCTGGCGAGCAAGCTACTCTGACGCGATTCCCTCTCGTACGCGGACTCGAACTGCACCGCCTGGTCTGCAGCAGACTGGCGGCCTTGCGTAGAGGGCGTAGCCTCGCTCGTGGCATTCGTGCGGCGGCGCTTGGCTTCTTCTGGGCCTGCAGCTCGATCTACGGCTTCCAGCGAGTCGTCGACGTCTCTCGAGTGCCTTGTCAGGCTTGGGTCGGTGCTTGACCGGGTCAAGGAGCCCTGCGCATGCACCTTGGAAAGCGCCGACGCTCGAGCCGAGTTTGCGAGAGGCCGCCTGCGATTGAGAGAGAGTCCGCTCATGCCGGGACCGAGATAGATGGGCCGGCGACGAGACGAAGTGGCTGACGAGCCGATGTTGTTCGACTGCGAGGCGGGGGCTCGAGGCGCCAGGAACGAGTAAGCGCTCGAGGAGGCTGTGAGCCGGCTCGTGCCAGGGTGGAAGAGCGAGTTCATGGACTGCGAGCTGGGCATGGCGGGAGGTGCGATGCTGCTGGCGCGGGAGGACGGGGCAAAGCCGCTGCTCTGCATCATCGGGTATGTGGGGCCGTACGAGGAAGGATAGGCGTGGCCAAACTCGGACTCGAGGTTGCGACCGTGCGTCATGCTCTCCTCGATCAGCCTGATGCATCCCTCGACTTCGACTTCGGTGAGGGCGCCTTGGCCACCGCGCTGCTTCTCCGCGAAGAAGCGCGCGAGCAGGTCGTAGTTGCGCGAGACAGGGCTCGTCTGGGAAGGAGCTTGAAGCGGTGCTGACGGCCCGGGCGTAGCGGGTCCAGCCTCTGGCTGCACATTCATCACTTGACGACGGAGGCCGGGCGTAACGAGCGCGCTATTGGCCAGAGGAAGCGACCCTGTTGGTGCTGACGATGAACCAGCAGGCCTTGGACTCGCAGAGCGATGGATCGCTTGTGAGGGGACCGACAGATCGAGGGTCTTGGGCTGGAGAGGGCGAGACGAGGACGCGTTAGCTTTGGCAGAGACGCCTTCCTCTGCATCCTCGATCATGCGATCGTCAGCAACGTGATCCTCGCCAATCGACTCGGCCATGTCCTCCTCCGGCACTTCTTCTTCCTCCACCTCCTCGTCATCAGCATCGGCGGCACCAAAGGCAGCCGAGCTCCTGGCGCGGCTATGGCCTCGGAAGGGACTGATCATGGAGAAGATCTCGCGCAGCATCATGGGCGAGCTGGTGCGCGACGGTGTGCTGGGACCGACGCTGAGGCTGGACGAGGCTTTTGTGGGAGTTCTTGTGTACGGAGATGCTCTCGTGGGTGTTTTGGAGAGGCCATTCGTGGAGGAGCCTCTTGTTGACAGTGCGGAAGCGGAAGGCGATTCTTGAGCTCGGCTCGAAGCAGACGAGCCGGCAGCCGCGCCCGAGCGCGTGTGTCTTGAGGGACCCATGATTGCGGGTGATGCGCTACAGCCGTGTCTGCGGGCTAGGTTGTGCGGCAACCGACAGTAAGGTTAACCACAGCCGAAATGAAGTGCGGTCCCACCAAAATACAGAAGTCACGTCGTGCTGTGCAAGCAAGCACCTGGAAGCATCGACGGCGCACAATCAGAGCATATCCTTGGCTCCACAGCGAGTCAGCGCGTCAATGACTATGGCTATGGTGAAGAGTGTTTCTTGAGGGTATATGGATGACGAGAAGAGAGAGTGCAACTCTCCTGGTTGGCGACGACGATTTTTGCGGCCTTTTTCTCGCTGCGATCTGCGGTTGCTTCTGATCGCTCGAGCCACGCTCAAGCAGTGAGCTGGAAGATCTCACAATCCAATACGCGCCAAAAACGAAGTGAACATGTAAGCATGACTTATGGCTGCGCTGCAGGCTCGAGCGGAAGGGTTCAACCTCTCGGCTTCTTCCACCAACGACTTTCGATTCCACCTCCATCGCAAAGGCACATCGGCGGCGCCTCTTTCCGCTCATACACAAGAGCCAGCCGCCACACGCGCGCCTGCCGCGACCACCACATCAACACCGTCCCTCGAGCCGTTGCGCCGCATCGCATCCAACATGTCGCGCTCTGCTCCCCGCATCAAGAACAGGGCGCCTGCGCCCATCCAGATCTCTGCCGAGCAGCTCCTGCGCGAAGCCAATGAGCGCCAGGAGGCACCTGCGGCTGCGCCAAAGCAGAGGATCGAGGACTATGAGGAGCTCGAAGAGTACCGCGGCCGCAAGCGCACCGAATTCGAGAACCGCATCAACAGCACCTATGGCAACATGAACGGCTGGATCAAGTACGCCGTCTGGGAGGCGAGCCAAGGAGAGATGGACCGATGCCGCTCCGTCTTTGAGCGTGCGCTTGATCGAGACCCGCACAGTTTGCC